CACTACCTATGCCGCTAGACCTCATGAGGCTCATTAAGGGGGGACAAGGCTGTTTGCATCGGACAGAACCGCCTTTCCGTGGATCCATTTGATCACCCCTGCTTCCTGGATCCTTCTGTCTCTTTCCCACCTCCCTTAATGAGATTAGAGGGGGAAGAGCCTTTGTAAGGCAAGAAGGCAGTCCTAGACAGGCAGCCCTAGACAGACTTCCCTCCCTCTCCCCCCCCCCTCTCTTTTTCTCTGCCAGAGCCAGCTGCTCATCTTACAGGGACTACAGGCTTAAAAAAAAAATCATTATCAAGATGTTGAGGGGGGGGTGGCTTGAAAAACGAAGCCCCCCTTTTCCCTACCAAACCTACCATTATGTTCCACGGCAACTCTGTGTGTGTGTGTGTGTGTGTGTGTGTGTGTGTGTGAAATCCTCCATGAAAGCTGTTGAATTCTTCCATGCGGTTTTTGCACAGACCAAACCTGAATCTCTCTCTCGCCTGCATTCTAAGGGCAGGACATCATGCATTTCGCCCCCCAAAAAGGGGGAACGCGGGGAGAAAAGGCATTTTGCTCTTTGCACAACCCAACCCAACCCAACCACGACCATTTCTTCCTTTCCCCGCCTTTAACAACGAATAAATTAAACAAACCCCTGTCACTGTGTGTGTGTGTGTGACGCCAACCTGCTTCCAAACCGCGACGCCGAACGCACCCCGTACAAACGCCAAAAGCAGGTCACGGTTTGGGTTGGGGAGGTGGGGGGGGGAGAGGATGGAGAAAACCGGCTCCGAGGGGAGACCTGGTCCAGCCCCATCAAGACTGCGCCTTGTTCTTGGGCGGGGAACCAGAGCGGGGTGGGGTGGGGTGGGGGGCGGCGGTTAAATCCGAAGCGATTTCAGCGCGATCCGTTTTGCAACCATAACAAGAGAGACAGAGATCAGCAAGACTCTTTCTTACCGGAATCGGGGCGAATCCTTGATGCACTCCTCGAATTCGACCGTCATCTTGGCTTCCTTTTCCCCCCTTCTTCTTCTTCTTTTTTGGAGGGATGGGGGTAGGGGTTAGGGATTGGGAGAGGGGGGGTGGAAGAGAAAGCGACTCAAAATCCGGAGAGGCGCATCTCCTGCGGCAGCGAGCCCCGCGCACAGCCTCGCCACCCGGCGCCCTGCTTGCCTCCAGCGGCGCGGGCTGAGCGCAGGAGGAGCGGCGGCAGCGCCAGTCCGTCGGCGCGCACGCTCTCGCCTTGGCGCGCGGCTCCCTCCCTCTCTCTCTCTCCCTCCCTCTCCCTCCTTCCTGGGCTGTCAGGGGGGTTGGCTGGGGAACGAGCCAGCGAGCGAGCGAGCTGCAGAGCTTGCCAAAGAGTTGTGTCACACATACACACCAACACACCCAGGGAGCATCTACCAATTACCTCGGAGAGCAGAGGAACACAGGATGGAATTGGAACGCGCTTTTTTAAAAATTTATTTCATAGAATTATAGAGTTGGAAGGGACCCCTGAGCATCATCTAGTCCAGCCCCCGGCCATGCAGCAGGAATATGCCGCTATCCCACATGGAGATCACACCTGCAACCTTGGCGTGATCAGCACCACCAACCAACCGAACTATCCAGAGCTTATTTCTTTTATGGCTCCATTCATATCCCCCTTTCCTCTCCAAGGAGCTGAAGGTGATGTGTATGGCTCTACCCCTCCTCCTTGAATCCCCGCAACAACCCTGTGAGGTAGGATAGGCCGAGAGGCTTCCAAGCAGGGGTGCCCACTTGAATGGTGGGGTCATTCCCTTTTTTTAAAGGGAAATTCCCTTATTCCGAATAGGATTCCTCGCAAGAAAAAGGAAAAGTTGACAGCTATGGCCCCACCCTGCATAATCGCATGACATGGCACTTGCACACTATTTGAATGGCAATGCCCGTCAAATTTGTAGGGGGCGGCCCCGCAAATATTTTAGGGGGGGCAAAGGGACCTCCGACCCCTAGGAGCTGGCCCCTATGCTTCCAGGGTCGCCCCCAGTGAGCTCCAGGGCTGAGTGGCAGAATTGAACTCTGGCCTCTCAGAGTCTTCTTCCGGCACTGAAACCACTACTACACCACATTGGTTGTCATTTGTCCATCTGAGCTCTGACTGGCAGCTACTCTCCAGGGTTTTGGGCAGGGTGCCTTTCCCCGGAAATGCCTTTGGGGATTGGGCCTGGCCGTGCCGCAATATGAAGCAGATTCTCTACCCCTGAACAGGAGGAGTGCTGGGGCAGATAAATAAATAAAATAATGTCGTTAACATGGGACGATAATAAATAGGACAGTTTAGGGCATCCTCTGCCAACCCGGTGCCCGCCAGATGTTTGGGGCTGGCAGGAGTTGTGGCTCAAAACATTTGGAGGGCAACCAGCTTGGTGAAGGCTGATTTAGAACACAATGCTGATGCTGAAGTTTACCGTATTAACTCCATCTGATTTCAGCAGAGGCGTTAAATACATTTGGCAAGACCCGTGCCCTCGACATTTGTACGGTGTTTGAGAGGGTTCCAAGCACTTTGCACAGGTTAATCTGTTGAACTGCTTACAACAAGCCTGTAAGGTAGACAGAAAGGATTGGAAGGGGCCAGTTTAACAGCACCTGGTTTGCAGGCAAGATGTCCCAGGTTCACTCCCTGGAATATCTGAGCAGGGCTCAGAGAGGGGGGACCCTGTCTGAAACTCTGGGAAGTGGGTGCCAGATAGATCAGCGTTTCTCAACCTGTGGGTCGCCAGCGCATCACAATCCTATGCAAGTGGGTTGCTGGCTTTGTAAGTAAACCCCAAATAATAATTGTTTGTAATCCCTAACTATCAAGATGGGCACCTCTTGCAACTTTCCTGTTTTGTTGTCATGTCGTAAAGGCTAGATGACCTTTGGTGTCTCTTCCAACTCTACAGTTCTATGATTTTATGACAACTGTGACAATAAATCAATGGGTCATAGTGCCAAGCAATTCTGGCCTTGAGGGCTGCCACACCAAAAAGGCTGGGAGCCACTGAAATAGATGGACCATTGGTTTGACTTGGGAAGGCCTATCCTTGGAGGAGGTGGTTTGTTGTGTCTCTATAGGGTTGACTATATTATTATTATTATAATAATTATTGATTAAATTCTATACCACCCTTCATTTGAGGATCACAGGGTGGTTTACAATATAAAATACAAAAATATTTGCAATATAAAAAGACAAAAATGCATACCATAGTAGCAAACAAAAGCAATAGCCCCCACCCCAGACAGGGATGCACTGGAATATGATAGATCCTCGCTGCATTGCTATACTTCATACAGATGCAGTAGAAAAGTGAGATAATGAAATATACAAATGTTTCAAGTCAACTTCTCTAACTGCCCATGTTTAAAGTCCTGATATTATTATTATTATTATTATTATTATTATTAGATGTAGGTTTGGCTTTTTCCAATCAATCTCCACTGGCGCTGGGCAAATGCTGCCAAGTCTCTGCCACGGGTGTGCAATTGCCTTGGTCCCAGCGAAAGCTGGGGTAGGTTCCCAGTTGCAAGAGTCATTGCTCTGGGCTCAATTCCTCACAATCAGGAGACACGCCACAGAGAAGCAATGTGGTCTCTCTTAACGGTAGGTAGTCCACCTTCCTTCCTTCCTTCCTTCCTTCCTTCCTTCCTTCCTTCCTTCCTTCATTTCTTTTTAAAGAGCATGTTTCTAGTCATTAGGATGCCAAAGATAGGCTTGAAAGGGTGGGCAGTGGTTTCTGCAATCTCTGAAATGACTTTGTCTGTGTGTGGTTTGTTGCCCTGCTGTTCCGCACTCGGAGAGGGAAGCTTTTGGGGCATCCCGGTGAGACCTGCCTTCTATCAAGGCCATCAGGGCTCTACATGGCAGAAGGCAGATGTCATCATGCTCTAAACCAGGAGCTTCCTAAGCCCCCCAGCACTTCAGCAGCCCAGAAGGGACACAGAGGGCGCGCCCGTCCCTGGACTCTGTGAATGGAGCGGCTCACACACAGATCAGATTAAATTAATCTGGGGTGGCTGAAAAGTAATAAAAAGTGCTGGATGTGCTGGTTTAATCCTGATCCTCCCGCACATCGTCAGCAGAAGCTGTGGGAACATTTTCTGTGCACTGAGCGACACACACAAACAGAACCGATTGCATAAGTCCTCTGGCAGGTTGCATCAAGCACATCTGTTTAAAATGCTGATATATTGGAACCTTTGGGGATGAATAGGTTTTTCTTCTTGAAAGTAGCACAGGCCTTGTGGAAATCAGACCCAAATGTTGCCAGGAAATTAGATTTCTTCCACTGGTGTATTAATCTGTGCGCATCTTGACCAGGAGTAGATTGGTACCAGAACTTTTTGTTTTTATTTATTTGCCACAGTTTTTATCCTGCTGGAGGGACAACACATCAATTATCCTCCCTCATCTCATTTTAACCTCACAACTGTTGGAAGTGCAACAGCAAGGATCATTCAGTTTGTAATTTAAGGGTTAATTCTGTTACGTTAAAGTCAACCAGCCAAGAGGGAAAACAGGTGGGGAGGCACTACTTAGCAATCGGGCAGAGTGGCGTGATCTCTAGTGAGGTAGCATGTGTGCCGACTGGCTACATAGTTCTGGAGATTTCCCTCTGTATAGAGTTGGTTCTATGCCTCCCTGCTATGTGCAAAGCCTGTAGTGCGAAAGGCAAAAACCTCTCTGATAATTTCTCCTGAATTATACACTGTTTATGTTCAGTTTCTTCAGTAAAGTGTTATCAGGGTTTCCTTTCCCTCTGGACTCTCTTTGCATTATCCATGTAACTTTGCTTACAACAACAGGACCCTGTAAAGTAGGTTACTATGTGACACTGAATAGCCCATGATCACTCAGTGAACTTCATGACTGAGTGTGGATTTGAACCACAGGTTCATCCTTCATTCTCTAAGCAATACCCTTGTGCGTACTCCGCATCGAGAAATTCAGATTCTCAATTCTGCACTGCATAAATTATACAATGTTGCACTCCCCCGGCATAAATTATGCAAAACGCAAAATATTCAGGATAGATTCTGATCCATCCTGAATATTTGCTGTTTTTGCATAATTTATGCCCTGTTCCTCAACCGCTGCAAATCAAATTCAGCCATTCTTGTTTCTTAGATTTCAGTGTGCCTTTCACACATGCTGAAATCTCAAAGCGACTTACAGTGGTACCTCGGGTTAGGTACTTAATTCGTTCTGGAGGTCCGTGCTTAACCTGAAACTGTTCTTAACCTGAAGCACCACTTTAGCTAATGGGGCCTCCTGCTGCCGCCGGGCCGCCAAAGCACAATTTCTGTTCTCATCCTGAAGCAAAGTTCTTAACCTGAGGTACTATTTCTGGGTTAGCGGAGTCCATAACCTGAAGCGTATGTAATCTGAAGCGTATGTAACCCGAGGTACCACTGTACAAGAATGCAGGTGGAGGGCTTGAACCTACGGGTGGGCGAGAGTGCATATATTACACGAAGAAGACTGTATGTGGACTGCAAGTTTCAGCTCAGCAGCAGCTGGCAGCAAATTATAGCGAAGATGGTCTGTGGGATGGTCTGCCCTCCTCTATTCCTCTGTCCCAATTAATCGTCGTCTCCCAGGCCCACCCCTGCGACATCACCCTGGGTCTCAGATTTGGGCACTGAAATCTCTGGGTCTGGGATTCTCCTGCTTTGGGGGTGTCCAGGGATGATGGCAGATACAGCACAACATCTGAAGACCCAAGGTTGGGAAAGCCTGCTCTAGACATATGATAATTCAAAAGAGGAAGCAACCTCTGTACATGAGCAGGGGCAATCCGCCCTTGGTCCCTTAAAATGTGGGGAAGGTACCGTATTCTGCATACACTCAGAGGTCTTGAATCCAAGATGCCTTAACTTTTGAGTTGTACCACCTTGCGCTGATGAGAGATCCCGTCAAGTCTGCTCTCAGGTGTTTTGGACTTGGGAGAGATCAATGCAACGAAGTCAATTGCAAAAATCAAAATCAAAGGGGAAAAGTCTGTTTCTTGAAGGAAGCCTTTAAGCCTTAAAAGGGGTTGGTGGGTTGGAAGCAACGTTGCATTTAAACAGCAACAGCACACACACACATTCACCATATTTCTCGACAATAATCACACATTATTTTTAAGCACAATGGAGATTGGACGTTTTTGTTCACAGGTGGGAATTTCCCTCCTATCCCTAAAGAGAATCACCGCGGAATCTCGGCTCCTCCTACCCAGCTGGCGGTGTGTCCATTTGTGGCCGAAAAAATCGCAATCAAACCGAGACACGAATAGCTCTAGGCCCACGTGAAAGCGCCCTATCTCTTCAATGGCACCAATTTGGGCTGCCTAAGAAGCTGCCTGCGGAGTGGGGCGAATCAAGCCCTCTCTCAAACGGGGAAGAAGTTTTGTTTCTCCCCAAAAGGCGGAGAGGGAAAAATAATATCGCAAAATAAGAAACACTTTGGGACTCTATTAAAAAATAAAAAATCTCACTGTAATTAGTTTAAGAAAAGGCAATTGGGAAGAGACTCCAAAAGGGGGCTTTTATTACCAGGCACCTAAACTTTCAAACGCAGCTGAAAGCCATGCCGCATCAGGCAGGACGCTGCTGAGACCGGTCGGCGGTGCCACTTTATCCCCTTAATTAGCATTTTTAAAAGAGGAGGGATAACAGGTGTTTGTTTGTTTTTTAAATATTGCAACAAGAGCTTTCCACTTCCCGAATCAGGCAGTTGTGAAATTTGCCAGCTGTTATTAATAATGGCAATTTAATTGTTCAGAGCTACATATTCATGATTCATAGCTGAAATTTCACGGCGGCTTTTGAAAAGCCAACATGGTTTCTCCAAAAACTCGGTATCTGCTGTTCTTTCAATACTTTGGGACCAAGTATTGGTGAGTACGGTATGTTTAGAAGCATTCTCAAATGCTCCCTGCGTGAAACTCTGGAGAGCCGCTGCCAGTCAGTGCAGACAATACTGAGCTAGATGGACCAAGTGGCTTGGCATGGCATACAGAAACTTTCTGTGCTCCTGTTACAGGAAGGGCAGTCGCTCAGTGGTAAAACTTCTGCTTTGCACACAGAATGGCCCAGATTCAGTTCCCCAGCCTCTCCAGGTAGGACTGGAAAAGGCTCCAAGTCTGAGGAGATTTCTCCTCAGCCTCCAAGCCTGGAGATTTGCTGCTGGTCAGTGTAGACAACAGTGCTAAAAATTAGTCAAGCAGCAGGTATGTTTTGCTACTGGTGCGGGTCTAGTTGTGACCACGTGGAGATCTCTGGATGCCAGGTGGCGACTGGTTACATACACTTCAGGTTACAGACTCCGCTAACCCAGAAATAGTGCTTCAGGTTAAGAACTTTGCTTCAGGATAAGAACAGAAATCGTGCTCCAACGGCGCGGCGGCAGCAGGAGGCCCCATTAACTATAGTGGTGCTTCAGGTTAAGAACAGTTTCGGGTTAAGAACAGACCTCTGGAACAAATTAAGTACTTAACTCGAGGTACCACTGTATATGGTTCACCCCCTCCTCCGTTAATCCCTACAACGACCCTGTGAGGGAGGTTAAGAGGCTGTGGCTGGCCCAAGGTCGCCCAGTGAGCTTCATGACAGAGTGGGTTCAGACTTTCTGCTAATCTAGCCCAGTACCTGGTGCACCCCACTGTTAACTGTCTAAGAGGATGAGAATTTATACATGGCTACACAGCATATTTTAGGTGACATATTACCTATTTTAGGTACCTTATATTACCTAGTTCTCTTCTGTGTGTTTGTGATGGGAAAATGGAACCAAAGTTGATTGAGGCTGTGTCCACACCATACATCTAAAGCATATAGCGCCCACCCCCCAAGGAATCCTGGAGTTAAAATTCCCAGAACCCTGAACAAACTATTCCCATGATTCTTTGGGGGAAGTCTTGTTCTTTAAATGCAAGGTGCATGTGCAGCCCAAGTCTCTTTGGGAATGGGGGAGCTTTCTCATGAGGCCGGGGAGTTAAAACCATTGTTCTACGTTGGGATCCACGCCGACAGCTGAGATTTTCCGTTTCTACCTTTCAGTTAGATGACACATTAGGTAAGACAATGGGAAATTGGTGGCGGGGAAGAGGGAGAGCAAAGAGAAGAGGAATAATGAGAATTAAGATTGCAAATGACATCTGTTGCTAATGTACTGATAGCTCTTGCTTTTGCACTTGCTGCTAAAATATTTTCCTTCGTCTTTAACCTTGTTAGGTTCTTTTGTTATTAATACGGCAATTATTTCACTCAACATGCGGGTTCCTTGTGCAAGTTCTTTTTATTTTTTTAAAGGGGATTATTATTATTATTATTATTATTCTAATTTGCTCTCCAGATTGGTTGTGGGAACCTCCGGTTCACACATTTCTGTGCCTTGGTTTGGCATAGTGGCAAAGAGATTGAACTGTGAATCAGGAAGGGTGATAGAGAAATTCTCAAGGGCCCTCCAGATGTTGCTGAACAGCAACTCCCATTGATCCCAGAAAGCATGGCTGATGACCGGGGATGATGGGATTTGTAGTTTAGTGCATCTACTGGGATAAAGCTTTCCCTTAGCTGCCCTATTTGATTTGATTCAGCACAATAAAAGTTAGGGCGATGGTCAATGCCTGTGGATCACAGTCGCCCTCCACTTTCTTCTGCTTGAGGTAATTATGTTTTTTCCTTTGCTGCAGTGGCGTGAAGGAGGTTCGTCCTGACCAGGCGGTGCTTGGAGTGCAGAATCACTTGGAGGTACATACCACAGCTAAGGTTTTCAAACTGGGTTGGGATGGGCTATAGGGAGAGGCGTGATATCTTTGCTCTCCTGGTTGTGGGGCTTCCAGGAGCCAAAGGGCTGGAAGAGATGCCTGGAATTTTATTGAAATTCTAAGACCAATGAAAGCTATTCTCTGAAGGGCAGTGGGTTGTTTAGTGGACCAGTGACAAGACGTGCTTTGACTCCGATGTAAGTGTTCTAGGCAGCCAATCAGAATGTTTTCAGATGCTGCTTCCACCTCCTTAGTGATGTTGAACTGGGATTGCACAAGAGCAAGCCAGGTCTGACCAGTTATGTTACTGCAAAAGAAGAAGGGATTGAACTGAAGACAATCTGTGTTTGGAAATTATATTTGCCTATTTAAGATTTCCCGTAAGGCTGCCAAATTGCAGACACTGTAGGTGTCTGTGTAGATCGACATCTGAATGTAGAGATTTGTCATAATCATGAGTTCTCTCTCTCTCTCTCTGACCAAGTTTTTTTATTGAGGTGGTTAAACTGTGTCTGTCTCGGCTGTCTTAGAATGGAGCTGACAGTACAACAGTTTGTTGCATGTAGAAAGCAGAAATATTGGGGTGAAGGCTAGACTGGGACCCCTTCTGCCAACACCCAGTTTTTGTAGGCGCAGATGATTTTTTTGTTGCACTCGTGAACAATCCTCCATGCAGCAAAAATTCCCTTCACTTACAAAACCAGTGTCAGGATTCCGGTCTGGCCTTCCACCTGATAGGCTGCCTTTCTATGGGTGGAGGAGTCTGTCAGCCACCTTAGTAGATTGAGACTTTAGAGTGAGTATCATTAACCGTCTCTTCTTCCCCATCTTGGAACAGGAGATAGCGTGTGTTTGTGCGCATACACAATTCACTTTTCCAAGGGATCTGGGTAAAAGTCACATCTGATAGAAGCAGGCTGAGCCTTGACAAAACCCATAGAGCTGAAGGAGGAAGTGGGGAAGAGCGCCACTCTTCCAACTTCCTCCTTCAACTCTAAGCACTTTTCAAGGGAGAAGAAGGTAACTAACCTCAGCACCTTGTGACCAAGGGTGGGTGGGGTTGCTCAGAAGCTTTGTGGGCACCAGGGAAAGACCTCATGGGCACCATTGCACCCACAGGCACCACATTGGCGACCCCTGCCCCCAAAGCCTCCAAGATAAGTCTTCGTTGTGCTCCATAGCATCAGGGGCGAGGACAATTCAAACATAGGGTTTTGTTAAGTGTCGAATCGGGCCAGCAGGGTGAAGCCGTCCTATGGAAAGGACAAGATTTTCTGGGGAGTTGAGTACCCCTGGAGATTTCAGTTTGGACTTGGTCTTCAGTTAAGACTTGCTTTTGAGCCCATCTGTGGCAGGTCTCCCGAATGGAACATGCTGGGAATCTTCATGCCTGTTGGAATGCTGGATCCTTCTTCTTCCAAGCAGGGTTGACTAACTCCCGCTGTAGTCACCCACTCTTCTGGAGCCAGACGTTGGGGATGTAAGGGAGAAGGCGGGCAGTACAAGCTCAGAGGTGCACAGCTCCCTCCATCTGTTTCAGCTTCAGTTTTGGCCTGGGCTGTTGCAGGGCGTTTTCACGTGAGAGGCAAAAGAGTCCCCTGCCAAAGTACCTGAAAACGGGCTCAGATTCCTCTCTCTGTATCAAGGTGAATTAGTGGATTTCTCATAAATAAAGGTTTTCATTAATTACAACATCAAAACTGCAGGCAGACAGGAAATGGCATAATCAAAGTTCCAAAGCAGTACAGAGGTTGTGTTTTCCAGAACAAATAAAATGGAAAAATAAAAAGAAGCAAAACAGATAAAAGCCAAGTCTTCCATCAAGACAAATTAGTGTGTGTGTATCTTTCTCTCACTCTCTCTCTGTGTACATATTTGGCCACACTGAGAAGAGGATGCTGGACTAGACACTAGGTCTCTTCTGATGTTCTTACTGAACAAAGTCTAGGTGCCATCCCACCCATGAAATTATTACTATTATTACTTTTATTTCTATACTGTTTTATATTTTAAAGAGAAAAATCTGAAACACATTAAAACAATCCAGAACAGAATGAATTCCAGCTTCAATTAACATATTTCAGATTGTTTTCGAAGTGACATTTCCCTTTCCCAATATTTATTTACGTACTTAATTTATATAGCTGCCCCATACTAGAAGCACTGCAGCAAGCCAGTGTGGTGTAGAAAAGGACATGGGAGACCAGGATTCAAATCCCTCCCTATTCAGTCATGAAGCTCACTGGGTGACCTTGGGCCAGTCACAGCCTCTTAACCTACCTCACAGGGTTGTTATAGTAGGGATTTACTGAGGAGTGGAGAAAAAGGTGGGATATAAATGCAGTACATAAGCTGTTCTGCTTTCCAGCTTAAGAATGCTGGAGGGGCTAGCCAGATGGAGATGTTAGTTGCAATTGGACCTGTGTCAGTAGCAAAACACGCCTGGCTAATTTCTAACAGTGTTTCCAGCATCTCCATGCCCATTGGGACTGGTAGGGCAGAAGGCAGGGAGCCGAACAGTAGGTGGCGCCAGAGCCAATGACAGGCAGAGCCAACTTCTTCTAGGTTTGTCCCCATCCACCTCCTCCCTACTGAGTTCTCCTAGGGCAAAAGCTGAGACGGAGGTGGAATCCAACAGGAACCGTTGTGAGTAAGAAGGCAGGCAGACAGCGGCTGGCTGAGGTTGGTGGGGCAGTGCCCCATCTGTCTCAGCAGACCAGCCTCCCCTCATGGTATGTCATTACAGGAAAGGATGACTGTTGGTAGTTTTTTGAGGGGAGGAATGTTCATTCCCGGCTTGCTACTGGAGATGTGAAGTTTCGAGGCTACTCCAGAGGCAAAATTCTCTGTGTGTGTGTGACTTCACCCAGGGAAGGGAAACGGTGTGTCTGTCCTGGGGAAATATGATTTGTTTTCATCCCTCTGTTTTTGCATGTTCTGCGATGTTCAGGACCTTCTCCCTCCCTCTCCCAAACCAGCCCTTCTGTTCTTCTCTCTGCTTCTCCTCCTTTGCAACGAAGGCTGCCCAGGGCGAAATCTTTTTCTATGCAAATTGTCTTTTTCTTGGCCCTCGAACGTGCGCTCCGGGTCCAAGAATTTCTTCCCATGCATAAGGAAACAGCAAAGGGAGTGTTACGGGACAGGCGCCCGGGACAGCTTGAGTCTTTGTTTCTCCAAAGGGAGAGAGGGAGGGAACGAGGGGGGAAAACAAACCACGAGAGGTGGACGCGAGAGGGAAGCATCTGGAAATCCTACATGACTTGGAAAGGGTTCTTGGCGACTCGTAAGAGATATATAATTCCTCTCTTTCCCAAATCGCTCCCCTTGCATGGCTGATCTAGACAGTGGTATTCTCTTTTGGGCCTCTGCCGGCAGCTGACTCAAAAGGGTGGGATGGAGGACTTTCTGATAAACATTTGCAGATCACCGTTCGCCCCCTGATCGCCTAGAACAAGTAAGACCCCAATGAAACGAAGGGGCCTACGTTAGTTGTGTCTGTTAACTTCAGTGGGTTGACTCTGAGTAGGGCTAACATTGGATGCAGCACCGTTATCATGTAGTAATGCTTATTTGTTACACCCCATCTTTCCTCTGGTGAGCTGTCGGTGGCAAACCTGGATCTCATGCCTCTGCTGTGTTGTAGTGGTTAAGAGCGATAGACTCGTAATCTGGGGAACCTCGTTCGCTTCCCCGCTCCTCCACATGCAGCTGCTGGGTGACCTTGGGCTAGTCACACTTCTCTGAAGTCTCACAGCCCCACTCACCTCACAGAGTGTTTGTGGTGGGGGAGGAAGGGAAAGGAGAATGTTAGCTGCTTTGAGACTCCTTAGGGTAGTGATAAAGCGGGATATCAAATCCAAACTCTTCTTCTTCTTCTTCAACCCTGTTAGGTAGGTTAAAAATACTTTTACTGGTGCCCCTAAGGCCACACAATGAACTTTATGGCTGAGTGGGGATTTGAACCCTGGTCTCCCAGGTTCTCATCCACCATTCCAGCCCAGCTGTGGGGAAACTTTAACCCCCCAGATGCTGCTGAACTACATTCCCCATCAGCCCCAGTGAGTATGGCCCAATGGCCCGGGATAATAATAATAATAATAATAATAATGAATTTTTATTGATATCCCGCCCTCCCCAGCCAAAGCCGGGCTCAGAGTGGCTAACAGCAATCAAAGTAACACAGCATTCTAAAATCGATATTCTAAAATCAATTCAAAATCAATTGGCAACCACTGGGCCAGAGTTCTATGAGGATCACCAAAGGAGGGGGTCAGACTGTGCCTTGGCCAAAGGCCTGGTGGAGCAGCTCTGTCTTGCAGTCCCTGCAGAAAGATGTCAAGTCCCGCAGGGCCCTAGTCTCTTGTGACAGAGCGTTCCACCAGATCGGGGCCACAGCCGAAAAAGCCCTGGCTCTGGTTGATGGAATGATGGATGATGGGAGTTGTAGTTCAGCGTCATCCGGAGGAACAAAGGGTCCCCAAATCATAATCATCATTATCATTTTTTTTGTTTATACCCGACCCTTCTGTCTGGGTTGCCCCAGCTCCTCTTCCAACACATATAAAAACATTATAAAACAGCAGAAATTAACAGTAACAATCTGATCCAATATAAAAAGTAACAATCACTTTAAAAGAAACAACCTATGTCAAATAAAGCAATATTCAATCATCCATTAGAATCTAATAGTGAATGCACCACATCTGGCTGTTTCAGCTAGCCTAGTTAACAGCCTTTGATAGAACGAGTTCAGAGTGATGGAAATATCTCTAGGAGGGGTTTACAGAACAGCCCCTTCCCTCCGGCCACATTTACACCATACATTTAAAGCACTCCGGTATCACTTCAAACATTTATGGCTTCCCCCGAGAATTCTGGGAGCTGCAGTCTGTTAAGGATGCTGAGTGGTGTGGAGAGAACCCCCCCTATCCCGGCCCACTCCAAGAACTACAGTTCCCTGATGGTTTAACGGTCAATCCCATTCTGGGAATTGTTGCTCTGCAAGGGAAATAGGGGCCTCCTCATGACTCTCAAGGGACGCGGGTGGCGCTGTGGGTTAAACCACAGAACCTAGGACTTGCCGATCAGAAGGTTGGTGGTTCGAATCCCCATGACGGGGTGAGATCCCGTTGCTCGGTCCCTGCTCCTGCCCACCTAGCAGTTCAAAAGCATGTCAAAGTGCAAGTAGATAAATAGGTACCGGTCCAGCGGGAAGGTAAACAGCGTTTCCGTGTGCTGCTCTGGTTCGCCAGAAGCGGCTTAGTCATGCTGGCCACATGACCCGGAAACTGTATGCCGGCTCCCTCGGCCAATAAAGCGAGATGAGTGCCGCAACCCCAGAGTCGGCCACAACTGGACCTAATGGTCAGGGGTCCCTTTACCTTTACCTTTACATGACTCTCAGCACCCTTAACAGACTACAGTTCTCAGGATTCTTTGGGGAAAACCATGATTGTTTAAAGTGGTAGCATAGTGCTTTAAGTTAGTGGTGTGAATGTGGACTAAGCTCACAATCTTCAAGCAGCAATTTACACGTCACATGGGGGCAGGAGGAATGGGCTCTGGTGCTCAGCACCCCACTGCCAACAGTCAGGGGTGATGGGAGCTGGAGAACACCAACATCGATGTGGGCCACAGTTTCCCCATTCATGGATCAAAGGTTCCTGGCTTCGCCAGCCAGAAAAGGAGGTTCCCTGCTATGTCTCTGCACGAGTAGCTGCTATGGCTTTTCTTAAGATTGATTACAACACAGGGGGTAACTTTTGGCCCTCCAGGTGTTGCTGGACCCCAGTTCCCATCAGCCCAAGCCTGCATGGCCCAGTGGTCAGGGATGATGGGAATTGGAGTCTAGGAACATCTGGGGCGGGCACCAGCTTCTCCAGTCTTATATGACCTTGGTTGAAAGCCTCCCAGAGTGACTGGGGCAACCCAGTCAGATGAGTGGGGTACAAATAATAAAATTACTATTATTATTATTTCAAGAAGCATTTGGCTGGCTGCTTTTGGAAAGAGGTTTCCAGACCAGATGTTCGATGCCGTTCTCCTTTCAGCACAGATGTGCTGTCGAGGCGGACCAAAGTGCCCAGATCCCACCACCTGCCCTCCTTGTTGGCACGGCACACCATTAATTGGGATTATTGGGCGCCGTTTCCCCAGCAACCGGCACGCAAGCAAATTATGGCTATGCACATGATGGGTCTCTTCTCAATCTGGCATGAGTGAAGCTGGCGGATTATCGTTGCGGTGGATGATAAATGAAAGTGGCAGATGTGCAGGGCAGCTCAGAGGGCACCAGGAGAGGACACAGAGAGGTCATTTGTGAACAGGGTCAGGAGTTCGGCAGGTTGCGCCTGCCAGCCTGTGTCGTGCGGTGCTTTTCGGCCAAACTGCTGATGGGAAGGATTCCACTGGTTGGCTGAGTTAGGGTGGAGCTCTGCTTTTGCCTCTGATTCTGTGTTAAAAATTGCAGAATTAAGCATCCTAAAACCCAGGTCTTCATCCTAATGGGGAACCTCAGGACTGGGGGGCTGAGTGTGGCCCTCCAGGCTTCTCCAGGCCACCCCCCCTTCCCAAGCCACATACCTTGCCAGCTCTGCTTGTCACTCTCCTTGAATGTTTCTGCCTAGCTGGAAACACTGATCCTGCCTCTTGCTTGCCTGGGTGGAAGACGGAGAGGGGTGAGCTTATGGGTAGAATCTAACCTATAGTAAAAAGGTAAAGGGACCCCTGACCATTAGGTCCAGTCGTGGCTGACTCTGGGGTTGCAGCGCTCATCTCGGTTTATTGGCCGAGGGAGCCGGCGTACAGCTTCCGGGTCATGTGGCCAGCATGACTAAGCCGCTTCTGGCGAACCAGAGCAGCACACGGAAACGCCGTTTACCTTCCCGCCGGAGCGGTACCTATTTATCTACTTGCACTTTGACGTGCTTTCGAACTGCTAGGTTGGCAGGAGCAGGGACCGAGCCACGGGAGCTCACCCCGTTGCAGGGATTCGAACCGCCGACCTTCTGATCGAAAAGTCCTAGGCTCTGCGGTTTAACCCACAGCGCCACCTGCGTCCCAACCTAGAGTACAAAGGGTAAAATTCAGATTCATCGCTCCGCCCACTGTTGCCTCTAGCCCCGCCCACCACTGGCGTACGGCCCCCAGAAGGGATTGCGGCCCTCGGGCTGGAACGGGTTTTCCACCCGTGCTTCAATGTGCGGTAACCAGGTCTGGTTTGGAACAAAACTCGGTCCTCCAGGCTGAAGAGGAGGCGAAATAGTGGGGCAGTGGGAAGTAAGGTTTTGGAAGTACATTATGGGATGGTTTGGTATCCCTGGATTTATGGCTCTATCCAGGATGGTGCTTGTTGCCGCCATAGTGTCCCTGAAGGCCTTGTCCATTCATCCCTTGGGCACGAGGTGGGGTGTTTGCTTACCTTTTACCTCCCTTGAAAAGCACCGTATTTTCCGCTCTATTGGACGCAGTTTTTCCCCTCCAAAAATTGAGGGGAAATGTGTGTGCGTCCTATGGAGCGAATGCAGGCTTGTGCCATAGCCGTGTGCAACCCCTCCGGCAGGGAGAGGCTGCACGGGGCTATGGCTTCTTTAGCTCCACGCAGCCTCTTCCTGCAGGGAGAGATTGCACGGGGCTCAAGAGGAAGCCAAAGCAGCAAGCGGGATCCATCCCGCTGGCTGCCTTGGCTTGTTCCAGACCCATGTGGGAGAACTGGGTGCAGGTTTCTCAACAGATGCTTCTAACATAGGAACACCTAAGTACAGTGGTACCTCAGGTTACAGACGCTTAAGGTTACAGACTCCACTAACCCAGAAATAGTACAGTAGTACCTCGGGTTAAGAACTTAATTCATTCCGGAGGTCCGTTCTTAACCTGAAACTGTTCTTAACCTGAAGCACCACTTTACCTAATGGAGCCTCCTGCTGCCGCTGTGCCACCGAAGCACAATTTCTGTTCTCATCCTGAAGCAAAGTTCTTAACCTGAGGTACTATTTCTGGGTTAGCAGAATCTGTAACCTGAAGCGTATGTAACCCGAGGTACCACTGTAGGGCTAGGAAGGTCTCCTGCCTGAGACTCTGGAGAGCTGCTGCCAGTCAGTGTAGGCAACACTTAGTGGGGGGATCATTGGTTTGACTTGGGTGTTAAGGGCAGCTTCCCACATCAAGCGCTTAGGCCCAGAACGGGAGGCTGCAATGTTGTTCTCCGACAGAATAAGAGTATGAGCAGCTGATCATTTTGAGGATGCTGCAAGGAAAAGGCGAAGGGCCAGATCCAGATTGGAAAGGTCACAGGTCGATTCCGTCCCGCCAGGACCGGCAAGGGCAGGCTGCTGTTGTTCAGCGCAATGCACCCATCCATCACGGTTTACGGCCTCTGCCATCCCTGACGGGAAACGTCTTGTAAAAGGGAATGAGAGTGCCCATCAATTATTAAAGCCGCCAAGGCTGCCGTGAGGCCAGGCAAGTGGTCCACAGAGGAGTGATGTCATCCAATGCCATTAGCCCCCCCCCTTCACCCCCCCCCCATCACCAATTATCAAAACCTTCAGCTTGTCCAGAACAGGGTCAGGATGCACTCCTAATCCCATGTATTCACATTTGTATCCCGCCATTTTTCTCTCCAAAGAGCTCAAGGTGGTGCCCATGGTTCTCCCCCCTCCTCATTCAATCCCCACAACAACCCTGTGAGGTAGGTCAGGTCGAGAGGCAGTGACCGGCACCAAGGTCACACCCCCAGCAAGCTTCATGGCCGAGTCGGGATTTGAACCCTGGTCTCCCAAGGTCCTAGTCCGGCATTCCAGCCTCTTGTATGACATCAGGTGCAGGGCAGGTGGGCATGGCTTGGGCAAAACCCTCTGGTGAGTCAAATACGGGGAGCAGAGTTTCATTTGGCCTATGGGAAAGAGGCTCCCTAACACCAGTTTAAAGTGACAACAACATCGGACAGGACCATATCGGTTTCCTTTCACTTTGCGTTTCAAACAAGTCGTCAGAAATTCCTCTCCTCTCCCCGAAGCATCCTGCGGTGGGTGGGGTAGAGAAGGACTTCTGCAAAGGTTCTGCAACATGTAAATCAAACAGAGTTAACCGATTAAAAGCCAGGCAGAGAACTGGCTTTAATCGACATTTAAAGTAAGACCTTTAATCTGCTGGCAATCCCGACAGGAGAAGTAAATAAAGCCGAGATGAGCCCATCAGCAAATTAAACAGGTTTGTTCTTTTTTTGCATGCTGCAAAATAGTTCCGAGGATGGAATTGCTTTGATAGCAAAAAATTTTTTGGTAAAAAATATATATTAAAAAATGATCAAAGGGCTGGAGTGCCTTACCTATGAAGCAAAACTAACGCCTGGGGCTTTGCAGTTCAGGAAGAAAGTAAAAAAGATATGGGGGAGGGGAAGTGAGACACGACAGAGGTTTATAAAGGGATGGGTAGGTCTGCCAGCGTCACAGATGTAAAAAAACAGGTTTTTAAAATCTCTCTCATAATTCTACAGGGCTGGGAAATCTCAGGCCCTCCAGGTCTTGCTATGTGGCCCTCAGAAACCTCACCAAGCCATACCTCCTCCCCAAAGGAAGGTACCACGAGGGTCATCTAGTCCAACCCCCTGCAATGCAGGAATCTTTTGCCCAACGTGGGGCTTGAAGCCACAACCCTGAGATTAAGAGTCTCCTGATTGACTGACAGCAGCTATGATTCTATGTCTTTTGCTTGCCAGGATGGAGGGTGGAGAAAGATGTGTGAGCATGTGTAGAAAGCAGCCTGCTGTACACAGGTAAAATGGGCACCTGTTGCTCTGCCCAAGTTTGGCTCCACCCACCACTGGCATTTGGTCCTCAGAAGGTTCCCTAGTGTTGTAGATGATAGAACAACGGTCTGCCTTGGTGCAAGGCAATTTCCTTGATGCCCCTTGATTTCTCCCAGGAAAGCAATTCTTACATATATATTTTTTTCAAACGCAGAAAATAAAAACTTGAGAACCAAAACAAATAAGACAAAAAAAGCACACAATCCAAGCCATTTGGAGAACTCCAGCGTGGGTGGTAAACAGGCGGAAATAATAATATACGAGGGAAGAGGGCTTGTGGGGGCGTCACTTACGTAAGAATCCTTTTTTGGGGTGGGGTGGGTGGAATGCTATATTTATGCCCTCAATCTCCACCATCCGTGCAGAATTGGCAACAAGAAAAAGATTGGGGGTGGGGGTGGAGAGTGGGTAGAAAGTAGCAAATCCAATGGGTAATGCTCCGGCTCTGGAAATTATCCCTTGCTGGGAAAGACGACGAGATTTCCAGCTAAATGGGTAATTAACTGTCCTTACAAGAAGCTGGTCGGGGAGTTACCTCTAGATTCTCTGCCCAGCCTGCACAAAGATGCCTCTCTCTCTCTCTCTCTCTCTCTCTCTCTCTCTCTCTCACACACACACACACACACACACACACACTTTTGAGTTGCACATCAACATCAACATATTAGCTCCTTTATCTAAAGCAGCTTCGCTGCACCAGGAACTGGGCACCTAATAAGTGGCCATTTTAGGTCCATGGGCTCATCTGGATTTTGAAATGAGAGCTGTGAATGCCTCTCCTTCGGGTCACTTCACACAAACACACACACACACACACACACACACACACGGGTGTGTGAGCGTGCATTTAATGACAATGATAATGCATACCTTCCAACATCTATCCGATGTACCCCACTCGTCTGACTGTGTTGCCCCAGGCACTCTGGGCAGCTTCCAACATATATTAAAACATCAAGCATTTAAAAAGAAAAAAAAACTTCCTTGTACAGGGCTCCCTTCAGATGGCTGGGGGGGGGGGGGTTCGTCAGATAACTCCATACCCTCCGGCAGCACAGTGGCAGGGCATCTGCCTTGCATGGATAAGGTCTCAGGTTCGATCCCTGGCATCTCCAAGTACAGTGGTACCTCGGGTTAAGTACTTAATTCGTTCCGGGGGTCTGTTCTTAACATGAAACTGTTCTTAACCCTCCACTGTCTTATAGGGAGGCAAACCGTTGGTCCACTTTTTCAGCCGGAGGATTGCATTCCCTTCTGGGCAAAGAGGCCTACATTGTTTCCCCCCTCATCCTTCAATCCCCCCAAGAACCCTGTGAGTGTCAGGGACCGTGCAGAGGAGGGCGGCTCCGAGAAGGAATGGTGGGAGCCTCCCCCTCCCCCTATTCCTAATCAGGATCCTGAATCTTCCTAGGAGCAGGAGGACAGTATAGATTTGGAGCAACGGTTTGCAGAAGGACATAGTTGAGAAGACAGAAGTTGGGAAGAACTGTGGGGGTGAACAGTTAGGAGGGGAAGAACTGGGAGCGAGAGAGTTAACAGACTCACTGTTGCTGGAAAGCGTCCATCCGATCAACCCAAGGACGAGGAGGACAGATAAAGTAGCAACACAGACAGGACAGTGGTTGCGAGGTCAGGTTACAAGACGCGGTAGTGATGTGGGTGGCGAGGGAGGAAGTGGGTGGGACCCTTAATTGGGAGCACCTTCATTCCGAGGAACAGGTGCTGCGATCATTAAAATCTCTAACTGGTGAGGGACTCCTTTCACTTTGTTCTGCTTATCTATTGCCGGGCGGGGGGGGGGGAGAGGGAGGAAGCTGAGGCCCTGGAGCCTGACAGCGAGGTGGGTTAGGCTAAGAGGCAGTGAATGACTCCAGGGTCACACCCAGTGAATTTCTGATAGCTGAATGGGGACGAGAACCCCAGACGATGAGAAAAGCCTACTGCATAAGGCCAATGGCCCTAATCCTGTTCTCACAGTGGCCAACCAGCTGCTGCTGGGAAGCCTTCAAGCAGAACACAAGCACCACAGCCCTCACCCCTCCTGTGGTTTACAGCAACTGATATTCAGAAGTATTGCTACCGATAGCCCTCTCCTCCACAAATTTGTCCCATCCTCTTTTAAAGCCGTCCAAGTTGGTGGGCATCCTGGGGGAGAGACTTCCACAGCCGGACTATGCGCTGTGTCAAGAAACGCTTTCTTTTGTCTGTCCCGAATCTTCCAGCTTCACTTGGACGTCCGTGAGTCCTAGTGTGACGAGGTCAATAAAAGCTGCGTATAGAATCCCGCGTGTTTTGTTGACATATTTGTCAATGAGGTGTGCTAATACGAAGCAATGGTCTCTTGTTGTTCTGCCCTGTCTGAAGCCGGCTTGCTCCTCTGCCAGAACTTCCTCAGTTTCCATCCAGTCAATTAGTTTGATGTGGAGGTGTTTGGCATACAATTTGCTGGGGATAGTAAGGAGGCTAATGGGTCTATAGCTCGCTGGATCTGCCATAGGACCCTTTTTGTAGATTGGGATGATTACTGACGAGGGAGGAAAAACTTCTCTCTGTGCACTTCCTCCAAGCTGGGCATGATTTTACCAACTTCTGTTGTGTCACCTCTCACTTGCCTTTTCTCTAAAGTAAACTAGGGATTCAAACCCTGATCCCCCAGGTCCTCGTCCCACACGCTTAACCACCACACTGGCTGTCATCTCATCCCATAACCAGAAGGCACCACATTGGTCCTGTACAGTGGTACCTTGGGTTAAGAACTTAATCTGTTCTGGAGGTCCGTTCTTAACCTGAAACTGCTCTTAACCTGAGGTACCACTTTAGCTAACGAGACCTCCCTTTGCCGCCGCACCGCAATTTCTGTTCTCATCCTGAAGCAAAGTTCTTAACCCGAGGTATAGTGGTACCTCGGGTTACAGACGCTTCTGGTTACAGACGCTTCAGGTTACAGACTCCGCTAACCCAGAAATAGTACCTCGGGTTGAGAACTTTGCTTCAGGATGAGAGCAGAAATCGTGCTCCAGCGGCGTGACGGCAGCAGGAGGCCCCATTAGCTAAAGTGGTACCTCAGGTTAAGAACGGTTTCAGGTTAAGAACGGACCTCCAGAACGAATTAAGTTCTTAACCCGAGGTACTACTGTACTATTTCTGGGTTAGTGGAGTCTGTAACCTGAAGCGTCTGTAACCTGAGGTACCACTGTACTTAGGTGTTCCTATGTTAGAAGTGTCTGTTGAGAAACCTGCACCCAGTTCTCCCACATGGGTCTCTGTCTAAATGGCAAAGGGCGTTCCACCCTGGTCTGTACACCCCCTTTTTCTGCCACAGCACCCCCGCACAGTTCTTTCTCCTGTCTCTCAGATGGCAGCAGAGAAGCTCCGGCATTCCACGCCGAGCAAGTTCACCATCTCAAGCCGCACGGACTCTGGCGTGCACGCCCTCTGCAACGCCGCCCACCTCGACATCGAGAGGTCGGACGGGAAGCCGCCTTTCGCAGGAAACATCCTCACCGATTCTCTCAACCACCACCTGAAGCCTGAGCCCATCCGGTGAGTTCCCTGCAGTTGCAAAGCACTCGCCATGTTGTCACCAGCAAGCAGTGGCGGGTGCAGAAATCCTATTTGACTTGGGTTTGTTTGTTTATTATTTTTATCTATTCCATTTATACACCACCTTTCTCAAGGTGACTTGTGTGGTTCCCTTCCTCCCCATTTCACCTTCACAACAACCCTGTGAGGTAGGTTAGGCTAAGAGGCGGTGACTGGCTCAAAGTCACCCAGTGAGCTGAGTGCGGATTTGAACCCTGCTCTCTCATGTCCCAGTCGAACACTCTAACTGCTGCACAAAGCCGGTTTAAAGTCAAGCTTACCTAATTCTCATTTTCTTTCTTTGTTAAAAAAATTGCTTTTATTAAGATTTTCTTGGGTTACAAAAGTACATGCGTCATCTGTGCTTTCAGTTCGTGGGATCCTTTCTACGAATCAGTTAGATTCGATGTGAGGCACTAATCAAATTCACACTTTCTGAAACAGTTTGTGAACAAAACACACCAATGCTTTAACCACTGAGCTACAGCCCTTCCCTTAAGACATCGGAAGCTGACTTACACTGAGAGCCAAGTCCATTGTCTACACCAGGGGGTGGCAAGGCTTACCATGGGTAGGATCACTCCCGCAGAGAGTTTGCGGGAGAGTTCCCGCAGAGAGTTCCCGGGCTGGACCGGTGCATCGCGACACCGGAAATCACGTCTGTGCATGTCTGCGGCACTGGAAATCGCTTCTGCGCATGCCCAGATGCCGGAAATCACATCTGTGCGGAAGCGATTTTCGGCATCTGGGATGCGCAGACGCGATTTCTGGAGAAAAAATGGCTCAGCCCAAATGATATGAATCAGAACCATGCGGCGATTTCTGGACTGGGCCGGATCCCGAACTCATTCAGGCTGGAATTGGCCCGCGGGCCTTAGGTTGCCGACCTGTGGTCTACACAGACTGGCAGCTGCTCTCCAGGATTTTGGATGGGATAATTCCCATTCCTACTTCCTGGGGACACTGGGGATTGAACCTGGGACCTTCTGCATGCAAAGCAGATGCTCTAGCCACTCAGCTACAGCCCTTCCCTTTGAAGGCATGAAGGAGCGGCTCTAGTTAAGTCGGCCCCTTTGCCCTCCTGAGGTTGCCAGCTCCCCAGCGCTGGAGATTCTTCAATAATCACACGTCGTGTTGCCTGGCTCCTGCTGGCTGTCTTTGGGACCATTGCGGGGGCGGGGGGGGGAGGTCCTTATACACCCAATGTGGTGTAGTGGTTAAGAGCAGTGGACTCGTAATCTGGTGAACCGGGTTCACTTCCCCGCTCCTCCACATGCAGCTGCTGGGTGACCTTGGGATAGTCACACCTCTTTGAAGTCTCTCAGCCCCACTCACCTCACAGAGTGTTTGTTGTGGGGAAGGAAGGGAAAGGAGAATGTTAGCCGCTTTGAGACTGCTTCGGGTAGTGATAAAGCGGGATACCAAATCCAAACTCTACTTTTTCTTCTTCTATTCTGACAGCCCTGAGCAAACAGGCATGAGAGGATCTTCTTGACATTTATTTTCTGTTATGCTATTCTAGCGGTTGTCATGGATCCCATGCAATGTGGGCGCAATCCCGAGTTTCTGCTCCCCAAGGGCTGCGCGTTCCTTGCGGTACGGCTCTTCTCCCTCGTTTGTTGAGATGTTGCATAAGTAGATTCACCACCCCCTTACACAGAGGCACCGCTAAGTCAGGGAAATGACTCCACTGTTCCAAAGACTTTTGGAGGTGGGGGAGAGGGATCCTTGCCAGGGTTGTGTGTGTATCTGAGCCCCTGCGATTGATTGATTGATTGATGGATGGATGGATGGATGGATGGATGGATGGATTTGAAAGCACACGTTCATAAAAACTCAGCAAGACCTTGTGCATCATGCAGAATGACTTTGAAATACAGTGGTACCTCGGGTTACAGACGCTTCAGGTTACAGACTCCGCTAACCCAGAAATAGTATCTTGGGTTAAGAACTTTGCTTCAGGATGAGAACAGAAATCGTGCAGCGGCGCCGCCGCAGCAGCTGGAGGCCCCATTAGCTAAATTGGTGCTTCAGGTTAAGAACAGTTTCAGGTTAAGAACAGACCTCCAGAACGAATTAAGTTCTTAACCCAAGGTACCACTGTAAATAAAAGCATCAGTAAAGACTGGTTGGCAGGAAGAAATGAAAGGGGATTTGAGAGCCTATGTGGTACAATGGTTAGAGCGCTAGACTAGGACCTGGGAGGCCAGGGTTCGAATCCTCACTCGGCTTTGAAAGTCATTGGGAGTGACTGCCTCTTGGCCTAACTGACCTGGCAGCAAGGTTGTTGTGCAGATAAAATGGGGAGCACAACTCTGTACACTACCTTGAACTCGCTGGAGAAAAAGGCAGAATAAAAATGCAATAAGTAAATAATTGCAAAGGCCTGACAGGGTATCACAGTTTTCAGGAGGTGTCCAATACGGCCTTTCCCAACCTGTGGGTTGCGAAGTTGTAAAATACTGTCTCTTACAAAGCCGAAATAAATCAGTTGCAGGCTTTATCAGTAACTCCTGAAATAATTGCTTGTAATTATTAGCTGGTAGGATTCATATACAGTGGTAAAAGGTAAAGGTAAAGGGACCCCTGACCATTAGGTCCAGTTGCGGACGACTCGGGTTGCGGTGCTCATCTCGCTTGATTGGCCGAGGGAGCCGGCATACAGCTTCCGGGTCATGTGGCCAGCATGACTAAGCAGCTTCTGGCGAACCAGAGCAGCGCACGGAAACGCCGTTTACCTTCCCGCCGGAGCAGTACCTATTTATCTACTTGCACTTTGACGTGCTTTCGAACTGCTAGGTTGGCAGGAGCAGGGACCAAGCAACGGGAGCTCACCCCGTCGCAGGGATTCGAACCGCCGACCTTCTGATCGAAAAGTCCTAGGCTCTGTGGTTTAACCCACAGCGCCACCCACGCCCCACTATACTGTGGTACCTCGGGTTAAGTACTTAATTCGTTCCGGAGGTCCGTTCTTAACCTGAAACTGTCCTAACCTGAAGCACCACTTTAGCTAATGGGGCCTCCTGCTGCCGCCACACTGCCGGAGCATGATTTCTGTTCTCATCCTGAAGCAAAGTTCTTAACCTAAGGTACTATTTCTGGGTTAGCGGAGTGTGTAACCTGAAGCGTCTGTAACCCGAGGTACCACTGTACAGTATCTTACAACTTCTTGTTTCGTTGGCTTACCATCAATGGGGAGCCAGTGTGGCATTGTGGTTTAGAGTGTAGGGCCAGGACCTTGGAGAATAGGGTTCAAATCCTCCCATTAGCCATGAAGCTCACAACTGGGTGGCGTTGGGCCAGTCACTGCCTCTCAGCCTAGCCTACCTCACAGGGCTGTTGTGGGGATTAAATGAGAAAGGAGAGAACCACTTTTGCCACCTTGAGCTCCTTGAGAGAAAAAAAAGTGGGATGAAAATGCAACAGACAGTAAATCGATGGGTCACCTTGCCAACTGACTCCGAGCTTGTCGGCCACCATACCAAAAAGGTTGGGAACCACTGGTCTAAAAGAAGGCAGGAATTATTCCTGCCGAACCTCTGGTGGCAGGGAGTTCCATGGGGCAGGGCCCTGGCACACTAAAGGCTCAGTCCCTAGTAAAGGCTGACCATGCTGGATTTTTTAGATTGTAAGCCCCTCTGGGCAGAGACCTGCCCTCCTGCAAGCGGTAAAATGTCATGTGTGCTGATACGGTACTGCGTAAAAAGTGGAAGCGAGAGTTCGCTGCCTCTGTTGTGAGGGGCATTAAGCTTTCATCTGCCTTCCGGTGGCTTGAATTTTTTATTTTGTTGTTGTTTTTTAATAAAGAAACAGAAGGCCGATTAGAGAGTCCAGTTGGCGCCTGGCCCCTGCTTTGCACAAAGAATAGCAAGTAGTTCTGATTGTCGACCCGTCCATCTTCCCTCTCCCCTCCCGCACCCCCAACTCTCTGGCTCCGGGTTTGCTTTTCCACCCTAATCCTTGTTTTGTTTGACACAACTTGGCTCAGATGCAGATGCATCACATTCAGGTTGATAGGGCTGATGTCAGTCTTTTTTTGTTTGTTTGTTTCGTTTTTACTCTCCAATTTTCCTTCAGGGTTGGGGGGGGGCACGGAATCTAACACCTCTTGTTCATGAGGTAACACTGCAAATATTTAAAATAGTGGTTCCCGAATTTTACCAGGCTACTGCTCCCCGCTTGGTTCCATAAACTCATCTCCAGCACCCTCTACCCTACCCTATAAAAAGGAATTATTCAGAATAGCGGTTCGCACAGCCCACTAAGGAAAATAATAATAATAATAATAATAAAAATAATAATAATAATATAAAAAAAAATTCAAAACTGTAACCATTAATAATTGCATGTTTATTCAACATCCAGTTGAAACTACAGTTCCCTAAAAATTTAAAGTATTTCTGTCTGCTGAGATTGCTTAGGCTCCTAGAGGTGTGTACCCATCTGGTTCTTACTCAGAGTAGACCCATTAAAATAAATGGACTTAAGTTAAACATCTCCATTCCTGTTAGTGGATCTAGGCCACACTCACACCATGCATTTATAGCACTGCGGCACTATTTTGAACAGGCATGGCTTCCCCCCCAAAGAATCCTGGGAGTTGTAGTTTGTTAAGGGGTACTGGGAGCTGCCGGGAGATCCTCTCCCTCCCAGAACTACAGTTCCCAGAGTTCCCTGGGAAGAGGGATTGTTAAACTGCTCTGGGATTTAACTGTACCTCTGTGGGAGGAATAGCACTGCCAAGTGCTCATTCCTTTGGGTTCCAGAGGTCACGATACAATGTTCAGGCACTGTTTTTAGAAGAGGGCATCTGGAAGAGAGCCAGCATTAGGCCCCAACACTGCTGTTACCTGCGCCGCAGGTGCATCCCCAAGGATGCAAGTGTTGACAGTGAGGATTAGCAACTTATTCCACTTGAATTGGAAAGGATTGTGGAACCTTTCTTAGACCAATGGGCACATTCCCTTCAGGACGGCCCTCCAAGGGCCATGTGCCACAGGTGGGCGGGGCCAGGGGCAAAAGTGGGCGGAGCAACAGGTGTAGATGCTGCTCTTGCAGAGCAGGCTGGCTTTTCACAATCTCTGCCTTCCACCCTGGCAAGCAGGAGGCTAGACTGTGTTCAAGCACATCCCAATGAGGCCAAGACATTCTGGAGGCAAAGCAGGGTCAGTGGGGGGGGGGTGACCTGGGGAGCATCCCAAGGGCCAGATGGAAAGTCACGGAGGGCCACATTGGGCACCCCCAGGCCTCAGGTGCAGGAAAGACTTTCTCAGCCTGGCAGCTAAGACCTCTGAAGTTCCAGGCTCAATGCCGGATGGAAGGCCATGTTTTCTTCCTCCTATTGTTCTCCTGGCTGCCTCTCTACCCCTCTGTCCCGCACGCAAATATTTCTCTTAACACCAGAAGACAGCTCAGCTGCTTTGCATTTGAGAGGAAAACCAGCCAAGAAGAGCCCAGCGATGGAGGCCTCTCCTCTCTCTAAATATTCCAGCACTGAGAAAACTACTTCTTCTGATGGAAGAAGAAGGAGACGTGGGTGGGGAGCCAGGCCCTTTCAGAGCCCTTCTTGCTGACAAAGTTTGGAGAGGGAAACGGGATCCTAGGCGTGACTCTTCTCCCCAATTTTTACCTCTCTGAGCCGCCCCCTCCCACTTTTCTTTCCTCTGTGTTCTCCTACTGCAAAGCTGGCTGCCACAGTGAGGGCTGGAGGCCTCTGCTTAGGGAGGTTCGGAGACCTGTGTAGCTACATGGCTCACCCTCCCTTCTGAACGGCCAAAGGGTGTTCAGTGTGCCTCATAATTTGCTCCAAATTTAAGGATTCAAAGCCGCCACCCCGGCCAAACTGAGGACTGGGAGTGGGAGCAATGCTTTGCACCAATCCATGCTTGGCGTCTCTATTTTACAATCCACCCTCGAGGCCATTAAGGGTAAGAAACAAGGGTGGAGCAGCTATTTATTTCTTCAGCTTCTGTCCTACCCTTCCTCCCAGCGCGTCGTGCACCGCAAAATTAAAAACAATGCAATTCAAAAGAAAATCAATGTCAAAGCAAAATTGTAATTTAAAAACCAGCTCGAAACATTTTAAATGGTGCCGAACATCGAAAGCTTGGAACAACGCAAATTAAAGTGAAACGAATCAAAACGATGAAGGTCATTTAAAAACTGACTCAAACCATTTCAAATGCTCTCGGAACATAAAACTGTACAGTTGGAAGGGACCATGAGGGTCCTGCAATCCAGGAATCTTTTGCCCAACATGGGGCTTGAACCCACAATCCTGAGATTAAGTCTCATGCTCTACTGACTGAGGTATCCAGCAGATATCATTTAACATTCAAGTTGCTAAGTTCAAGGTCCCTATGGCCAATATCAATAAGCTATCAGATGCCTGAACGAACAGGAATGCTTTTAAATTTCTCCTATAGCCAATTATTATTATGAATAATAATAATACATTTATATCCCACTTTTCCTCCAAGGAGCTCGAGGTGCCATGCACACTTCTGCCCGTTCCCACTTTTTCCTCACAGAAACCCTGTGAGGTGGTTTGGGTTAAGAGATGGCAGCTGGCCCAAGGCCACCCAGTGAGCTTCATGGCAGAGGGAATGCACTTCACCCAGGGAAAGCCTTTCACAAAATGGGGAGCCACCACCGAGGAGGCCCTGTCGTGGGTCGACGCCAGCCAGCCAGCAGCCGGGGCAACAGCAGGCCTCCCTTGCTGAGCATAAGGCCCAAGTTGGTGGATACATCATGTAGGTATTTGGATCCCAAGCCCTTTTGGGCTTTTTTATTCTAGTTCTAACCACTGACAGGTAAAGATGCAGCTAGGCCCAAAGGAGGGGTTGCAAGGACAGCCATTGAACTGCATAAGGAGAGCTAGCTGAATGCAGGCAGGCACTCTCCTATCTAGTCCTGCCTCCTGTTCTCATAGTGCCCAGCCCAATGCTCCCATGCAAAGCCTGCAGCAGCAATCTGCCCACCTGCGATTCTCAGCAATTTACTTCGTCATACTGCCTCCAACTGTGGTGGCTAGTAGCCGTTGATAGCTTTATCCTCTGACCACATTGCAGATATTAATACTGTGCAGTTTGAAGTGTAAGAACTGAATCCTTTTGGAAGGAATCATTCTGCAGACCCCATAAAAATATTATTCAATATTCAATATTCAAAATATTCAAACTTTTACACAGCAGGGGTTCAGAGTGCTCTTCTTGCTTCTCTAAAGTTTCAGTGGAATCTCCCTGTATTGAAACTTTTTCACCAGTACGCAGAGATTCTCATTTCATTGTCAGTTAAACCAATTATACTTAACAGTCCAGGCCTCTTTTAAAGCCATCCAAGTGGGAGGTCGCCACTGTTTCTTGCAGGGGTGAGTTCCATAGCTGCAGCTCACACGAAGAAGGATTGCAAAGCCTTGCAACCCCGACCATAAGCCGACCCCCTGTATTTTAAAGCCCCGATGTTCAGCTGATCATCGTGGCTTCAAAGTGCAGCGCACAGCTCCCTGCAGTCCTTGTGGGCCAAAACTGGCCACCTGCCCAGCGTCATGGCGACATCATCAGGCGATGGGCAGCTGGGCAGCCCCACCCACCTGTGAAAACTCAGTCCCTGAAGGTAAAATCCAATCCACCCCCCATTTACACACTGTGATCTCATGGGGTGAAGTAGGTGAGTCATCCTCACTCCACCCTGAGTCTTTGGCACAGTGGAAATGTACCCACCTTTTCGGGGTGGGTGGGGCAGAGCCAATTTATGTAACATCTTAATGAAAACAAAAGATGATATCCATCTGTGTGCTCCCCCCTGGCCAGCAGCAGTCTCTCTTAGGAGTAGGTGTGCTTGAGGCTTGCTATGTGCCCACGTTAATACGGATTCCATGACAACAGCTCGGAAGCGTCATGGAGAATAAATGTCAGGCAGATCCTCCCAATCCCTTTTAGCCTGGGGCTGTCAAAATAAGGCTCTAGGGAGTCCCAATGCCCCCCATATTTGTCTTTTGGGGGGCAAGGGAGCTGCCCTCCCACCAGCTCCATAACAGGGCCACATTCTCTCTGGGCAACTTGCCAGGGGCCATAGGCTGAGGTGGGCGGGGCCAGAGCCAAAGTGGGTGGGGCAATGGATGCAAAGGTCATCTCTGCCTAGCAGGCTAGTCTCTGCCCAGCTGCACACACCCCTCAAGACATTCCTCCAAGCTCAGTATTGTCAACACTGGCTGGCAGCGGTTCCCCAGGGTTTCCAGGGGTCTTTCCAGCCCTGCCTGGAGGTGCCTTTGGGGACTGAACCCAGGACCTTCTGGTGCAAAGTGGCCTTCTCCCAAGATATAGAAACCCAGAAGGCAGCTGCCTTGTACCAAACCCCAGACCCTTGGCCCATCTGGGCTCAGTTTTGAATGTGTGGGTTCCACTGTCATCTGGGGAGCAAACTTTCCACCAGGCTGCCTCAGTGGGAGAAATTCAAAGCAGAAGGCTCATTCCATCAGGTTCGCCAGAACTCCAGCTCCATCTGGAACCTCCTTGCCCCTAAACTGTGCCATCTGGTCAGTTAACTGCTAGCACATTTGCAAACTGCTAGCACATTAAGCAGGGTACGGTATGGTTTCAAATTGGATGGGGGACCACATGTTGAGATTCCTGCGTTGCAGCGGGCTGGACTAGATGACCCTGTCGCTTTCCCCTTGGACGTCATGTCATGCTTCGTTTCGCATTTTGAGAATCCCAGCCTGCAAGTAGGGCACGTCTTGCTTTGATGGTATATAAGCTGCTTGGGGAGCCTTTCTGACTCAAGAGTCCAGCACAAATGGCCTATACAAATAATAATTGTCAACATTGACTGGCGGCAGCTCTCCAGGATTTCAGAAAGGGGGCCTCTCCTAGCCCTACCCGGAGATGATAGGGATCGACCCTCAGATTTTCTTCCTGCAAGGCAAACGCTCTCCCACTGAGCTGCAGCCTTTCTCCTTTCCCATCCTGCAACAGGTCGGCAACACTGAGACTATGATCTCAATGTCCTCAGTGGGCCCTCGTCCCCTCCATCCCCGGCCGGCGTTAACTTGGTGCTTTATCTCCTCTAAAAGGATTTTACACGGCCAGTGATCCTGTTATTCCCCAGAAGCTAATCTGGCTGCCAGGGCTTAGCAGCCGCTGCTGCCTCTCCTCCTAATGGCCCATCTCCCTGCTCTCTTCTGCCTTCGTTCTGTTTTGTGGCTGCGATCCATGTGCTCTGAGAGGCCTTCGTGGGAGCCATTTTGTTGTCATGGCAATTCGAGCCAAGGGGGACCAGTAATCTTATCCACCTGTTTGCTCTCAGCGGAAGCTTTTTTAAAATTTCTTTTTCTGGCATTTGCAAGGAGAGGAAAGGCTGGAACATCTGCCTGGATCCCTCTGCTTCGCCTGATCCACTGGAAGCCTTCTTAGGCCACATTCACACCATATACTTAAAGCACCGTGATGCCACTTTAAGCAGCCAAAAGCATGATGGGAGTTGTAGTTCATTAAGGGTGCTGAGAGTTGTTAGGAGGCCCCTATTCCCCTCACAGAGCTTCAATTCCCAGACTGGCTTATCAATCAACCCCTCTTCCAAGGGAACTCTGGGAACCAGCTGATGCTCATTCGTAATATTTCATTTCCAGATGTTTGGAGGATATTTTGTTTCACAGCTGGAGGCAGCAGTGCTTCTGAATACCAGTTGCTGGAAGCTGCAAGAGGGGAGAGGGATCTAGTGCTTGATTCCTGCTGGTGGGCTTTCCACAGGGATCTGGTTGGCTACTGTGAGAACAGGATGCTGGACTCGATGGGTCACTGACCTGATCCCTTAGGGCTCTTCTTAGGTTCTGAGCTCGCTGGACCAATGACCCAGCTCTCAATCCAAGGCTCAGGAATCCTTTGCTCCTGCATTCCTAACCCCAGCATGGGATCCAAATGTCCACACTGTGGATGAACCCTGAGCAAATGCACACCTGGCTGCCCAGGAGCGTCTCATCCTGTCTGCGATGTTTTCAAATGGCTGGTAATCGCTTCACTGCAGCAGATGGAGAGAGAGAGAGAGAAGAAAACTAGGTCATTCTTCCTGCCCCCCCTTCCCTGCTGCTTCCGACACTTGACTCCGTCTAGGGCTGGGCTGCATCCTGAGATTCCGTGAGGAAGCCGCCAGGCTAGTGGCTGAGGAGGCCATCCCCCTACATCCAGGGCCAGCTGCATGTTGAGTCCTGTGGTGCCCTGCACTTAGAGAGCTAGCATGTCAGGGTAGGACAGGGCTCATTCCCCCCTGGTGTTCCATTATGTGTGGGTTTGTGCAAGGAATTTCAGCACACAAATGTGTGTCAGGCAGGGAACAGGTGAAGGCATGCCTTTGCAGGTGCTGATGATCAGCTGACCGTTGACACCTGCAAAGTGCTGGGCCTTCCTAGGTGCCTGGAGAGCTGCCCTACACAGAGTCAAGCCTATGGGCCCGCCTAGCTCAGCAGAGTGTGCACACTGACTGGCAGCAGCTCTCCAGCCTTTCAGGTAGGAGTGGTTTCCCCAGCCCTACATGGAGAAGCTGGGGGTTGGACCTGGGACCTTCGGCAGGCAGGCAGGCTGGGCAGGTACTCTATCACTGAGCAACTCCCCCCCACAAACATAGGAAGCTAACCTGTTAGGACGCTTGGCCCAGCTAGCTTAGTATTGTCTGCTCTGACTGGCAGTAGCTCTCCAGGGTTTCAGACTGGGGGTGCCTCTAGCTCTACCTGGAGATGCTGAAGATTGGACCTGAGGCCTTCTACATGCAAGACAGATGCTCTACCCCTGAGCAATGGGCCTTCCCAGACTTCTAACCAATCACAGGGCCTGGTGCTCTTCGTGGGCTGGACAAATCTGAGGCAGTTAACAAGGCTCAGTTGCAGCCTTATGGCAAGAGGTTTGCAGGCCCAATAATAATAATAATAATAATAATAATAATAATAATAATAAATTTTATTTATACCCTGCCCTCCCTGGCCAGAGCCAGGCTCAAGGCGGCTAACACCAGTAAAATTGCAGTAAAAACATAATAGGGGGGGAAAAACCCAATTTAAAATACAGGTTAAAATGCAATTTAAAATGCAGCCTCATTTTAAAAGTAGCCCATAGATCAAAACCATAAGGGGAGGGAAACATAAGGGTCAGACTGAGTCCAAACCAAAGGCCAGGCGGAACAGCTCTGTCCTGCAGGCCCTGCGGAAAGATGTCAAGTCCTGCAGGGCCCTAGTCTCTTGTGACAGAGTGTTCCACCAAGTCGGGGCCAGTACTGAAAAGGCCCTGGCCCTAGTTGAGGCCAATCTAACCACCTTGCGACCTGGACCTCCAAAATGTTGTCATTTGTGGACCTTAAGGTCCTCCGCGGGGCATACCAGGAGAGGCGGTCCCGTAGGTACGTGGGTCCTAGGCTGCATAGGGCTTTAAAGGTCAAAACCTTCTAGAACATAAGGCCGTGACATCTGCTCATGCTAACTGATCCTGGGAACCAGACCTTTGCTATTTAAATTGCACCCACTTCCCTATCTACATTTCGGAAAATGACCCTCCTTTCTCTCAACAGCATCCTGGGTGCCCGTCGTGTCCCCAGCACCTTCCACGCCCGCTTCTCGGCCCGGTCGAGGACGTACGTCTACCGGGTGGCGACCGGGTGCTCTCATCATTTGGAGCTGCCTGTCTTTGAGCGTAACCGCTGCTGGGCAACGTATCGAGGGTGAGTTTGTGACACTGAGGGATATGTAGGTCAGGGTAAAGGGACCCCTGACCATTAGGTCCAGTCGTGGCCGACTCTGGGGTTGCGGCGCTCATCTCGCTTTACTGGCCAAGGGAGCCAGCGTTCAGCTTCCAGATCATGTGGCCAGCATGACGAAGCCGCTTCTGGCGAACCAGAGCAGCGCACAGAAACGCCGTTTACCTTCCCGCCGGAGTGGGACCTATTTATCTACTTGCACTTTGACGTGCTTTCGAACTGCTAGGTTGGCAGGAGCAGGGACCGAGCAACGGGAGCTCACCCCGTTGCAGGGATTCGAACTGTCGACCTTCCGATCGGCAAGCCCTAGGCTCTGTGGTTTAACCCACAGCACCACCCGCGTCCCTGTAGGTCAGGGAGTTGGGTACATAAATGGCACTGGGTGCCTACTATTTATTGAGTTATTTATTTAAGGCTGATTTATATACTGCAGAATCATTAGAGGAACAGAGGAAGCTGCCTTATACAGAACCAGACCACTGGCCCATTTAGCTCAGTGCTGTCTACACTGGTTGGCTGCTGCTTTTTAGCATTTCTGGCAGAAGACTCTCCCAGCCCTGCCTGCAGATGCCGGAGATTGAACCTGGAGCATTCTGCTTGCAAGGCAGATGTTCAAACACTAAGCCAGTGCTTCTCAAACTTGGATCCCCAGCTATTGTTGGACTCCCAGCATCCCCAGCTAGCAGGACCGGTGGTCAGGGATGATGGGAGTTGTAGTCCAACAACAAATTTGAGATGTTCTTCGACCTGGGGCCCTCTCAATGTGTAGGACCACAACTCCCATCAGCCCCAGCCGAGTGATGGGAGTTGTGGTCCAACACAACCAGAGGACCCCCAGGCTGGCATAAGGCTGGCCTAGATCAGGGTTTGCCAAACTTGAGTTTCCAGCTGTTTCTCGACTACACTTCCCATCATCCCTGACCACTGGTCCTGCTAGCTAGGGGATGATGGGAGTTGTAGTCCAAAAACAGCTGGAGGCTCACATTTGGGAAACCGTGGCCTAGATGATCTCGCCTTCTGTGAAGCAGCTTCCGACGTCCTTCCGCTGTTCTCAGAGTCTTTTCCCTGTCTCCCTTCAGCCATCTGAACCCGCTGGCCATGCAGGAGGCAGCGTCCTTCCTACTGGGCACCCATGACTTCAGCACCTTTCGCTCAGCCTCTGCAGAACTCCCCAAGCGAGACCCAGTTAAGAGCCTTTTGCGGGTGGAGGTCAGACCTGTTCCTGGCTTTCTCTCGGAGCACAGCAAAGACAGGTAACATCACTGGGGGTGTTTTATGCTGGGAGGCCAGGTTCAGTGGACCCATTAAAAATAAAGTAATGGGTTGCATTCCGTGCTAGCCCTATTCAGAGTAGGTCCATTGAAATTAATGGATATGGCAGTTGGTTGGAGCATGGTGCTGATAACCCCAAGGTGGCAGTTTCAATTCCTGTATGGGACAGCTACATATTCCTGCATTGCAGGGGGCTGGACTAGATGATCCTCAGGGTCCCTTCCGCTTTGATGATTGTATGACTAACTTAGGTCCATTCATTTCAATGGGTCTTCTCTGAGTAGGTCTTAGATTGTGTGCGCACTATACATTTAAAGCCCATCTCATTAACAGCCCCCTAAAAAAGTTCCTGAGAACTGTAGTTTACTATTCCAAGTGCCAGTTTTCAGCACCCTTAACAAACTACAGTTCCCAGGATTTTTGGGTGTGCACATGCTTTAAATGTTTGGGGTGTGTGCCGCATTAGTTGGATATGACCCATTAATTCTATATCGTTTGCTTGCTTGTTTGCTGTTTTTGAACAATTTATTCCCGTTGTTTGCTAATCACTTTTGCAGGAGGAAGGCAGGGCATAGGATCAAAGAAAGGCCCCTTGCCTCAAGTTGGACCCTCAATCCACCCAGTTCAATAGTGTCCTTGCCATGGCAGGGTTGCAGATGTGCTGCTCTGGGTTGTTTCCAACTCAAACAGCCTTTCTCAACCTGTGGGTCCGCAGATGTTGTTGAACTACAACTCCCATCACCCCTAGCTAGCAAGGCCAGAGCTCAGGGATGATGGGAGTTGTAGTCCAGCAACATCTGGGGACCCACAGGTTGAGAACCACTGAACTAAAAGGATACTCGAGGATAAACCCACTGAAATCAACCAACCCAAGTTAGTTGTGTCCATCAATTTTAAACGTAGGCCTGTCAATTCCAATGCATAGCTCTCTCTGTTCTCCATTTTAGAAGCCTCTCTCACGCCTCCCACAGGAACCCAGCAAGGCTTATACAGAGTCAGACCCCTTGATCCATCTGTCTTGGTATTGTCAACACTGACTGGCAGTGGCTCCTCAAGGTTTCAGGCAGGGGACACCCCAGTCCTGAACCCGGGACCCTCTTCATGGAAGGAAGTCAATCCATCAGTGAGCTATGACATTCTCTTATGACATAATAATAATAATAATAATAATAATAATAATAATAATAATTATTTATACCCCACCCTCCCCAGCCAAGACTGGGCTCAGGGTGGCTAACACCAAGTATAAAAACAATTGATTAAAATACAACTTAAAAACAAGATTAAACTACAACATTAAAATGCAGCCTCATTTCAGTGGAAACTCAAATCAAAAACTTTTTGGGGGGATGAAAACGTCAAGTCTTCACCAACTATCCAGACTGGTCCTACGTGGGCCAGAAAAAAAGCCAGGGAAGTCCCCAAATAGGAGTTCCATCACAGAAGGAGAAAGGAAAAAGGAAAGAGGAAAGAGGGGGAGGGGATCAAGTTGATTCCAAGCCAAAGGCCAGGCGGAACAACTCTGTCTTACAGGCCCTGCGGAAAGAAATCAGATCCTGCAGGGCCCTGGTCTCATGAGGCAGAGCGTTCCACCAGGCCGGAGCCAGTGTTGAAAAGGCCCTGGCTCTGGTTGAGGCTAATCTAACTTCCTTAGGGCTCGGGACCTCTATGGTGTTATTTTTATGGACCTTAAGGTCCTCTGTGGGGCATACCGGGAGAGGCGGTCCCATAGCCATCAATAGCCCACTTCTCCATTGTCTACTGATGCAGGGCTGCAAATACTAACTGGCAGTGGATCTCCAGGGTTTTGGGTTGGAGACCTACCTGGAGATGCTGTGGATTGAACTCACGGCCTTCTGCATGAAGGCAGCTGCTCTACTGCCGAGTTACGTGCAGCTGATCGCAGCCCTTGACCTGAGAGTCCAACAGATAGATAGATAGATGCTCTAACCACTGAGCTATGACCCTTCTTGGAAGCCTTGGAACTCCCTTTCAGTCATCTTTGCTCCCCAGCTCCTGTCCCTCGACAGTGTACGTGGACAGAAACAGGTGGCCACGGACAGCCCATTACGTGCATCACAGTGCCGAAGCTCAGGATCATGGCCTCGATGCTCCTCTTGATGGGACGTTGCCAATCCCCTCTCCAGAGTTGCTTAGCAACTCCCCTGCTCGAGAGAAAAGGCCTGTTTCCAACAGATGCCCTTAAGACGCCGGGTTCGGAAGCCGCACTCCATTGTTCGAAGGGGAAGCGAGAAAGCCGGGGGGGGGGAGAATAGGAGGATTATTTGAAACTGGAAGGACACGGAGTAATTCTACTTGGAAGCACATTGTTGGAAAGAGAAAGGAGAGGGGGGGGGGAAATAAGGAAAACGAACTTGGATTACTATAATGCAGGAGCCTTTTTTCTTGCCGTGTCGAAGGATAAGTGCGTTCCCAAGGTTATCCCGCATTGTCTGCCCTGCTTTCAGAAGCGGAGGTCTTTCAAGGAGTAGTGTGGACGTGTCTGTTTTATTTGGCAAAGAAGGAGTCAGAGGAAGCAGCTGTCAAGGCAGAGAGCCTGGGAAGAGGAGTGGGGAATTGAGGGGCAGGGAGCTGTCTGTGGTGCTGAAGTGCCACCCTGCCTGCCAGCAGCCCCTGCTGAAACCTGCCTCTTAGATTCAGAGATTTAACGAAACGCTGCACACATTTCTTCACCACGTCCTTCAGGACTAGAAGCTTGTCTCTACAATTAGAACCCCGTGGAACCCCTACTTTCAAAAATCTTGATATCTCTGCGGTAGTCTTTGTTACGCAGATGGTGCCACCGTACCCTTTAACATGCCCCAGAGCAAAACCGGTGTGGTGCGAGCAATTTTTTTTATTTTGAAAGTGTGGCCCAGAGGAAAAGAGATTGAGAACCCACTAAGCTAAGTGAATCGTGCCCATTAATTTCAGCGGGTCTGCTTTGCGTAGGACAACCCTTCGTAACAGATTGTCTTTCTCTCCACGCCCCCCCCCAGCTTATCCCATAATGCCCAATAAAGGCAGATTAATTCTTGTTCAGAATAAACAAAGAAAATTGAGCGTTAAGGGTGCCAACCGTTTGAACAGGATGCTGGAGGCGGGTGGGGAGGAGAGTGAGGAATCTTGCATTTTCAAAAAGAGAAAACCAACACGATTCCTATTGTTTCTCTTTCCTGGGCTCGCTGGGCCCTGCCAGGTTGTGGGAGAAAGACCAGCTGTCTCGGAGCAAAGTCTCCATGTGATCCGAAAACGGAATGAATAATAGTCATGGAATTGCGGGTGGGTGTTTACAGGCTCTCTTGTGCAACCCAGGAATTTCAGAGCGAGGGCTTCACACACAGGTGGAAGACCCTCCCATGGAGGGAGAGACGCTATCCAAGGTCATTGTTTCCATTATCCATTGGCATTACAGCAGGTGCCACGTAACACCCGTTCCACATTTGTAAGGGCTCTGTGACCGTTTAATGTGGCATCGCTTACACTTTGGAACTGCCTGCCTCATGATATCAGGCAGCCACCTTCACTGCACTCTTTTTGGCGCCTGCTAAAATTCTAGTTTAGACAAACCTACCCAGGTCATAGCTGTCAACTTTTCCCTTTTCTTGCGAGGAATCCTATTCGGAATAAGGGAATTTCCCTTAAAAAAGGGAAAAGTTGACAGCTATCACCCAGGTGCTTAGAAAGTTGATGTGGATTTTAACCCATTCAAAGTATTTTAACATTTGGAATCTTTTAAACTATTGTAATTTTTTTCTTGATTTTCTTGGAGGGCGGTTGTACATCGCTTTGAGGTTTCGCGGTTGTTTTTAGCAGTCAAGCTATGTATAGATTTTGTTAAATAATAAAATAATTGTTATCAGTAAACAGCACTTACTACCAACTTTCAGCTGATTCAGGGCAGAAAGGAATGGATATTTTAAAGGAGCGTGTGGTTTGTCTCACCTCGAAAAAAGGATATTGTAGGGCTGGAAAAGTTTCAGGATTAAGAGAACAACCAATCTTTTGGTTTCCTCTTTTTCTTGTAAAGTGCTTTGAGGTTGTTGGTTTCTTACAATCTTAAGTGGTGTTGCAGCATTTGGGACTTTTTACTTCAGAGAAAGGGGGAGTAAGGGGCAAGTAGTAGTAGAAGTGTTTGAAATATTTATGGCATGGGAAAAGTGGATGAGGAAACTTTTTTTCTCCCTTTCTCACAACACTCGGAACGCATGAGCATCCAGTGAAACTGATGGCTGGAAGATTCAGGAGAGATAAAAGAAAGGATTTCTTCACGCATAGTGGAACTGTGGAACTCACTCCCGCAGCAGGCAGTGGATGGGACAAATTCATGGAGGATGGGACAAATTGTGGCTATTAGCAACGATGGCTATGCTCTGCCTCCGCAGCTGGAAGCAGAAATGCTTCCCAGTCTCTGGGAATCACAAATTGGACAGTGCTGTTGTTGCACTCAGGTCCTGCTTTCAAGCTTCCCTGATGAACATCTTTTGGTTGCTGTGAAGACCAGATCCTTTGGCCCAGTCCAACAGGGATTTTCTGATGTTCTTGTTCATTGTTCTCTCATTGGATATATTTAAAGGGGGATTATTATTATTATTATTTTAAAAACTGATTATTTCATTCTTTTTGGAAACCGCTTTGAGGTTTTAGTTTTAGGGTTTTTTTAAACTACAGTGGATGCTCAGGTTGCGAACGTGATCCGTGCGGGATGCACGTTTGCAACCCGCGTCTGCGCACGTGCGGGTTGCGATTCAGTGCTTCTGTGCATGCGCAAAGCGCAATTTAGTGCTTTTGCGCAAGCGCCGAAACCCAGAAGTAACCTGTTCCAGTACTTCCATGTTTCGGTGGTCCGTAACCCGAAAAAACGCAACCTGAAGCGTCTGTAACCCAAGGTATGACTGTAAGTGGCATATAAATTTTGTGAAATACAATAAATAAATTATATTTTCCTTGTGTTGGCATGGGTAGATTTTACCAGGGTGCTGGCATCATGAAACAACATGAAGCAATGTGAAAAATTAACAATTAGTGGAATGCCCCCTCCCCAAATGTTGCCTGTGAATGGAATGATGAATTCAGGGCAGGGGGCGGATTTGGTCTCCACCATATTTTCTCTCTCCCCCCCCCCCATGGCGCTGCTGGAAGTGGTACAGTCCAGGCGAAGCTTTACCACCTGGCTGTGCCTTCTGCCCTGTTTCCCTGACGGCTAGAAACCCTCTGAGCTTTAAACGCTGTCAGATTTGCTGACTTTTCTGTTAGCCCACCCTAGACTGCTGAGCGAGGAAATCACATTCTTTTAAAAACCCATCTGAAAGAGCCCAGTGAGAGAGAGAGAGGATGGATAGCTGCCTCCCTCATGAAATCACATGCTAGGTGATTACAGACCTATTATCCCACCCTCTCCCTTGTCAGCACTATTTATTTTTGGCTGAATTGTTAGAAGCGGGAGGCCTGGAAAACAACATGCCATGAATCCTGCAAGTCGGCATAAAACGTAAACCTTTTGACTTCCATGGTGGTGGTGTTTCCATTTTTGTTTTAAGTCCCTAGTCCTCAAGATTCTTCTGGCAAACCCTCCCCACAAATAAACACACAGTGGATTATTATTAGTAATAGTAGTGAAAATGTAACGCATCCTTAAAAATTGTTCTGCAAATAAGCAAGTGGTGGGTTTTTTTTGTTATTTGTCCTCAAGGGTTGTTCTGGCAACCCCGCCACACAAATAAGGAAGTGGTAGCTTAAAAAAAATAAAAAATAAGATTAGTAGTCCTCAAGGCTGGTTCTGCCAAGCCCTCCATGTGGATGAAGCAGGCAGTACCCGCTTCTAGCCCCTCAATCCAAAGTTGGCCTTAGGTTGGGAGTAAACTTGGCCAAGCTTGCCCTACAGCCTTTTTTGGGGACGGTGAACAAGGGACAAGAGCTAACGGTGACAGCCTGTTGTCTTTGTCCATGGAGTTTTCTTGCCGGTTCCTGCTCCGGGTGGATCACGTTTGGTCAAAACTCTCCACTATGACCTGTCCATCTTGGGTGGCCCTGCACGGCATAGCTCATAGCTTCTCTGAGTTATTCAAGCCCCTTCGCCACGGCAAGGCAGTGATCCATGAGGCAGTGAGAGATTTTACTTTCTTGGGCTCCATGATCACTGCAGATGGTGACAGCAGCCACGAAATTAAAAGACGCCTGCTTCTTGGGAGAAAACCAATGACAAACCTAGACAGCATCTTAAAAAGCAGAGACATCACTTTGCCAACAAAGGTCCGTATATTTAAAGCTATGGTTTTCCCAGTAGTGATGTATGGAAGTGAGAGCTGGACCATCAAGAAGGCTGGTCGCTGAAGAATTGATGCTTTTGAATTATGGTGCTGGAGGAGACTCTTGAGAGTCCCATGGACTGCAAGAAGACCAAACCTCTCCATTCTGAAGGAAATCAGCCCTGAGTGCTCACTGGAAGGACAGATCCTGAAGCTGAGGCTCCAATACTTTGGCCACCTCATGAGAAGAGAAGACTCCCTGGAAAAGACCCTGATGTTGGGAAAGATGGAGGGCACAAGGAGAAGGGGACAACAGAGGACGAGATGGTTGGACAGGGTTCTCGAAGCGACCAACATGAGTTTGACCAAACTTTGGGAGGCAGTGGAAGACAGGAGTGCCTGGCGTGCTCTGGTCCATGGGGTCACGAAGAGTCAGACACGACTAAACGACTAAACGACTAAACAACTAAACAACAACAAACGGTGACAGCGGCCTTTAATACACCTTGCCAATTTACAGCCTGCCCCAATTCGCCCTGTGAAAAAAACGAAGACCCCGATTGGCAGATTAATCCCAAGCACTGAGGCCGAAGATAGATTTGGGGTGCTCTTTGCTGGCTCGCAGATTTGGACCCATCGTTTCCCTCCCAGCTTTTAAGAAGGATTTTAAGTGGAACCATAATCCTTTCTCCTCGCAAGCGGGGAGGTGGGAGGGAGCAGCCTATCGATCGCGCTTTGTTGCGCCTGCTTCCCATTAAGGCTGAATCGCTTATATTTTCGGTCACTGAGAGATTTAGGCAGAGGCCTCGGGCTCTTCATGAGTCACTAAAAGCAGGCCGGAGCCCTTAATCTGGGCCGCTGTCCTCTGTTCTCGCACGCAAGCAGACTCCAGGGGGCATTGACCCCGGCTCCCAATTCCCTCCCTCCAAAAAAAGAAGAGCCTGTCAGTATTTGTAATGTAATTTCATTGGGAATGTGTTTCACAAAGAATAGATGGTATTGGGGAAAGGAGGTGGCAGTTGGAAATTGGCAGTTGGCTGGTTATTCAGTTACTTCTTTCTTGACTGTGAAACTGAGAGGTGTGGGGACTTCATGCAGACGGCGTCTGGAGGTGTTTGTGAATAATATTTGTTGTTCAAGTGTTGCCAGCCTGACAAGTTTAAAGATTTATATTTAACTATTCGTGTAAGACACACACACAAAGAGAGAGAGACTGTATTTTTCTGTGTATAAGACACCCCCTATTTTGGGGGACTCAAATTTAAGAAGTTTGCACTGTGCGCTACCCATGTATAAGACAGCCCCCATTTTTTAGCATAATTTTTAAAGGAAAAAACCTAGTCTTATACACGGAAAAGTACAGTACAGTGGTACCTCGGGTTACATACGCTTCAGGTTACAGACTCTGCTAACCCAGAAATAGTGCCTCGGGTTAAGAACTTTGCTTCAGGAAGAGCACAGAAATCGTGCTCCGGCGGCAGCGGGAGGCCCCATTAGCAAAAGTGGTGCTTTGGGTTAAGAACAGTTTCAGGTTAAGAACGGACCTCTGGAAGGAATTAAGTTCTTAACCCAAGGTACCATTGTATATAGGGACATGGGTGGCACTGTGGGCTAAACCACAGAGCCTAGGGCTTGCCGATCAGAAGGTTGGCGGTTTGAATCCATGCGACGGGGTGAGCTCCCGTTGCTCGGTCCCTGCTCCTGCCAACCTAGCAGTTCGAAAGCACATCAAAGTGCAAGTAGATAAATAGGTACCGCTCTGGCGGGAAGGTAAACGGCATTTCCGTGCGCTGCTCTGCTTCGCCAGAAGCGGTTAGTCATGCTGGCCACATGACCTGGAAGCTGTACGCCAGCTCCCTCGGCCAATAAAGCGAGATGAGCGCCGCAACCCCAGAGTCGGTCATGACTGTACCTAATGGTCAGGGGTCCCTTTACCTTTACCTTTTACCATTGTATATATTATCACAAATTGCTAATGGAGCCTGGCTGCTGGGTCAGGCCAACAGCCCGTCAAGCCCAGCATCCTGTCCTCACAGTGAGCAGGCAGATGTTTCTGGGAAACCTCCAAAAGGTGGACCTGAGCATAACGAACACTCTCACAGGCAAAAGCCGGTGGTGCCCATTGGAACTGGTGCGGAGGAAGGCAGGGAGCCCAACAGTAGGTGGCGCCAGAGCCAATGTTTGGTTCAGCCAACTCAGGTATGTCCTCATCCTGCTCCCTGCTGAGTTCTGCAAGGACAGCACCTGAAACTTAAGGGAGGTGAAAACGGACGGGTTGTAAGAAGTCAGGCAGGTGGTGGCTGGCTGAGTCCAGATTGCGCTTGGTGGGGCACTGCCCCCTTCACCCTGATGGACCAACCTCTACTTACAAAGATCCAGTGAGTTCCTTTCCTGCCGTAAGAGGGACCCAGATTTTCATTTTCATTTTTTTTGCCAGGGGAGATTATACAAACGCTGCACTCAAAAAATTGAGAACGTTCAAGTATTTCATCTGACTTGCAGTTTTTTGTTTTTAAAGCAAAGCGCCCCGGTTCACGTTTCCTGGACTTAATATGCTGGTCAGAAAGCAGTTACTTTTTAACATATGCACGTCTATGAGTTCTGCCATTACCTTCTCAGACAATATGTCAAAATGCTTGCTAAATCTGAAGTCTTGGTGTTTTTTAAATGGTAGAACGTGTGCGGAAATGTTTTTTGAAAAAGGCATACAAAAATAGTGTGAATATTAACTTCAAAAAAACACCACCACCCTTATACACAGAAATGAGATGGATCTGACCTGGATTTTAGTTATTGTCCACTTGGACAAGTTATATACTGCTTATATGTTATATTTGTATTATTTATTTCATAAGATTTATAAATTGCTTGAAAGATTGAAAAACAAAGCCTCAAAGGGATTTACAAAAAGGATAAAATGATAATATTACCAATAGGAAAAATTAACAACAATAATTTAAGACTTTTGAAAATCTAAATTGATAATATAGTAGAAACAGATGGAAGTTCATATCAACAACTGGGCAGGCTTGTCTAAACAGAAATGTTTTTAGCAGGTGTCAAAGAGGGTACCGCGAGGGTGCCTGTCTGATATTAATAAGCAGGGAGTTCCAAAGGTATATTTAAACACGTCTCTAAATGGTTTGTGACCTGGGTGAAAACATCTTAATCTTTAAAAACAAAGCAAAACAAAACAAAAAACCAAGAGGACTGCCAAATTCTGTAAGACAGAATTACCAACTAAATTGAACATCTTTAGCATCAAAACAAACACTACCCATAATAATCAGCTACGAAAAAATACACAAGGAATTCTGTATTGCAAGACCTAGTGAACAGCTAGTCCAAATATCCTCTAATACAGCAAGAAATAAATTGTTACACATGAAGATCAACTAAAAAGTATCAACTCCACATATGAAAGTGGCACGGAGTAGAAATTGACGGATCCGTCCACTCCTACTTAAAATATGTTGCTGAAGTGGCTTCTGAGCTGCTTGGTTTATTAGAAGCTTGCCCTGCGTACATTGGATTGCCCCCAGCATGAAGGCAGTGGCTGTACCCCTGTCGCTTGTGCCCAGGTGGTCAGGTATACTGCCTCTGTCCCTGGAGGTTCCATTCCTGACCCTCACTCCTAGGGTGAAGGGCACTGTTGGGTCTGCTGTGCATCAAAATGCTCTTGACTCTTCATCAGGGCCGGCAAGATGGTGGAGAAGCAGCCCCGCGAAACAGCTGGTCTGCTGCCACCAATCTTGCCCGACAACATGGGTGGGGATGCTCCAGCCCACAGTCTGAATCCGGCTTTAGCACACCCACCTGCCCCACCTGCATGCTTACGGTGAGCTCCTCATTGTTTCTTTGTTGGAGCAAGGTGCACCCTTGCTAGTCAGCTGATAGGCAGCGAGAACATGCCTCGTTCTAGCAAAGCAACAGTTGGGAAACTCATTTTTGAAACTGATTTTTCTTCTTTTTCTGGGTGCTATTGGAGGAAGGATGCGCTCCTCCTGCCTGTCAGCTGATGGGCCCACATCACTCTTCAGGAGGTCTTAGGAACGTCCAGAGTGGTAGCAAAAATCCATCCTGCAGAAGCGAGTTCCAGAGTTGAACAGTGCACAGTGTTGAAAAAGTGCTTCCTTCTGTCCTTCCTGATCGTTTTATCTCTAACTCCCCCCCCCCTTTGCTTTTTTCCAGCCATCTGAGGTTTTGGGAGATGGAGTTTACGGCCCCGTCTTTTCTCTACAAACAGGTACCGTGAAAGCTAACTCCCCACAAAAGCCAGCTTTAAACTGGCCTGAACCCAGTTTTTACACTCCCTTATTATCCTCGGCGTTTGGTATCTTTGGGTCCTGCTCTGAACACCTTCTCCATATTGTGACCTGGTAGTTTGCACACAAAGCAGGCTTCATCAAATGGTCTTTCTGCATGGTGGCACAGCAGATCCTGCTCTGGGGAGTGAGTTGTGCTATGGGATCTTTGGAGTCCCAATTCTACGACTCTATGAACTGTAGAATGTTGTTGAGCTGGCGATCCTGATTTGGGAATCTAAGACACGAAGGTGATAACTCACTCCCGTTGCTGCTTCCCTGTATACTGCCTCTGAACCTGGAAGTCTGACGTAGCCATTGTGACCAGTACTGCTAGACCGATCCCTCACTGTGAATTGGTTTAATCCCCGTATCCGGTGGCTGCCACCACTGGGTCATGTAGCTCAGTCTCATCTGTGCCAACCTTGGGGAAAGGCTGTGGCTCAGTGGCAGAGCATCTGCTTTGAGTGCAGAAGGTCCTGGGTTCAATCCCCAGCAACATCTCCAGGTAAGGCTAGGAGAGACTCCCTGCCTTGAAAACCCTGGGGAGCTGCTGCCAGTCAGTGCGGACAGTACCGAGCTAGATGGAGCAGCGCTCCAACTTGGTGTAAGACAGCCTCCTTTGCTCCATTTTAATTCAGGCCCTCATTCAGAATATAAAGGACTAGAATAATACTTTATATTTAGGAGAAAGAATGCAGCAGATTCCAAGTTCACTATTCTACGGGTGTGTGTGTTAGGACTTGGAATGTGTTGTTGTAAGGCAAAGGTAAAGGGACCCCTGACCATTAGGTCCAGTCATGGCCGACTCTGGGGTTGCGGCGCTCATCTCGCTTTATTAGCCAAGGGAGCTGGCATACAGCTTCCGGGTCATGTGGCCATCATGACTAAGCCACTTCTGGTGAACCAGAGCAGCGCACAGAAACGCCATTTACCTTACCGCCACAGCGGTACCTATTTATCTACTTGCACTGGCATGCTTTTGAACTGCTAGGTTGTCAGGAGCAGGGACCAAGCAACGGGAGCTCACCCCGTCACAGGGATTCAAACCGCCGACCTTCTGATCGGCAAGTCCTAGGCTCTGTGGTTTAACCCACAGCACCACCCACATCCCAACAACACCTGTGTTGTTGTAGGACCCCCTAATCTTGGATTAAAGAAGGGGCCGGCAGTCTTTTGGGGGCCAATGTTTAAAGTTTTGAGAGGGTGCTGTGAGTGCCTGTCGCAAAATAGCTGCCATGTCAGTGCTGATTGACGTAACACAAGCCATCAGCTTCTCCCTTTCGCAGCCTGGTAGTTTGCATGTTGAGCACATTTCATGAAAGAGTCCTTGCATGGTGGCAGTTGGTAGCTCCCCCTGCTTTTTTAGCCCAGAATTGGCAGTTCCTTAGATCACTGGCATTTGCTGCAGAAAGTTTGGGAGCTTGAAGTTGAGATGGGCATGACTCTCTAGTTCTCCCGTCAGCTCTGCAGACAGATCCCACTGCTGCCCCAACTCAAAAAAATGTTTTCTGTACCTCTTGATTGTTTCTCATGCTTTGTAGGACACTAGCCTCCCTTTTTGCACTTACACAACAAGAATGCAAACACGGAGGATGAATTATACAGTGGGGTGCGTGGTAATTTGCATCGCTGATGTGGGTTGCGGAGTCCAGCTTGCCTTGGGCACAGGGTTCGAATTGCAGGGCCTAGGTGCAAAATCTTCTTTTGAGGCAAGTGTCTATGCAACACTGTCTCATAGCCTCATCCAATGAAGGGCTGAGATTTATTTCACTCTTTAAATGGAACATCTGCACTGGATCAGAAACCCAAGGAAACTGACACAGTCTTCTCACTGCTGCCCCCCTCTGGTTTTATGCCAGTACTTGGCATTTCAGTACTTGGAGAACGGGCATCAGTGTTTGCCCTTGGTTAGATAAAGTACAGATCCAAAGCACCCTCGGCAGGAAACAGCAGATCCACACTATGTATTTAAAGTGTGTTTGACACACATTTAAACAGTTCCCCAAAGAATCCTGGGAACTGTAGTTTAAGGGCACTGGGAATTGTAGCTCTGTAAGGAGGAAAGCACTTTGAGTGGAAGTCATGTGCTTTAAATGCATGGCATGGAGAGAGAGAGAGAGAGATTTAAATGGGAAATGTTGAATAGAAGCATCAAAGTGTAGGAGGGCAGTGCCCTCTGGTGGTGAATGCTAGAAGTGCTGTTTGTGTAGGCCTGTGGCTCCCCCAAGAACCCTGCAGTATTCGGGGAGAGGGGAACCTCTGGCCTTCCAGATGTTGCTGGACTCCAGCTGCTAATGATCCCAGAGGCTGGGACTGCTGAGAGCTGCAGACAGGTATCTTTCCTACCTGATCCTTTTGGTCAGAGTTGTCAGGGATTGAACCTGCATGCTGCTGAGCTGCAGTTACACCTGAGGAACATAGGAATCTGCCTTACACTGGTTCATCTAGCTCAGTCCCATCTGTGCCAACCTTGGGGAAAGGCTGTGGCTCAGTGGCAGAGCATCTGCTTTGATTGCTGAAGGTCCCAGGTTCAATCCCAGCTGGGAGAGACTCCCTGCCTTGAAAACTCTGGAGAGCTGCTGCCAATCAGTGTAAACAAAACTGAGCTTAGATGGGCCAGTTGTTTGATTCAGTAATAAACCAGCTTCCAATGTTCCTATGGCCACCTCCAGGGGGTCTTTCTGAGCCCTTCGTAAAGATGTGGTGGGTTGAAACTTAGGCATGCAGCACAAATGCTCCACCCACTGAGCAACATGGCCCCCTTCCTCCTTAATTGCCAGGAATTTATGCACACAGTCTCAGATCTGGCATGCTCCCCCAGGAAGCTATATTTACACTAGGTCAGAACATTTGTTCCATGTGCTCCTTATCATCTACTCTGACTGGCAGCAGCTGTGTGGGAGTCTTTCCCAGCCCTACCAGGAGTGTCTTGAGCTCTTTTGCACACAAAAGGGCCTTCTCTTCTTCCGCCAACCGCTGTCCCCTCCTTGAACTGTTTGAGCACTGTAATTTGGTGGCGGCGGTTGGGGTTTTACATTTATAAAGGAAATGTTTAGTTACTGGCTGCTCTGGGCGGCCTTTCCCGGGTGGGAGAGCAGAGTATATAAAGCACCGGCAAATACACCAAAACTGCAACCTCCAGAAGGGTCCAGAAAGCTGCCGTCTCGCAGATTTCCACAGCCTGCATCTGAATGTGGGCAGCTGCAAGGGAGGCAGATGGAACCACATCCTTTTCCTTCCAAGTTGTTATCTCACAGAGAGGCGGCTGCTATTTTTGGTTTGTCTGAGGTGTTGTTGTTTCACACCTTCGTTTCCACCTCCACAGTCTTCCTCATTCATTCATTCATAAACCTTTCCTCCAAGGTGGCCCACACAGAACCACCTCCTTGTTCCCCGTTCTCCTAACAACAACCCTGTGAGGTAGGGTAGACTGACTGGCCCCATGGTCACCCCGTGAGCCCCATGGCTGAGTGGGGCTTTGAACCTTGGTCTCTCAGGTCCCAGTCCGACAGGTCTCCCTCCCTTCCCTGGGAATGGCACCAAACCAGCTGTGATGTAGTGGTTTCTGTCTCCTGGGTCCAAGAATTGCCCAATCAGCACAAAAGGAAAGGTTTTTGGGCACTGAGAAGAAGTCTTCCCACATTTTGGGCTGATTGGAGCCAATCAAAGTGAAAGGAGGTGAGTCAGCCACTGAGGATTGGCTCCTAGGGTCCCTCTGGAGAAGGCGTGCAGGAAGAACGCCCAAGAGTATGCACGCCCCAAAGCTCAGCATTTAGGAACACTGGAAGCACAAAAGGCTTTGGTTTCAAGGGAGTCAGGGGGCAGGTTCTGTTGCATGCAGTGGACCTTCAAGGAAGACACAACTTTAAGTTGCTGTGAAAGAAGATATTGGGAGACCTCCAAATCATTTGCCCACAAAAAATAGTAGATGTAGCTGAAAGGCAACACGTGGAGGAGATATGCACTGATTGTTGGATTGTATCCATTATTATTAGTATTTCAGGATTATAAAATCACTGTATAATCTTCGAAGGGGGCATGGCTTGTGACTATCAGGAAGGGACTCTGCACTTTGCCACTGCAAGTCATAGAATAAGAGAATTGTAGAGTTAGAAGGGACCCTGATGATCATCTAGTCCAGCCCCCTGCAATACGCAGCTGTCCCATATGGGGATCGAACCCGCAAACTTGGCATTATCAGCACCACGCTCTGACCAACAGAGCTATCCATTGATCCGAACTCCAACAAGACGGTTGCCAACTCCAGGAAGAAACGTGGGAAGCTGTCTCTTGCTTTCATTATTACTTTTTTATTAGCTTTATTTTCTCCTGCCCTTGTTCCCGAAGGAGGCCAGGGCAGGCAATATCAAAACGTTTAAGCAGTCCCAACTCAAATGAAATTAAAACATATTTAGAGACCATCTAAGCATCTAAAAGCATTACCCTGCCAAGGTTGCCACTGCCAGGATCTTCCAGCCCTTCTAGGGAACAGGAATGCCCTTATAGTTCTCCTAAGAGGCAGTGATGAGGGAGACAGATGCACCTCACTAGTGTTGCCTACACTGGCCGGCAGCACCTCTCCACGTTCTTAGACAGGGAGGCATTCCCAGCCCTGCTGGAGATGGTGGGGGTTGAATCTGGGATCCTTTGCAGATCTGGGATCCTCTGCCAAGCAGATAACTCTCCCACTGAGCCTCGACCCTTCCCTCCTTTACCCATCCGACATCCTGCTGCAGGAAAATGGGGCGGGGGGAGCCCAGCATTTTGGCTCTGCTTGTGGTCCACCCACAAGAGTCTGCAAGGGCAGAAGTCGGTGACACCGGAGGTGTTCACACGCTCGCTCACCTCCACCCTCCCACCAAAAGGAAAGAGAGCGGTGAACGAAAGTTTCCTTTCTGAAACCGACAGGCTCACGCTGCCGGGTTCTTTGGCCCACATGACCATTTTATAAAAGCAGCTCTGCTGGGTCGGAGGAAAAGGCCTGTTTCTTTCAAGTTTTTCCTCCCAGGGGGCTCAAGATGGGGACTCTTATCGTTCTTCCCCACCCCCTGCCAAGCCTCACGACAAGCCTGCGAGGTGGGCTAGTCTGAAAGGTAGTGGCCTGGCCAAGGTCACCCACTGACCTTCAACAGCTGAGCAAGAACTGTAAAAGGCATTAAAGCCCACAAGCAGCCCCTGGAAGCAATGTCTGTGACTGTTTCCTGTCCCTGGCAGTGGCTGCTCAGGGCAGATTCTACCGCAGAGGTTTTGTTTAACCCCCTGCCTTGAATCTGACCCCTCCTAGACTAGAGAGCCAAATGCAGAAAACTGCTCCCAAGCATATTCAGAACTGGCAAGCTAGAACCAATGGAGGCAGCTGGTTTGGTGTCGTCTAGCTCTCTTAATTGTTAGAAGCTTGTTTTCTTCTTTCATCCAATGGGACAATGCCAATATTTGTTTTAATGTTTGTTGTATTACCACCGCCGTTCTTCAAGTTTTTATTTATTTATTGGGGAGATGGGGAGCCTACAGCCTTCCAGATGGTGCTGGTCTGCAACTCCCATCACCCCTGGCTGTTGGCTGGGGCTGATGGGAATTAGAGTCCCATGGTGTCTGGTGACCTAGAGGTTTGTCATTATTAGAGAGGGGATCCTAAGAAATCGAGAACATAGCCCCCCCCAAAAAAGTCTTAATTGTGTAAGTCAATAAAATGCCCATTCCATTTGCACAGCGTTCCATTGGCTGTTCATGCTCATTCACTTCCATGGCTTTTGCTGATTAATATCCTACAGCCCTTTAAATATAACTGTGAGAAGGGTGTGTGTGTTATTGTTCTGTTCTTTTGGTTTTAATTATTTTCTGTGTTTTATCTTGTATTTTATTCTGTGAACTGCCCTGAAATCTTTGGAATGAACAAATGATTGAATGGGTCTAGCAACTCTGACCAGGTCTAATGTTGGATATAACCCCCTGAGTCAGACCCATGGAAGTGAATGGAGGCAACTATCTTAAGCCCATTGATTTAAACTGCTCTACAGTGGTACCCCGAGTTACAAACTTAATTCATTCTGGAGGTCCATTCTTAACCTGAGGTACCACTTTAGCTAATGGGGCCTCCCACTGCCGCCGTGCCACCAGCCCGTGATTTCCATTCTCATCCTGGGGCAGAGTTCAGAACCCAGAGCAACTACTTCCAGGTTAGCGGAGTTTGTAACCTGAAGCATTTGTAACCCGAGTTACCACTGTACTTGGACAAGGACTAACAATAGATTCATCCTATTGGGTTGACTCTTGACTTAGAAGGGATGCAGCCCCTGGATTTGCCCTAATGGGTAGAGATTGTGGGACTCGTCTGGGGCCGCATTGATTTTTGACCCTCCCCTTCCTTCCCTTGCCAGGTGCGGAGAATGGTTGGCGTCTTGGTGTCCGTCGGCCAGGGCCGCCTCGAACCTCGTCAGGTGCAAAGGCTTTTGGAGATCAGGGACCTGATGGCTTACCCCAACAACACCATCGCGCCGCCCGATGGACTCTTCCTCAAAGATGTGGAGTACTGTGAAGCTGGTTAGTCTGGGAAACCCCACTTGCTTCTGGGGCGCAGAATCCTTAGCTTAGTAGCCTTGCCTGCAGAAGGTCCCAGGCTCAACCCTCAGCATCCCAGACCCTGTGCAGACTTGTCTCAAGCGCAGGCAGATGAATCGAAAACTGAGCGTGCATCACACAACCATCAGGTTGCCCCTGTCTGAAGTGGTCCAGCTCAGGGGCAGATAGAGAACCTCAGCCAAGAAGTAGGTCCCGTGGTGCTGTTTATCCCCCCACTTTGTTGGAGAACTGGTGTTTGTAGGGTGCAAGGAATTCTTAAAAGTTGGGATTTTTATGAGGTATTCTTTTGTGTTCTGAAGGTTCTGTGCTGTGAATTAACATGGCATAGTCAATAGGCTATTGGATGTGTTGCTTTCAGTAACACTTCTCCCCCTTTAAAACTCTCAGCCCCCCCAAGAGACATAGGCAGGATCTACAGGGGAGTTTCAGGCAGGCATGTAAGCCATGCCAGTCAAGCATCTGTTGGTGTGCGTGGAAAATCCAAACTGTTTTTGTTCTCTGTTGTGGTGTCAGGGTGATGAATTGGATTTTAATTATCCCAAGCTGCAGTGTGCCTGCATTTGAAGGACGTGGGGCAGAGATCCTCTTACATGAAATAAAAATCTCCCATTAGAAAGGATCAGGTTGCAGAGAAGAGAGAGACCTCTCTGCCCAAGAGCCTGGAGAGCAGCTGCCCGTCATTAGATTATATGGAAACTTCGTTTCACCTGGTATATAAGGAAGCTTCGGTCTCCATATCTCAGAAAGGGTATTGTGAAGCTGGGAATGGGGAACCAAATCATCAGTTGGAGGCGGCAATACTAATGCCAGTTGCTAAAGCATTTCAGGATTATTAACTTACGAGAAAAGAAGGAAATGTTGAAGAGTGATTAAAAATGTCTGCACTGTGTGGAAAACATGGATAGAGGGGATCTTCCTTTCTCTCTTTGGCCCCAACTGCACTATACATTTAAAGCAGTGCCAAACTCATTTTTAGAAGATGTTGAGATTCTTTTTTATTTTAGATCATACTGCTTCAAACAGTCCTGGCTTCCCCAAAGAATCCTGGAAGCTGTAGTTTGTTAAGGGTACTGAGGAGATGCAGCTTGGGGGGGCGGGTCTCCTAAGAATTCCCAGAGGAGAATTAAGCCACTCTGAGAACTGGAGCTCTGCTTCTTTTGTCGCCGTTTTGAAAACAAGGCTGGTGGGAAAATATGCCTGAAGATTGGTTGTGACTTGCAGACTTTACAGTGCATTTGTATAGAATTTGAACCTCTTCCTGGGCATCTAGTTGTAATAAGCTTGTACAACAATCCAGTAAGGAAGGTCAGTATCCTCATCTCTCATGTTGCAGAAGGAGAGGCTGGAGGCTTGCCTAAGGCTATCAAGCAAGTTCGTGGCAGAGCTGAAATTTGAGCTATGGACTCTTCCCAGTGCTACCAAGTTACACCAGACTTTAGGCCTGTCTTTCCCCTCTTCTTCTCTTTGCAGACTTGGAAATCAGCGAAACGGAATCGGAATGGCAGCCTAATTGAACTCCCCATGACTGGAACAGAGAGAGGTCAGGGGAGGAGAAAACCCTCTTTCCTGTTATGTGGCCACATGTCTTTAAACCTATTCACATACATACGTGGAACATTCTTCAATATCCCATCCCTACAAAACAAACTATATCCAGACATTTTGGGTGGGGGGGTGCTTAGGGCGCAATTACATTTGAACCAGGATTTGAACCCAAAGCTCTTGAACTGGATCCCCAGGCTGTTTTATGCTGTGTAAGACAGAACGTGGCATCCTGAGAATCTCTGCTTGATTCTTTTAGAACAACACACTAGTCCCTAGTGATAAGCTTGGAAACACAGGACAGGGCTGTCTCAGTAACAGGAGGCGGACTGGGCCTTGCCAGGCCAGTGAGGTCTTGATGCAGCAGAGTGGCTTCAGTTTTGGGGTTAAGCTCTGCCTCTGCCAGGAACTCGCTAGGGGGTCCTTTTTGGCAGTCATTCACTTCAAAGCCTTTTGTGCCTCATCTGCAGAACTGATGTGATCCTTACTGGCCTACCTTAGAGAGCCGTTATGAGGATTACAGCAAGATAGCATGCGTGAAGCCATGTGGGTGCCACATAAAAGGGCTATACTTTAATTTTGATTGTGCAAAATAAGCAGCTACTGTTAGTATCTTGCAGAAATTGTTTTTTTATATCCTGTTTTGTGGACCACATTTCCTGATCATCGTTTGTCTAGAATATTGGGGGAGAAGAGATTGCCAAATTAGTTCAGCTATGTTAGATAATCTTAGTAATAGTTTAAGTTAGATAAACTAGATTAGATAAGGCGAAGCTTCCAGTTAGAAACTCAGCACTAGCGGTTTGTGTTATCTGTGGTCCCAATTCCTGGCTTGCACAATGGGTGGCCTATTGACCCAAACGAAACCTGCTGGTGACCTACTAATAGCCCACCATGGGCTTAGTCAATCTCAGCTTTGGGTTCCCGGCTGAGAACTGCAAAACTGATTGGAAAGAGTGTGTGTGCTTGTTTTTAAATGCCTTACACAACACTATCAAACCGATAGTTACGTAAATTCAACTAACAAATATACCCACAATGTAACTGGCTGTGTTTAACTATATAAATTCTTTATACAACCACTGATTCATTTGTACATACGTGGAACACAAAAGCTTCTATTTGGACATTACGTATATAAGACCTGATCTATTTGTATTTCCTGTTCTAAAAGTTGGTCCTTAATTGCTTCTACTCAACTAGATAATGTGAAAAGAGTTATGTTTATATGATGTATAAAGAATTTATATAGTTAAACACAGCCAGTTACGTTGTGGGTCTATTTGTTTTTAAATGCCTGGCAGGCCCCAGCCAAGATCTAAGGGAGCTACATTCGGCCCAGCAGCTTTGACCGAGGTGCCCTAATCTGAACAGGCACCGCTGTGCCTTTGGAGGGGGCCAGTGCCCACACCGCTGGCTGTGCATGCAGCTTGCAGGTTGCTTTTGACTCCACTCTCCACTTCCTGTGACTTTTCAAGACGAAACAGAGTGTGGGAGGAACTTTATTTTTCTCTTCCCTTTTGCAAAAATGCGGAGGTGCCGACTGCTCCTCTCCATCTGAGGTTCAAGAGGAGGTGTGGAGTTAGTAGAAGCCTTTAGAGAGGAGACAGTCCTTGGTGGCACAACAGCTGAAGACCGGCAGGCCAGGATAACACAGACTGGTAAGTTGTCACACACACCCTTCACCCATTTGATGGGTTGCTTCATAAAGCAGGTGGATAGAGATGGTGATGCATTAATGTAATGCAAGTCGGACTTCATTAGAATGACACAAGGGTGGACTCTCCATAGATGTGGTGAGCTCTTATTCCTTGGAGTTTTTTTAATGCAGGTTTAGGTTTGATGACCCTCTGCAAGGGATTCTGAAGCTGTGATTCATAGAACTCTACAGTTCTATGATTCTCTGTTCAGGTTTGCAGTCACTCTGTTCCATCACCTCTCAAAAAAAACAAAACCCCACCTAGTCAACATTCTGTAGCTTTTGAGCATCTTCAGTCCTGATTCAAGAGTTTGGGGAGTTAGGAAGATAGGAAGCTGCCTTATGCAGTCAGACCATGGGTCCAGCTGGCTCAGTGGCAGCAGCTCTCGAGGCTTTCATGCAGGGAATTTTCTGTTGGGGATTGAGCCTGGAACTTTCTGCATACAGGCTCTACACCACTTTGCCCCTTAGGATCTTGTCCCCTTCCTTGGTGGTCTAATTTTGAGGGGGCCCCCCCCATGCCTGCTGATAGCTCCCCTTATGGGTGAGGCTGTTTTGTCCATGTTTAAGAGCGTCACTCACCCACTGAACCCCAGAACTAGAAGAAATGATCAGCACGGCCCCAGATTGATCAGACCGAGGGGTCCATCTAGCAGTCTTCAGCTTACAACTGCATTCAGCTGTGTAATGATAAGTTTGTGCTGGAGAAGGCAATCAAAGGCTACCATTCACAATGGCTGCATTGTACCTCCACTAATGGAGGAGTGACAGTTGCTGCAAACTACAGGAGTGGAGAGTCGTGCTCAGTTCCTGTTTGCAGGCTTCCCAGAGGCATCTGGTTGGCCTCTGTGAGAGCAGTGTGCTGGACTAGGTGGGCTTTTGACCTGATCAAGCTTATTCTGTAAAACTGAGATTGCAGCACAGAGCCCAAGCAGCTTAGCTTGATGCAAAGTTGCAGCCCTCTTGATAACGTCTTAACATTCTTCTCTTTCTGCTTTAACAGTTTTGCTCTTCGCTGGGTCAGCTCTGCTCACAGGCAAAAGGCTTGCACCTCTTTAGCCCACCACAAAGACCTCCTTAACTCCAGCTGCCCGCTAAAGACCCAAGGCTCTGACTTTGAATCGCGTACCACCTTGGGAAATGTGAAGGCAAAGCGACCGCTGATCTCTTGGAAAAGAGGAGACACTTCCACAGCTTAAAAAAGAGAGAGATGGATAACACAACTATCGTTGATGAGACCGTTGCCAATGCCAGTTTGGTAGACTGCATCTTCCAAGCAGACTTTCAGTATTCCTTCTTCACGATTGTCTACAGTACGGTCTTTGTCCTGGGCCTCCTGGGGAATGGAGCTGCCCTGCACTTCCTGACCTGCCAGGCGATGAGCTTGCCTCGCTCCTACATCTACCTGGTCAACTTAGCTGTGGTGGACACCCTATTTGTCTGCATCCTGCCTTTCAAGATCCATTACCACCTCAACCGGAACAACTGGATCTTTGGGGACATTGCCTGCCGGCTGACAGGGAGCATGTACTTCCTCAACATCTACCTCAGCATCGCCTTCTTCACCTGCATCTGCCTTGACCGCTACGTGGCCGTTTTGCACCCTTTTGTGTACATCCGGATCAAGGGCGCCCACTACGGGCTGGTGGCTGCGGTCCTCTGGGTGACGGCAGTGAGCATCGCTGCCCCGCTGGTCCTCGGGGGGCCCCTCAACTTCAACCGGAGCAATGCGACAGTCTGCTTTGAGAGTTTTGGGCTGGAGGAGTGGACCGGGCGCATGATGCCCTACAACGTCTGCGCGCTGATATTTGGCTTTGTGGTCCCTTTTGGGGTCATCCTGATCAGCTACCCTCTGATCGCCCGGCGCATCTCTCGCATCCCCCGCAGCGCCCGCAAGAGGAAGGCCCTGGGCACCATCTACCTCATCCTCTTCATCTGCGCTACCTGCTTCCTCCCATACCACCTCACCCACCTGCTGCACTTCCTCATGCGGGCTGGGCTGATCCGGGACTGCCGCTTTGCCGTTGTCATATACAGGATGCGCCGCATCACTCTGGCCTCGGTCAGCTTCAACTGCTGCCTGAACCCCATCTTGTACTACTTCACCTCAGCCAGCAGGTGGTGCCGCTGGAGACTTCCCTTCAGGACCAGGGCCACAAAAGTCTACACCATCTGTGGTCGTCGAGGCAACGCTTGGGCACCCGCCAACCTACGCATTGCCAGACCAAGGCGGGGGGAAAGGAGGCAGCAGGTTCAGATGATATCGGTGAGAAACCCAAGGAACTTTAACTGAAACTGTAGAGGGCTTTGTGCAGGAGGGGTTAGCGTTATGTATCCTTAAGTTTTTTGAGAGAGGCTGCAGGGACCACATTTCCCAGTGGCCACCTAGATTTTCTCTTTCTGCCACCCACCCAAGACCCCTGAGAGAGATTATTAGTAGTGCCATGTTTCTGCAGGAGCACATAATGTGATACCAGATGCAGAATACATGCCCCGTGATTTTATATTTTCAAAAAGGCACGTTTCTAGTCCTTTCGGCTGTGATGATATGCTTCCAAGTGGGTCAGCAATGTTGACTAAAATTGCAAAGGCCAGGCTGCTTTGGCTGCAGCTGAGTATGGGTCTTGCCTTGGAATGGGGATCCTGTGCCACCCCCGCCCTGGCTGTTTCTCAACTGCATCTAGCAAGCCCTGACCAATGAAGCAGGGATGGGCAGGAGAGGTGTCGTTTGGCAATATCTGGAGGGCCAAAGTGCCCCCACACCCATCTTGCTCCTCTACCATGGCTTTGCAAAATGAAAAAGGAAGACACACTTTTTTACGCTTCCTTTGGATGGACAGGGCTTGGAGTTGGGTGTGTTTGCTTTTGAACATGGGCATATGTACCCACTTCTGTTTTTAATATAGACCAGACATTAAACTGGTGAAGGCATCATGATCCATTAGGTTGAAATGAGGAACTGACACACACAGCTCAGTTTTCTCTCAGCCAGCCCCCACCTGCCTGCGAACATCTTCCTCCATAGTCTTGAATCCTTCTTGTGGGCTTCTCAGAAAAGGCAGCTAGTTGGCCACTGTGAGAACAGACTGCCAGGCTCTGATGGGCACTGGCCTGACTGGGCAGACTGCTATGGTGCCCCTGATCCTTTTTCCTTAAAGTGGGAGATGCCTGCGACAGAAGATGCCGCCTTCTCTGCCCGTGAAGGAGGTGCTCTACCATCAAACGGCACTCCCTCCTTCCCCATCACAAGGCAAGAACTCACAGAAATGAATCCGAAGGTGAGTAGCCTGGACGATGCTGTGTGATTCATTACCTGAGACCAGTATGGCATTCACATTGTGATACCGGTGTCAGACTTTTTGAGCTGCCAGTACATCAGGCTCCCCGGCTGCTGCCAGCTCACTTCCTTGTGCTGTCCTGGTGTTAGCTGGGGAGCCATTATGTATTGGCAACTCAAATTGCCTTCACCTCTGGGCAGGATGCATCTTTCCTCCTGGAGCAATGACTGCCCTGGGAGGAAAGCAGCAGTCTGCAGGAGCCTTTGCATTGCGGCTTCCTTGAACTACTCAGCTTGGAGGAGAAGCTCCCCAGATGAGTGAGCACCAATGCTTCTCCTGCTTGCGCATTGGAGAGACATCCAGGTCCCCCCCCCCCAGTTGATCAGTTTAAGGAAGCCCCTGCTAGGACATGTATCTCGGCTGCTGCTTCCTCCCCTAAGGTGGGGAGGAGGAAATAGCTGAGATACATTCCAGACATTGTGGTATATCAGAATATCGTGGTCTTTAGCGGCTGATGTATCACGATGTTGAAAACCAGGTATCGCCCAGGTGAGATGACTTGGGTTGGGTGTGGAGCTAACAATCCTGGTAAACTGGCCTCCTTTAGAAAAAACACACAGTTTGCATTCACTGTGAAGGGACTACTACCTATTTTTGGATTTTTTAAAAAAGCCTACTACTTGGAGTTGTTACTGCAGATGCCACCTGTGACAATAAAGGCCACTAATATTAAATACTAAAACTCCTTGCGTTTTAATTTGTTAAAAACACACACAGACTTAAGTATTTACATTGTTCTTTACATGTTCCAGGGTTTTAGCTCCTGGAGACTCATGCCGTGATTTGAGGCAGCGCCTTTTTCAGCAGGGAGGTCACGTAGCTACCCATTTCTTCATCCTGCAACCAAAATCCATATTTTTTGGTTAGTAGAAGCTAAGGCTGTACATTCACACCACGATACCACTTTCAGACTTTTTGAGCTGGCAAATACATCACAGCTCCCAGCACAATGCAACTCACTCCTGTCTGCTTGCAGGCAGATGGGAGTGAGGTGCCCTGTGTTGGCAATGGGTGGGGGAGCCGCAATGTATCGCCAGCTCAAATTGCCTTGAGAGGCAGGTGGTTTAAGGAGACCTGCTGCTCTGCTGTAGGGGCTGGGCGACAGGTTTTCAACATCATGATGTATCACCATGGTTGGCGATAAACCACAATGTTGAAACAAGCTGTATTGCCCCCTGCCAGAGTGAAACTGCTTTAGCTTTCACTTTTGCAGGCCAGGGCCAATGCAGCTGGTCTGAGCCTGCTGCTTAGCTGGGGGGCAAAAAGGCTCCTATCCCCCAGCTGAGCAAGCCCAAATGCTGGCAGGGGCCTTGAGGCTCCTTCTGCAGGCGTGAGGGATGGGTAAGCTACCTTGCTGGCTCCTCCTATCCCCCATGAACCAGGTGGCGGCAGCCAGGCACACAGCCTTTTCCTTGTGGGGTGGAAGCAAGGAGCCCCCACGCGGCGGGATGCAGGCTCTTTTAAACTTCTCCGTTGAGAAGTTCTTCTCAATGGAGAAGAATGGAGCCTGCACCTCCCCAGCCGCGATCCCACTCCTGCTTGCGTACAAGGCAGGCTTGGTTAAAATTACTTGGCCGAGGCGAGGACAGTGGCATACTCCTCAGCCAAGCAGTTTAAAGAAGTGAGGGAGGAACATGCTGTATCACACTTTGCCGATGAAGCTTGTTTCTCTCTCTGCACCTATGAGGGCAGAGTGGGATGGTGGTTTCACTTGGCGGTATATCACTAGTGAAACTGCCATTGCTGTTGGTCCCTTATACTCAGTGATGTATCGCCCAGGCCTAATCTGCTGAGGGGCGTGCAGCTGCCCACACCTCAGTGGAGGAGTTTAACAGAGGGAGAAGCAAACTGCCTTGTTCCTGGCCCCACAAGGTGCTGAGGTGAAACTGCCTCAGCCTGCTCAGCAAGAGCAGCAGCGGTTTCACCCCACACCTCACAGGGCTGGGGCTAATGCAGCTTGCTCCTTCCTCCGTTCCAACACTGCAGTGTATCGCCAGATTGCAGTGTTTGGCTGGTGATACATCGCAATGTTAGAAACCTGCCGTCGCCCAGCCCTAGAAGCCCGCTTGCCTTAAATTAAAAATACTGCCCCGCTATAACTTCCTGCATTCCTCCAGCTGTGTTGCAGAACCATTTTGTTTAGATGGGCTTAAGGAAATTCCAGGAGGGTCTGTCAACACCTCTGGGGCTGGAAAGCTTCTGTTTACAAAGGCTGCAGCCTGCAGGGATTGTCAAAGGGGTGCTCTCGAGATGCTGTTTACTCCAACTCCCTTCATCCCTTTGGCCATTAGCCACACTTACTGGGGCTCAGCAACATCTAGAGGGTCTCTGGGTCTGCTATAGCCCCTTGCTAAGGTGGAAAGGGGCAAGGGACTCTGAAAGCCAGGAGTGTGATAACATGTGTAAAAAAGAAACCTCACCTGATACGTCCACGACACCAGCAGAAGTTTAGTTGCAGGATCTTCCGATTGCACTGTAACCTGGATCAGGATGGACTCGACCATTATGGAGGTGTCAGAGAGGTGTTGAACAGAATAGTCCTTCAGGAAACTGGGGGAGGGGGGGAGAATGACAACAATAACATGTTGAATATCACCACAAGCAGCTTCCTTTCCTCTGCTGGGACAGCTGGCAGCTAGGAAAACAGATCCTAAAATGCATTTTGTGATTGGTCTAACAATTTTGGGGGCAAAATATTACTTAACCTTTCAAATAGCCTAGAATTATTTGGTAACCTCTTCTGTACAAACAATGATGGTTAGAATCTTAACTAGTTGATTTTTTAAAAAATAAGCGTGTTAGAAACTAAGATCAAAGCAGCATGTCTGCACTAATCTACAACCTTGGTACATTGGACAGATTAAAGTACTGAGTGCAGAATTTTGGGAATGTGAGTTTTCACCTTTCTGCCAAAGAAAGCAAGCTCCTAATCTGCAAGGCTGGGAAGATGTATACAAAACTGTGCTCAGCAGCAAACATAGACAAATAAGGCGCAATTTTTCTTTTCTTTCTTTGCTGGGGGCTGGTAATATTCAGTGCTTGCTCTCCTAACTAACAAAACCAAAATGCATGTTCCGATTACATAGTCCCTCGAGGGTAAGAATTCCAACATTCCTAGCTGTGAGGTCCGAATTCTCTGTTCCTAATCCAAGGACAGGACTAGAACAAATAATGAAAATGGCAAGGAAGCAAGATTTTGGCCCAGCAGTGAAGGAAAAACTGCCCAATGGACAGAGCTGCTCAGCAAAGGGAACAGGCTGCCTCAGGAGGCTGTTGGCTAAGCTATCCTCCACTAGGCACACTAAGCAGGAGGTCCTGAATGAGATACAGCCAATTCTGTGACTGCTCGGTCAACCATTTTTTATTCAAACTAGGGCTCCTCCCTATCTTGTGGCCCCACCTCCCACCTTTCCAAGGAAGCACAAAGCAGGCCTTGAGCCAACGCATTCCTTCAAGCCATTTTGCACACAGTCTGGTGTACCTACGTCTTCAGGTGGTTGTATAAACGCAGTCCTGTCTCATGCTCTTTGCGGGGGTCCTGGAAGTGGATGCGGCAGGTGAACCTCAGCTGGTGCTCCGCCAGGCCCAGCTCTTTGAGTGCTTGTTCGGGAGAGACCAGGCGGAAGCTCTGCCCAGAGAAGGAGGAAGGGAGAGAAGTAATGCACAGGACCTGCTTTTGGGCTTCCTCCTGAGAAATCTGGACAGCCAGGGAACAGCATGCTGAACTACCTGGGCTGTCAGTCTGATCCAGCAGGCTTGTCTTACTTTTTAGAGAGAGGCACAAGGCACAGATTTAACAATGTACTGCAGTTGGGGTGGTGGCAGTGAAGAATTCTACACAACAGGGAAACCTCCTGATCTCAGTGGCAGCACCAAAATAAAAATATTGAAGAGGGCAGGCACATTTTAGACTTCACATTACTGCTCCCATCCTAAACATATAATTGTGGAAGTAAGCACTACTGATTTTAATGCATCTTAAACCTTATTTCAACTAAGCCTCCTTAAGAGTGCAGTTTTAACTTTCCAGTTTACAATGTGGTAGTAACCTATATGTGAAAAGGGCCTTTCCTCCACATAAACCATTGAGGGGTTCCAAGAATGGAGGGAGACTACTAGGCAGAGTTCTGGGTAGATGGGGGACCTTTCTGCCAAGCCCACCACAGAAGCCATTCTATCGGCCAGGAATCCTATTCACCCACCCAACCTGCCTCCACTTACATTGTCCTTGATGATCAGGGTCCCATGCATGAGCTTTGGCCTCTTGGAGTCTGGCAAGGGCCCTGGATATTGGAAACAAACAGAAGAGAGGAAGGCAGTCAGCAACCATTCAATTTCCCCCCACCACCTCCAGATACTCCTTGTTGTGTACGTCACCAGGCCCTACAGTCATTCATTTATTTACAGGGACAGGAAAGGGACCACAGCCACCCATTCTGCAGCACCCCTCTGCAAACAGGAAACAAACACCACAATCAAAAGCCTCTGCGTGTGTTACTCAGAGGTGCTAAATTACTGCACTCTTACCACAGTGGTCCAATTTTAGCATCACATTTTCCTTCCTAGGTTCTAATGTCAGAAGAACTGCTAGTCCCAGAAGATGTCACAGGGTGTTACTGCAATCAGCCAGCGATACCAGCTTAATTTACAGCTGGTAGCAAAAGAAGATGGTGCCATGGGTCTAGCTGGGCACTGCTAGTAGCATGGCTCCAAGTGCCTCTGTCTCCACTACCAAGGAGGGCCAGGCGCTTGCACTTTCTAATCCCACCACACAAGCCATTTCAATTAAAAAAATTATGTCAGTGTAGTTCAATAGTAAGGTTCTAGTCCTCATGGACTGTAGAGATGAGTTCTGAAAGAACACCAACTGCCTGTAGTCCTCTGGGTATCTCAAATACAGCACCACCCAAAAGAGGAGAGAGAAAGGTTTGCCTGGGAAGGCTGGGGCAGAGGGGAATGGTCTCCTTCAACATACATGGAGGCGGCCTAAGCAATTTGGGCACTTCCACAGGGAACAGAAAAAAGAGAGACAGGTTGGTGTCAGAACTCAAGAAGAGGACCTGTGTGGCATTGTAGAAAGGAGTTGTATGCAGTGCAATATTATTTTTCATGCTTGCGCTCTGTCCATTAGCTTCACATCTGATGACAGCATGGGACTTACCCAAGTAAAACTGAATTACACTAGGATTACTAGCAGGATAGGGCCCATCTGCTGAGGGGTGGGGAAACTTTGGCCCTACAGATGTTGCTGAACTACAACTCCCGGCTCCAGCAAGCCAGAAGAGGGAAGTTCTTCTCCCTCCCTCATAGCACTAGAACTCAGACATCCAACAAAGCGGAACATTGGAAAATTCAGGGCACACTAATGGACTTGGCATAGTTAAACTATGGAAGTCTCTTCAGCAGGAGGCAGTGATAACCACCAACTTCGATGGCTTCGAAAGAGGATTAGGGAAGTTCACAGAGGACAAGGCCACTGGTGGAACCAGCCACACTGGCTATGTTCTACCTCCATTGTCAGAGGCAATATGCCTTCAAGTATCAGTGGCTGGGAACTGCAGGAGGGGAGAGTGGTGTTGCCCACATGTCCAGCTTGCAAGCTTCCCATTGCGCATCTGGCTGGCCCCTATGAGAACAGAATGCTGGACTAGGTGGGCCATTGGCCTGATCCAGCAGGGCTCTTAGTAGTTTAACAACACGTGGTAGGGCCAAAGGTCCCTACCCCAAGCCAGACACACATTGACTCAACACCGTACATGGAATAGAAATATCTGACCCACAACATGGAAAGCCCAACATACGCAGGCTTGATAAATGGCTCTCTTGATCACCTGCATGGCTTTGCTTTCTTTGGCTTTGCCCTTTTGGTGGTGGCCCCAACCATCTTCCAGCAGCCACATGAAAACATATCAGGCCTACAAACAGCAGTGCTTGTAGGTATCTCCCCAACCCAGTATCAGTACAGCAGGGATGAGAAACCTCTGGGTCAAGGGACCAAATGCAGCCCTCCAGGCCTCTCTTAACTGGCCTTTGGGCTCCTTCCAGGCCACACCCTTCACAAACCCACCTTTGCACCCTCTTGTTTTTGCCAGGATGGGGGATAAAGAAGGGCATTTGAGGGTGTATCTAAAAGAGGACGCTATGACGACTCTCATTTTAAATACCCCTACTATATACAGGCTATAGAAGCTGTGATATATTGCTGAGGGAGGCAGGAGAAGAGGAAAGCAAGTCTTCAACCAGCAGTTATGTCTATGTCTCATCCAGAAAGTATAGCCAGAGACATTTTGGCAAATTTAAAAAATCCACCCGGTCAGAAATTTTACCCTTGAAAAAGAGGACGTGTCCTGGAAAAAGAGGACACATGGCAACCCTAGCTAGCCTACTACGCAAAGGGAGAGTTCAAATCTGCTGCTAGGCCCACTTGTGTCTCTTACCCCACCCCTGCCCCAGAAGGACATGTGGTACTTGGGCTGAACCCTGCTGTACAGATTTGTAAATATGTTTAATAAATAGTATTTCTTTAAAAATGTTCGAGATGAGTTGTGCACCCAGGACTTTACCTATGGTGAGCTCCCTCTTCAACAGCCCGAGCGAAACGTCCACAGGGATGTTGGGGTTGGTGTGAACCGTCACCGTCTCCCCATTGGCAGGCATGTGGCAGGTGACATCTGCAAGAAAACATAGCCAGTCAACTGCTGCGTGTTCACTTATTTCTAGAGAGGTAACCCAAGGTCACGCCCACGCCATGCATCTAAAGCACACCACTTCCCCGCTAAGGAATCCATAACAAAGAGCAATTCCTTGGATGGTTCTTTCTTTCTTTCGACAGAGAGGGAAAAGGATTTTCTGGAGCTGTTCAGAGAACACATGAGAACCTCGGGAGGTGAAGGAACAAGCATGGGGAAAGGCCCCAGGTCCCTCTGTGGGAAGGGTCACAAGACAGTGGGAAGGCTACGTACGGAATTCCTGCTCAATCTTTTGCTTCAGGAACTCCATCTTCTTCGCCTCCCCATGGACCAGGAGGACATTCCGCGGCTCCGCTTGGCGGATGAGCTGCATGATGCCCTTGGCATCCGCATGGGCACTGAAGGACATGTACTCCACTTGCATCTTCACTTCCAGCTGGAGGCCAGAAAGACATGTACAGGGAATGAAGGCAGCTGCCTCAGAATGTATTCTTACTGCACGTCCCCTCAGATCCTCCCTCCCTCCCTTTCTTTTCAATCAATTAAAGTGGAGGGGCAGCTCCAATCTGCCACAGCGGAAGGTCCCTCCTGTGAAACATTTCCACTCACAATCTGCCTTCCTTCCATTTCCAGCTTCCGCTGACCTCCCAAGATTTTATGGCCGACAGTTCCTTGCACACAATATCCTGGCATGATTACCTGGGAGAAAGAATCCAGAAGGAAATTGTGCTTGTTACAGGAGCGACAAAATGGGTGTGGGGTTATTTTTTGGGGGGGTACCTAAGTACAACCAGTGTGATGTAATGATTAGAGTGTCGAGCTATGACCTGGGAGACCAGGGTTCAAATCCCTTCTCAGCCATGAAGATCAAAGTGGTATATAAATGTAAAAAATAAAATAATAAACAGTATCTGTATGCTTCTTGAGAGGCAGATTCTCCAGTAACTTACTATGATTATTATTACAACTAGGAAAGTAGGAAGCTGCCTTATACCAAGTCCAACTTAAGGTTCATCTAGCTCAGTATTACCTACACTGACCAGCAGCAGCTCTCCAGGAGTTAATTATAAAAAGGAACACACCAGGACTTCTGTCCTTCCTAAAGGGCTACCAATAAAATTCATACGCAAATATATTTGAGTACGACACACCTGGTCTGTTCTTAGAATTGCTGAAATTTCCACCCACAAATTCTCTCTTAGGAAGCTGTCATTCCAGAAAAATCACAAATTTCTGGTACTTAAAAAAACAACAACCCAAACCAGAAGGATTGCTTTGGGGTGTGTCAAACTAAGCCCTACTGAAAGCAGATCGAATTAGTAGACCTAAGCGAGTCATATCCACTAAGTAGACCTAAATGAGTCACGTCCACTAAGTTCAATTCTGCTCTCTGAGCAGGAGCAGAATTACCTGAAAAGCAGAAAAGTTTTGTTTCTTTTAAACATGAAGGAGTGTGCGAAAAATGGCATGCACACAACTATGCGCAGGCTAGTGTGCTACAGTCTCCTCCATCACCTTAGTGTTCTGCTGGTACAGACCTGCAGGTGTCCACATCTAGGAGACACTTTATGTATGAGATTATTAGACATGCCTCTTCAGGTTTGGTTGGAAGTGTACGCTTAGAAAAGCATCTTCACAAGCACACAGATACTGCACAGGCACAAGTGTCCAGGCAGCCCTGGCCAACCTGGTGCCCTCCAGATGTTCTGGGCTGCAATTCTATAATGGAATGTGTTGGCTGGGGCTGGAGGGCACCAGGTTGGCAAAAGGATGCATTAGGGAACCAAGAATGATTGCATCACTTTCTCCAGTGAACATAGAGCATGTCCAGCTCTGGCTGCCATCACTCAAAGAAACTAAAGGATATTGCAGAGTTATTATAATGCTGGGGTATCAATGACTATCGGACTTTGAAAAGCTGGTACCACTGGGTCAAATGCATCAATGTTGAATTAAACAAAACAGTGTTAATTGGGCTTTGAATAAATGTGCAATTAACTGCACATTTTATTGTGCTACTACCTTTCCTAGTGGGTTGTGCACACCACTATTCTGAATAATGCTTTTTATAGGGCAGTGAGCACTGGGCATTAGTTTATGGAACCAAGGGGGTTGTGGCGCTCAAAAGCTTGGGAATCCAGACTTAAACCACGGCCATGACGAGGAGCAGCAGACCTGTATTCGTCAAGAGCATTTTCATACCATGTTCTTCTCGTTGCCAGCCCATTTCTTGAAGATCTGGAGGGACTGCCCAGCATGAAGCATTCCTGGTGTGGCAAACACAACCTTAGGAAGAGAAAAGGGAAACCGGGTTCTTATCTAATCCAAGATGGCATTTTCAGGAAGGGTCAAAATGGAACCTGAGTGACTTGGCCCTGACCCACCGTCACCTGCCCGGTTCCCTCCCTACAAGTGCATCTTCCAGCCATGCACTGCTGACCCTTTAAGTGGCTATCTGACCCTTTCCTGGCAGACCACTGGGGCAGGGAGAAAAAGCGGGGCGAGAGAGAGGGGGAGGCCCATGTCATTGTTTATGAAATTGTACCATGGTGGTGTAAGGCACAGGTGAGCAAGCTGTGGACCTCAGCAGAAAAAAGGAGGGGGTGGAAACAGAAAATGGCATGTCGGGGAGAGAGAGAGAACAGGCTATGTATCTGTGTGCGAGAGTGAGAGAGAAGGAGTGGCCAACCCACTATTTTCCTCTGATTCTTTCTACCACTGCCTGCAGCCTCTGAAAGCTTACTCCAAAAGAATGCAGTTCTCTACAGAAAAAGGTTGACTGCCCTGTTGTAAGCAGCCTTGAAAGGTGTATTTGCACTAGAAGGCCAGGGTATAAATACTTAAATGATTAAATCGAGCCCATCCCCCGTCACACACACACACACACACGCCCCTCCCTCCACATGTACCATTGGCCCTGGGTTGTCAGCGAAGGCCCGGTCAAAGGCCTTGATGTGCTTGAACTCAAACATGTTCCTCTGGACAAACGTCTTCCGGATCTTCTGGTTGGTCCACGTGATGAAGAGCTTGTAATAGTGGTTGGCCTTCTCCGTCAGCCCCGTCGAGAAGTAGATGGGAGCCTTCAAGTTCATTCGTTCCCTTGGGAGGAAATCACAGTGGTGGAGGTGAAAAAAGATTCATTTAGCCACCCTCTCTGGCTTCTGAAGTCTTGGCCTGTAACTCTCATTCATTTTGAAGCATGTTTTCATCATGACAAGGGATAGCGATTCGAGGTTGGTTTGCTTTAAAAACAACAACTGAAAACTTGACATTCTCAGGAAGCTGAAAACAGCACTTGTGACCACACTGGGTTGCACATGATCGAAAGCTACAGTTTGATGATTTACCAGGAATGCACAGGCACTGCTGCTGTGCTCCTCTCCTGCTGATGAGCAGGAGCAAATAGCTATGAACTGTGGCTTAGTGTTATTTCTGAACCAGAGATTGCAACTTGTTTCAGAGCGCAAATTGCTTTGTTTGATAAAAACTCCAATCCCTGGTTTGGACGGAACGCAGAGCACCGTAGTTTTTTGCTCTTGCTCACTAGCACGGAGCTAGTGCTGTGTTCACGTAAGTCATTCATAGAATTGCAGAGTTGGAAGGGATTCCCAAAGGTCATCCAGGCCAACCCCCTACAATGCAGGTGTCACAATTAAAAGAATCCCTGGCAGATGGCTGTCCAAGCTCTGCTTAAAAACCTCCAAGGAGTGAGAATCCATCACTATGGCTTACAGTGGAGAGGGGAGGGCATCAAGGCTGGGGGCTGAATGTGGCCCTCCAGGCCTCTCTTATCTGGCCCTTGGAACGCTCCACAGGCCATGCCCCCTCACCGCAGAACACCCCCCCAACTAGCTCTGCTTAACACCTGGCTGGAATGTGCCCTTGAATTCTGATCATGCCCCCTGCTTGCCTGGATGGTGTGAGCTGGGCTTGAATGTGTGTAGAAACAAGCCTACAGTACGAAGTTAACATTTGTACTGGTTGCTCTGCCCACGTTTTGCCTCTGTCCCCACCCACCACTTGCATGTGGCCCCTGGAAAGCTGCACAGAAGGGAACGTGGACCTCGGGTTGAAAAGGGTTCCCTGCTCCTGGCTCACCGGGACGTGTAATTTGTACTGCTGCCAGGATCACAACTTGCTCACAAGCCCAGGAAAGGGCAGAAGGGAGCATAAAGATGACAATGAGATATTGGGTGGGCGGGAGAGATTTCATTCTTCAACAAGCAAGGAGCCCCTCAGGCATCGACGCAGCAAGTCATTTTTTAAATGAGAGTGAAAGAGGCTTGTCTCCTTACCAGAAAGTCTCCAATAAAATGCAGAGCTCCTGAGCCCGTCCGAGAGCAAATACGGGGATAAGGACCTTTGGGAGAGGAAACAAAGGGTTCAGTTGGGAAATGGCAGCTGCAAACTATCCCCTGCTTGCCCAGGGAGATACACCTGGCAACAACCTTCTCTATTTTAGGGACCTGGCAAGGACATGGTCTTTTGGCCCTGAATTTGAAGGATGGCTCCTTTAATAGGGTGAGGCCTTTCAATCCTGCCTTGTAGCTGTGTTTTTAGACTTGGTTGTTCTTAAGTCGCTTTGGGTCACTCTGGCTAAACAAAGCAGCTAACGAATTACAAACAGGATACAGGTGGTAACAACGGGAAATGTCTCCTTCAGGGGAAGTTTGCCTGCTATGACTGATCTGCTAACTGGAAAACTTCAGCCAGGGTGTCTCGGAGGAGCCTAGAAGCCAATAGGCAGGCTGATAGTCGTACCTTCCCGCCTCGTTCGATGGCTTCGTGGACCTTCTTCAGGAAGTCCCTCTCCCTGCAGCGCTTGGAGTCTCGAATGGTTGTGGCATAAGTGGACTCGGAAATGAGCAAGTCAGGGCGGCATTTGTCAATCCAGGCAGCTCTAAGGACAAAGCACAGGCCTTGCGTTCCAGCCGGGGTTCACCATCACGACAGAGCAACACAACAGGTGAAGAACTCAAATAAAATGCCTCCTCACCCCCTGTAAATCCTGCTCTGCTAATCCTGGTTGTTATTAGTCGTTTATACCACTTACTTGTCAGTGTGGTGTAGTGGTTAAGAGTGTTGGACTAGGACCTGGGAGAGCAGGGTTCAAATCCCTACTCAGTCATCAAGTTCTCTGGGCATGACCTAGAGCCAGTCACTGCCTCTCAGTCTACCTCACAGGGTTGTTGGGAGGATAAAATGGGAAGGGCCACAAATACCGTATGGAACATGGAAAGGTTACGTGGGAAGAGCTTCAAAATTCTTCTAAGGCCCTCCAATATTTTATGGTTGATTTTTTTAAAAAAAACCTTAAAAACTGTCAAGAATTTTAAAGCATTCAAATTTTGAACGCTGGAGGTCAAATCACAAACTGTACTACAGTTTTCCAAATTTTTTAGGTTCTGATCAAGTTGCCCAAGCCTCCTCCACCGGCCACTTGGACAAATAGGAATGAATGAGTGTCATAAAATGTCATTTGAGAAAGAGCAAATCTTAGTGCCTTGGCGTTCTCCCACACTTACCCTAGATGCCTGTCTGGAGTCATGTTGTAGTCACCCTAATTTGAGAAAGGCGAGGGGAAACATTTTCAGTGCATCACAAGTAACTGAGCACATTCAGCTGAGAAAGACAGTATATGTAGATTCAGCCAGGCACTTACAGTGTAAACGACGGACTCACAGCCGACTTTAATCTGGAACATGGCTGCCCCAAGCACATGCCCTGCGTAATACGCCTTGATCTCCAACTCGTCATCCACCTGCATAAAAAAAAGGGCAAGCGTTGTGGCACAACAGTAAAACGTCTGCTTTGCCTGCAAAAGATCCTGGGTTCAATCCACAGAATTTCCTGATAGGACTAGGAGACAATCCTGCCTGAAATCCTTGGAGAGACGCTGCCAGTCAGTGCAGGCAATGCTGAGCCAGGGGGAACAATGCATTCCTTCCTGTGTAAAATGACAAGCTGCTGTGGGTGCAGAATGCAGTGGCTAGACTGCTGATGGAGGAAGGTGGTTGACAGCAGGGGACACTTCTGCTAAGACATCAGCACTGGCTGCCCACAGGCGACAAAGATCTTGTAATGATATGCAAAGTCCTGTGCAATATGGGCCCAGGATATCTTAAGGACCCACCTGAGTTCTTATATCTTAGCTTGATCACTCAGATGTTTAGTGTTACTGGTCCCATATTGCATAATGCTCTTCCAACAGAGATGCAGCAGGCACTCTCACTAGACTTCCAGGCTTCTCTCAAAGACCTTTTCATGCCGACAGGCCAACACAGCTGTTTAATTTTTCAGCAGCTCATTTTCATTTGGTATCATTTTTACGGGGGAGTCATTCTACATATCAAGTGATCCAACTTTTTTACCTCATGCCCTCCAATTTTCTTAGTATTTTGTACACTTGTTGAATGGGCAAAACTAAGTTTAAATCTAAAATTTTAGCTTTCTATGTCATCCTGTTTTTGAGTTATGAGGGTTTGAAATTTCAGAAAACTGACAATTTTGGCCACACGCAAACCTTAAAAGGTCAGCCCAGCCCAGCGTCAAGATACGTCAAAACTAAAAACACCAATCTCTTCGGAACTTCATGGGCTTTAATATGTCACAAGTCACAAGATGGACTTACTTTAAATTTTAAATTTGTTACAAAATTTTAAATTTTAAAAAGTGATTAAAAATGATTAAAATTATTCAAAAATATATAAGATCTACCTGCAAAATTTCATCTTGGGATCTCAATGGGATCACATTAAAAAAAATATTTTGTACATACGTGCCTGCCTTATTGGGTTCTATTTAGGATAAAGGGGTCTTCTTGGAGTAAAATATAACGGAATAAACAAGACTTCAAACAAATTATTATTATTATTATTATTATTATTATTATTATTATTATTTCTACCCCACCCATCTGGCTGGGTTTCCCCAGCAACTCTGGGCGGCTTCCAACAAAAGATTAAAAATACATTAAAGCATCAGTCATTAAAAACTTCCCTTCTCATGTTCATGAGATGAAGTACTAACAATGAGTCTTTCAAAGTGTTAATTCTATAATGCAACAGCAAGCAACCTCTCTACTTTGGAACACGTTTTTAAAAGAAAAGCCTGACTAGCTTTCCAGATACCTTTTAATTGCACAACTTTCTAACGAAATGCCTTAAGTAACTGAAGCTGGGGGCCCAGGAAAGGACATTCTCTGTGGTGGCCCCCAGGTTGTAGAACTCCCTCCCCGCAGAGGTGTGCCTGGCACCTTCATTGCAAATGCTGATGGTGCCCCTTTACCCGACAACCTATTTTTAGGACCCACCTTACTTCAGCGACTCTAAGTTGTTTTAAACTACTTTTAATATTGTGGTTTAATTGTTGTGCCCACTTCTGAGACCTTAGAGTGAAGGGCAGGTAATTAATAAGAAGGATTAATAATACAATTATAATAATCAGGCATGAGTCCCCATCTCCCAAGGCTGGCTCTCCCTACCTGCACTGTCTGATGAAGATGGACAGCCACCACTTTCTTCATGCAATCTTTGATCATCTGGGAGGTGAAGAAGTTGGTCTCCCCTTTCTTGTCCACGGTGATTTTCCGGAAGTCCTCAAGGAGGATGGGGCAGATGGCCTTTGTTGGGTGGGTCATGTAAATGGGCCCATCGTAGCCAACCATCTCGCTGAAGTACGGAAGGGCCCCACAGTGGTCCAAATGGAAGTGGCTGCAAAGAGACAGGGCAAAATTCAAGGTGGCTTTTGATCCCCGCTAAGCGAGAATGGGCCTCAACAGCTATTTGAAGTATTTGCAAAACTTTTTTTAAAAAAACCTGAACTTCATATACAGTGGTACCTCGGGTTAAGAACTTAATTTGTTCTGGAGGTCCATTCTTAACCTGAAACTGTTCTTAACCTGAAGCACCACTTTAGCTAATGGGGCCTCCCGCTACTGCCGCACCACCAGCGCGATTTCAGTTCTCGTCCTGAAGCAAAGTTCTTAACCCAAGGTACTATTTCTGGGTTAGCGGCATCTGTAACCTGAAGCGTCTGTAACCCGAGGTACCACTGTACAACTACTTGTATGTGTCTTAAAAGTTACATTTAACTTACTACATTATTAGGTGCCTAACTTACCCGTTGACATGAAACCCCCTCCCCCCAAAAATGCCTAAAACTAACCAGGGCCTATTCCACTTCCAGCAACTCCTTAAGATTGTAAATGCTTATTTTGCATTCATTCATATATATATATATGCTTTTAATTTTAGCTTTTTCAAATTAACAACCTTTACAAACCATGGAGAGTTGGTTCAAAACCCTTGCTCAGGATTCCCTTCACTGAAACTTCAAATTGTGCAGCTTGATAGGATATATACTCCTAACTCATTGGTAACAGGTGAATCATGATGCCCTGAAACAGCTTTGTGTGTTGCAGCCCAAAGCAAGTTAACAGTGTACATGTCACTAGACAAGACAAAGGTGGTACCCACCTGATGATGACACAGTCCAGGAAGTCAGTCAGCCTTCCATTCTGAGTGATGTAGGAGAAGTCAGGAAATCGCCTCTGCAAAACACAAAGAGACTTGGTGTGCCATAATGGTGGGGCTTAGCTGGCATGCCCAGGAAGTGCCCATGTGTGCACAGAGAACCCGAAGATTGCTTCTTGCCTCAGAACCCACCCAGACTTCAAGATCAATTTTGGAGACCCTCCTTGAAGGTTCCAAGATCATTCGTTCATTCTTAGCGGCCAATAAACTCTAAGATCATTTATATTCCTCCACTGCAGGATTTATCACTATTATTTATTAATTTCTATACCACCCTTCATCTGAAGACCACAGGGCAATTTGCAATATAAAAACACAGGAACGTACAGTATAAAAGCAAACAGAAGGAGGTTGCACTATATGACCCTCAGGGTCCCTTCCAATTCTCTGATTCTATATTGGTGAGCAGAAGAGGCAGGGCTTTTTCAGCGGTGGCTCCCAAAGTGTGTTAACTCCTTTCCTAGGGATATAGAGTTGGCCATACTCAGTTCTGGCTTTCAAAAACACACTTTAGAAGCCATTTTATTCCAAACTGCTTTCAGCTGAGATGGTTTCTTGTTGATGTTTTCCAGCTGTGGCCTTGGGCTGCTAGGGGATGATGTAATTCACTATCTGACTTCCTTCCTCTTCCCTCTTCTTTTCTATTGTCGATAGCAGGTTGTGAGCTTACAGGCATGGACTGCTTTGTGCTTTAATTGTGTGTCTGCTTTAAATCACTTAGAAGTATTTTGCTCTGGTAAGAATCATGGAAGTTTTGTGAAATAAATGAATCACCTCTGTACAGCACCTACAATATTTTATATCGCCTTTACCTGATCCTAAAAACAAACAAACCAAACCAAACAAACAAACCAGGGGACAGGGATTCAAATCTGCAACCTTCTGCAGGCACAACAAGTGTTCTTCCATGTTACATTCAGCAAAGTTCCAGTTCCCACTGTTCGTTTTTGGCCAATAAGGTCTGGGGCTGCAAGGGAGAATTCTTTGCTTGCATGCGCCACCCCTTCCAAGTTAAGGGGGGGTGGTCTCCCTGAAGTCACCAAGTGGAGTGTACAGACCACAACCCAACAGTAATCTCCAGGGAGCTATCCTACTTTGACTACAGAGTTTGGAAAGGAAAGCAATTCTTCTTGTGAAACAGTTGCTGCTCATACCTCTCTCTATAGCAGGGCTAAGAGCCTTTTTCAGTCCAAGGACCCCATTCCCTTCTGGGCAACCTTGCAAGGGCTACATGCCAGGGGTGGGCGGGTGCCAGATGCAAAAGGCAGCAACAACCTATATTATTTGGCTGTGAGTTCTGGAATACCTGCTCCCTGTCCTGCAGGCTTTTTTCCACTTGGCATGGGACAGCGGGGTCCTGGTTGACTCCAGTTTAGGAAGTTTTGTGGGGGGAGTGTTGCTGCTGGGTGGTGTTGAGTATTTTTTGTATCTTCATTTTAGATCTTTGTGATTTACCGTATTTTTCGTTCTATAGGGCGCACCGGCCCATAGGACGCACCTCGTTTTTTGGGGGGGGGAAATGAATAAAAAAAATTATTCCCCCCCCCCCGCCGCGGCTGCCGCCCCAAGCCTTGTGAACACCTGCAAGAAGCACGGGGCACCCTCCGGAAGGCTCCCCGTGCTTCGGGCGACAGGCTGCCGCCCCAAGCCTCGCGCGCTCGGCGGGACCTCCTGCCGGGCGCGCAAGGCTTGCGGACACTCGCCGGGGCTGCAGGCTGCTGCCTGCAAGCCTTGTGAGCCCGCGGGAACTCCCACCGGGCTTGCAAGGCTTGCGGATAGCTTCCTGAAGCCTGGCGAGCGAGAGGTGCGCACCGACCCCTCTCGCTCTCCAGGCTTCAGCGAAAGCCTGCATTCGCCCCATAGGACGCACACACATTTCCCCTTCATTTTTGGAGGGGAAAAAGTGCGTCCTATGGAGCAAAAAATACGGTATGTGGAAATTGTTGACTTTGGTTGTGTATTTTTTTAATGTTTTATTTATTATTTAGAATTACTTTGGTTCTGTTGTAGTTATGTATTTTTTCCCATGTTGTAAGGGACCTGGAGCATGGTTTGAATGGTGGAAAGGTGGCATGAAAATAAAACGATGCATGTTTTTCCTTGCTTCCATAGGCTACTTTCTGCACACACTGACATGACCCCCTCTGTCTAACATCCAGGCAAGCAAGAGTTCAAGGGCAGGTTCTACCCATGGAAAAACACTCAGGTAGAGTGTGAAGCAGGACCAGTGAGGCCTGGAGGGCAACATCTGGCCGCTCCTGGGTCTGCTGCTCACCACCCCTGCTCTACAACCTTCCCACACTCCAAGCTAAACCCTCCATGTACACTTTGGGGCAATGCCAAGTCAAATCTGAAACTGCCACCTAGGCCAAGGCCTGCCCATCACACTTACATCGTCATTATAGCCCATGTGCATCCCACAATCCAACATGACATTTTTCCCTGCAATGGACACCAGGATGCAGCTCCGGCCCACATCTTGGCCAGCTCCTGAAAAGGCAAAACAGAAAAATATGCGAGTTGAATGGCCTTCAGTCTTAACAGAGGTGCTGCATTTCTGCTGATGCACCTGCAAGGTCACATAGCACATCTTTGGTGGTCATGTCCACCTATGCAGGACTTCTGGGCTCAAATCCACCAAGAACTTCGTTCAAATAAGTCTGAATCTTGAAGCCATTGTTTTGGGTCCTGGCCTCCACAGCAGGAAAAACAAGCTTGCTACAGCCTCCGTGTGACAGCCCTTGAGATATTTGAAGATGGTTATATCTTCCCAGTCTCCTCTTTACCAGGCTAAACATACCCAATGCCCTCATCTGCACACATTACAGCTTGTGAATATCCTTCTTAAATTGTGGTGCCCAGAACTGGACACAATACTTCAGGTGTGGGCTGACCAAGGCACAATAGAGTGGTACTATTACTTCCTTTGATCAGGACCTGGCATAGGCAAACTCGGCCCTCCAGATGTTTTGGGACTACAACTCCCACCATCCCTGACCACTGGTCCTGTTAGCTAGGGATGATAGGAGTTGTAGTCCCAAAAACACTTGGAAGGCCGAGTTTGCCTATGCCTGATCAGGACACTACACGTCTGCTGAGGCAGCCTAGAGTAGCACTAGCTTTTATCCTGCTGCACCACACTGTTGACTCATGTTAAGCTTATGGTCTACTACGACCCCTGGATCCTTTTCGTATTTGTTGATTGCCACTCAGCAATCTGTAGTTCAGAAATGGAACTCTTTAGAAAATTTACACTTATGTGATGAATAGTGGAGGGACCCACATTACCCATGCCTGACCTATACCACCTAGAATCACTGTCAGTACACCTACCATTCCTAAAAATGGAGCTCAACTTGAGCAGACTGAGGACCTTAAACTCCAAGAATGCACCCCTCCATTTTTTGGCATAAGTGCCAACATTTATGTTACTCACCCAAGGGAGTGACTTTTATTTCAGGCATCTTTAAACAGCTTGGGTTAAACCTCCAAAGTCCAGCTGCAATGGGAGCCGTTTCAGAGATCCCATAAGTGTTCCCCAATGGTGTCACAGCTTCAGAATCTTATGCAGAAGATTAATTCAAGACGTCCTGAAGGATAACAAATAAATTTGTATGGTGGCAGTGCTGCTGCTGTAACTCACCTCAGACCAAGCCATTACCCGGCATTGGGTCCTGGCCTACCGGCTAAAGACCAACGCTCTATGCCAGGGCTTTGCCAACCTGGCTCCCTCCAGATTACAGAACCATAGAATCGTAGCGTTGGAAAGGGTCACGAGGGTCATCTAGTCCAGCCCCATCTTTCTCCCAACATGGGACTTGAGCCCATGACCCTCGGTTTAAGAGTTATGCCTTACTAACTGAGATACCAACCCTCCCTTCAAAATCATGCCCTTCTGTACATTTCGGGCTCCCATTAGCCCCACACAAGGTTTCAGCCAGGAGATTCTTCCTGGAGGTGCTGGGGATTTCATTTATCTTTATACGTTTATTAAATCTGCATACCATCCTTCGCTCAAAGATCTCTGGACAGTTCACAGCATAAAAGCTGAACTTGGGACCTTCCGTATGGAAAGCAGTGCCCTTTTCAACTTTGGGGGCATGCATGGGCACAGCACTCCGAAAACACTGGAAGGCTTTTGTTAAGCACCATAAATCGTAACCAATGCCCGATTTACATATAAGCTAAACAAGCTATAGCTTAGGGCCCCACTCTCTTTGGGGCCCCCCAAAAATTTAAAGGGAAACAACAACTGGATGCACATTTCCAAAAAAAATACATATTTTGTTATGTGCAAATGGCTTTAGATACCTATTAGGTCCATAAATTACCATACAGCATATATCCAACACAAAAAAACCAGTGACAATTTGTTGCTGACAAAGGACAGCTGGACATATAAAGGGCCGCATTACCTTCAGTAGCTTAGGGCCTCATCAAACCTAAATCCGGCCCTGACCGTAACAAGCCACCTTTGGGAATTATTTACAATTGTACCACGCTTGAGCTTCCACTTGTTCTTTTTAATAAAGCACTTTTTCCGCCTACACAACCCCGCACATGCCTAGTTATTTGTTCTATCCCTACTTGCTCATTCACACGTGCACCCGCTTTCCTTCGAGGAGCTCCAGGTGGCCTCCATGGGCCCCCCCAGCTTCTCCTCAAAACAACCTCGCAGGGGAGGCGAGGCGGAGGGCGAGCGACCCGCCTCCTCTCCTCTCGCAGGAAACGCGCTTCTTCCGCGTTTCTGCACCCCCCCCGGAACACCCCGACCCCTGTTTCCTTGTCTCCATGGCAACAGGAGTCGTCACCCCACCCTCCACCCCCGCTTGCCGCCACTTTCTTTGCAAACTCACCTGGCCGGTCGCGCCTACAAACGCCGAACGCAGCCCTGGGTCGAGGGGCGCATGCGCCCGGCAGTCGCACTCAGCTGCCTACAACCTGCGCCAAACTGGCATATAGACTTTTTTTACCAAAAAGTGCAGAGTGACGCACTTAACAGTCAACTTCCGAGGTAGAAAGTACATAGTCTCATAGAGTTGGACGTGAATGTACTCCCTCAGAAGAGCCCTTAACCTCATTTACGTAGTTACAGGCTAGCGCATGAAACGTTAGGTCAGAAGTTTTGGGTCTGTGTTAAAGTTCACAGACGAGCGCCGAGAGCCTGCGACTCTATACTTTTTTTTTTATCTCTACGGAACGCACGGGCTTGGAACTGGCGCGCATGCGCCTTGGCTGGACCACGCGGGAAGTATACCTCCGTCCCTGCGCGCCTGAATGTTACGGAAGCGTAGGTTCCAGAACTAGCTTCCGCGCTCCTATTGGCTGGCGCGGCTTGGGAACCCTCGCCTCTGCGGAACCTAGGGATGGCAGGCGATTGGTCGAGGAGAGGAGGTAGGCGGAGACAGGTGAGCAGGAGGCGGGCTTTCATTGGCTGCGCTGAAGTTGGAAAGAAGGAAGCGGTCGCTAAGGTAAGTCAGTCTGGTTGCTGGGGAGGGGGAGAAGAGACCCCCCTAAGGGAGAGGCCCTTCCTCTTCTCATGGAGGGCTGATATGGGGCAGAGGCTTGGAAAAAGGAGGTCGATGGGGCAGAAGAAAGAGGAACCCAGCGCACCTGCGGCTCCCAGCCCTGTACACCTGAGATTTTATTATTTTTATTATTTTATAGATCAGTTAAATGTCAAATTACTTCTATTGCCGGGGTTGTATCCCAAGTAACTTACACTTAAGAGTAGACCCATTCAGTTGCGTCCAGTGCTTGTCCTACTCAAGAGCAGGCCCACTGCAGTTAATGAATGCAAGGACATCCACCCATTGAAATGAATGAATCTTACCTTAGCCAAGTCCATTTATGGGTTTACTCTGCATAAGTCCATTTATGGGTCTACTCTGGGTAGGGCTAGCATTGGATACATATGTGTGTGTGTGTGTGTGTGTATATATATCATTTGATATTTTTTTTTTAAGTTTTTACAACAAAACTATTTTATATATCTTCTAGTTGCTGATGTTTCCGTTGTGAAATCACTTCAAGGAAGTGATCTGTAAATTAAATATATGGTTTTTAAAAAATGGACTTCGAGGCTGCCTTTCAAAACAGGAACATCCTGTCAAGGCAGCGTACGAAGTATTTAAACATATTAAGGTGCGTGTCGAGGGACGATTCATTCTCCTAAAATTGTGGGACAGAGTTGTTAAAACTGTTATCGGTCCAAACCAGGAATCCCATCCTAAAAATTAAAACCTAAGCACAACTGTAAAAACAGACGGGCAATTTAAAAAAATTAAAAAATAGTAGTAGTATTGGGTTGTATCCAATTATACTCAAGTATATGCACTGAAACTGATGTACCTAAGTTATGTCAACTTCAAAGGATCTACTCAACTGGTACCTAGAGCAGTTGGGGAATAGGAGGGAAAGTTTTTATTTTTTTTAAAAAAAGTATCAAAGCCCAGACAGAGAAGGAGGTTGCATAGTTTTGTTTTTTAGTTTTGTTTGCTTACCAAGCAATACTGCTTGCATCTGTTCAGAAGTAAGTCCCATTAAGGTCAATGGGAGTAACACCCAGATTAGGATTTTTCAGTGAGTTGTATCCAACCTTAGTCCTGTTTAGAATAGAGCCACTGAAATGAATAGTGAAAGTTGGGTCCATTATTGTCTTATTTTTCTTATTGATTATTTTATTGTTTTACCTTTTTTGTAAATCATTTTGAGGCTTTTTGATTTTGTTTTTTTAGACAATCAAACAGTGTTAAAACCTCATAAAATAAATTAATAAGTAATTTCAGGGAGACTACCGTGAGTCAACCCAATATTTCTACACGGACTTTCAGGGCAAGCCTACCCAAGACAGTTCACGCTCATAATTAAAACAACAGCTACTTCAGTATACCTACAACCACAGCTTTCCATTTACAGGCAGTCTGATACGTGCTACTGGCTAGCTAATGCCAGGGGGGAAAAAATAAAACGGAGACCGCAACAGGTTAAACATGTCAGGCACCTTGTAAAACCAGGTCAAAACAACACTTACCAAGGCATGTTTAAAAGCCTGTAATGAAAGGAGTCAAACGTGTATCGCTTGAGGGGCCCACAAACCGGGGCCCTCCCAGTGAAACACGTTCCGTCCCTCCATCCCACAAACCCGATTGATCTTGCTTATTATTTGCATACTACTTGATACTACTGGCCTGATCCAGCAGGACTCTTCTTGCGTAACGATCTGGCCAGGGATAAGGCAGCTCCCGATGTTCCTGGCCTCATTTATGGTTTATCCACCAAGCAGCTGCTGACTCTTGCTGTCTGTTTCAGAGCTTCGCCATGGCCTACGGGGATGATGGACACAACCTGAGGGAAGTGCTGGCCACTTTCAAGTCCTGTCTTGACGAGAAGTCGGAAATCCTAATGGACCCTTACTTAGCAGGCTGGAAAGGGCTTGTCAGGTAAGGCTGTCCACCTAGTTAGGGAACCGAGCTTAGATCTGGCTCCACATCGGGAGTTGGGAACCTGTGGCTGCTCAGATGCCTAAAGCGCCTCTGCCAGTCAGTGTAGACCACACTGACCTACATGGGCCAACACGATGACTTACATGGCACTTCCCTATTTTCCTTTGTTACTGACCAAGGCAAAAAATGGGGTCGCTGGCCCCGCTCCTGCCACCTCTCTGCAAGTGTCCTCGTGGCATGGCATTCAATGTTCCCTCTTCCACCCACAAGGAACAGGAAAAGCGAGTGGGAGACCATCAGCAGATAGTCCTTGTCCCAGAAGAGTTGCAGGGAAGGCTGGTTGCTTGTCACAAGCGAAACTGTTGAAGCCTGCCCTCTGACTGTAAACTGTTTCTTGTTGAGACCGGCCCGCATGGATCTAGGTGGAAACTTCTGTCATTCATTCTGTTGGGTTGCGCCTCTAAACCAAGGGTGGGGACCTTTTTTCAACTCCACGGCCGCATCTCTGCAGTGGGCAGGGCCAGAGGCAACATCGAGTGGAGCTTCTAATGCATATTTTGCCTTTCGGCAGCAGGCTAGTCTATACACACCCTCTCTATCCTCCTTCCACGCGTGCAAGAGCGTTAGCAGTGCTCAAGGGACACATTCCAGCTGGTTTATGAAGAGTAGGGCCAGTGAGGGGGTGTGGGCTGGGGAGAGGGCCAGACAGAGAGGCCAGGAGGGCTGCCTTCAAGGTTTTCCACCTTGAAGGCTCCTTGTAACCACAGGGTTCTGTTTTGCAAAGCAGGTTTCTGAACACCATGGGCACGATCTTCACCTTCGTTTCCAAAGATGCGGTGGCCAAAATCCAAATCATGGAGGAATTCCGAAGCGGCCCCCATAAGGAGAGCTACAGAACCCTTCAATCCATGGTGAGCTACGAGATGGCCAACAACCTGGTAGACATGAAGAAGAACACCGAACGCCCCGTATCGGGCTGCCGGACAATCCTGCGCCTCCACCGGGCCCTTCTATGGCTGCAGCTCTTCCTGGAGGGCCTGCGGACCGGTGGCACAGACTGCAGGACGTCGGTGGTCTGCACAGATTCATACAATGCCTCTCTGGCCAATTACCACCCTTGGATTATCCGCAAGGCGACCACCATTGCCTTCTGCACTCTGCCCAACCGGGAAGCTTTCTTTGAGAACATGAAGGTGGGCAGCAACGAGGAGGCAGTGGAGATGCTGGGAGAAGCTTTGCCCCACATCAAGAAGCTGTACGATATCACACAGGAACTTTACAGCCGGCACAAACTCCTGGACCTCCCGTAGCAGAGCGGATCCCCACAATCAAGTGGTTCTCTGAATGCCACAGACGAAAAAGCAAGCATCGATCATACATCTCATGCTTATCCATTTCCAGGCCTGCTTGGCGCCAAGATCTAGCTCTCTGCTTCTCAGCTCTCTCCTATAAATCAGGTTTCTTATTGCTGGAATCATTTGAGCCTTCAAACCATCCCTATTCTGGGTTTAATCAGCCAGATATCTGGAGAAACAGAACTGGCCCCAGTTCCTCTTTGACTGCAGTGGGGAGCCTACAGCCTTTCAGATGTTCTTGGGCTCCAACTCCCAACCACTGGGCTGTGGCTCATGGGAGTCGGAGTCCAAGAAGCTGCTTGAACTACAACTCCCATCATCCCTGATGGCTGGCCATGCTGGCTGGGGCTGATGGGATTTGGAGTCCCCCCCCCCAAAAAAAACCCTGATCTAAGAAGAGGCATTCCCCACTCTCGGGAGTCAATGAATGCCTCTTCCAAATAGAGACCATCCTCCATCTCTCCTTTGCAGTAGGGAATGCTGCTCCTACAGTCGGGGTGAGGAACCTGTCAGCCTTCCAGATGTAGCTGGACTCCAGCTCCCATCATGCCTGACCATTTGGCTGTGCTAGCTGGGGGGCTGGGGGGAGCCCAGCAACATCTGGAGGGCCGAAGGCTTGCCGCCATTTCATCACATAGTTTTTAAGGCTACAGTCTTCCCCGATGTGTACGGGAGGTAAAACTGCATAAGCAATGAAAGTACTTAATCACAGGGGGACGGATGAGGGCCTGGAAGCAAGGGTCTCCCCAGCCTCTTGGCTCGCTTGTGCTGTCTGCCAATCAACCCTGGTTTTGTTTAATCAAGGTGCAACTGTATCCCCTCCACCCTTCAGATCGAATTAAGCTTTAAAGGGGAAAGGGGGACTTTTACAGTGGACTGGTGTATATACCTGTTTCAATGACCATGTGACAAGGGGAAGACTTTAGGGGCAAGATTGCTCAGGATTGCCATGATACATATGCCTGAAGGGAGAATCCCACCGGGGTTTTATTGAGCCCTCCCTTCCACACACAGGCGCAGGTGATGCGCCCACAAACCTGAAGCCCTCCAGGGCATCACATGTAGATCCCTACTAGCCTGTGACTCCCTCTACCCAGATTCCTCCCACTTTTGAGCATTAACAGCCTGTGGGGTTTGGGATGGAGGCAATGGGTGCAAAAACAGGGTCCTTTCATCAGTCACCAGCCAGGCATGTTGCTGTGCATTTAGTATACCCAGCTGAGGGGCAGCACTGTGTGGGTATGCAGGGACAAATAAGAATTCAAAGTGGGGAGGGAGCAGAATCTCCTTCCATACACACAGGGGAAGGCAAAGATACTGCACACTGCTACAATCTGGAAATCAACAATCTTTAGCATGCTGGAAGTGGGAACAATCTCCCTAGTAAGGGTAGGGGACCTGTGGACCCCCCCAAATGTCAGTGTCTTGTGCAAGCCACCTAGAAGTTTTGTTTTGTTTTGAGTGGTATATACACAACTTCTAAATAAGTGAATGAAACATATCTGGAGAACCACTGGATCCCCACCCCTGACGAAACCAAACTCCTGAACTATCTTCACACCTCTTCTTTCCCTGTCATTCTCTCTCATGACAAGACTGTTCACTTAGAAAAGCTTTTTGTTTTTTTTAAAGTCACTGTGAGTTTCGAACTTGCATAAGGCTGTTGACCACGCCTTTGGCTTGAAGACAATCATACCTGTGTTTTAAACGTGGCGTTATTATTTTGGGGCCGTGATACGCTGTTATGTTAAGATTCCTTTCGTGTTACAAATCAATCATATCTGTGTTTTTAAAGTGGTATTATTATTATTTCTGGATCACGATATGCTGTTATGTTAAGATTCCTTTCTGGATACAAATGAGTCATGTATCTATGGTGCTCTCATGTTTCCTGCCTCGTATGATTTCTAAACTATCAATGCCTTTGTGGTGGTGGGGAGATGTGGGGGCACAATGAAAGTATTTGCACTTATGGCACTGTTTACTCCATGCATGCACTGTGATTTGTCTATATAGATATAGATATGTATTTACCTCTTATATTGCTTGGGTTCAAATAATCATCTGTCCTGTGTATATATGGTGGTGTCCTCAATTTCAGTCCTGATGGCCGCATAGGAATTTTTCACGGTTCTGCCATGAACAAGGTGCTCGAATAATAATATTAATAATAATAATTTATTATTTATACCCCGCCCATCTGGCTGAGTCTCCCCAGCCACTCTGGGCGGCTTCCAATCAAGTGTTAAAAACAATACAGCATCATATATTAAAAACTTCCCTAAACAGGGCTGCCTTCAGATGTCTTTTAAGGAGAAGATAGCTGCTTATTTCCTTCACATCTGAAGGGAGGCCGTTTCACAGGGCAGGCACCACTCCCGAGAAGGCCCTCTGTCTGGTTCCCTGTAACCTCACTTCTCGCAATGAGGGAACCACCAGAAGGCCCTCAGCGCTGGATCTCAGTGTCCGGGCTGAACGATGGGGGTGGAGACGCTCCTTCAGGTATACTGAACCGAGGCCATTTAGGGCTTTAAAGGTCAGCACCAACACTTTGAATTGTGCTCGGAAACGTACTGGGAGCCAATGCAGATCTCTTATGCAGCAGAAGGCCCTTAATGAGACCCAAAAGCCTCCCCCTAAATCATAACCTCCCCGCACTGCATTAGCAAACAGTTGCTAATGGCAGCAGCACCATTAGGACCTTAATTCATGGCCCCACAGCCGGGGGGGGGGGAGCAGCGGGAGGACACAAACAACAACCACAGACTTTCAGATGGTGGAGGAATGACAGCGTGGCAGGAAACAAACACAGCATTATCGCCTGACACGGGTATATCAAAGCTGATGCCTGTTGCCGTGACATGAGAGGGGCCATAGGTCAGCGACAGAGCATCTGGCTTGCATGTGCAAAGTCCCAGTTCAATCCCTGGCATCTCCAGGTGGGGCTGGGACGGACCCTCAGTCTGAAGCCCTGGAGAGCCACTGCCGGTCAGTGTAGACAGTACTGAGCCAGGTGAACCTGGGGTCTGACTCCATATAAAGGCAGTTTCCTAAAGTGGGAGGGAAGGAGCAGAAAACCTTCGCACAACACCTTGCTCCCTCTTAGGAAAGGGTTGGGGAACCTTTGGGAGCCCAAGGGCCACATTCCCTTCTGAGCCAGGGGCAAAAGAATTAGGATAGTTTCTGCACGCACACCTATTATTATCCTCCGTCCAGGCACACCAGAGGCCAAGAATGCATTCCAGCTAGGCAAATACATTTGTGGAGGATGTGAAGCAGGGCCACTGAAGGATGTGGCCTTGGGAGAGATCCAAGGGCCAGGTAGAGAGGCCTGGAGGGCCGGATTCAGCCTCCAGGCTTGAGGTTCCCCACCCCGCAGTGGTAAACCATAACTAATGGTTTGTTGCAAACACAGAGCTAGCTCCCTGCGAGCGAGCAAAAGCAACAAACCACAAGCCTTGGTATAGTGTTGCCTCTGAACCAGGGACTGTGGTTTATTTTACTCCCTTAGTCCTGTGGTGCAGCGCAGACCAGGCCCTGAGGCACAGGCAGAGGAAGGGTTGGCATGTCAACAGCTGGGGGAGAAAGCATGGGGTTCTCTATGGGTGGCATCGAGGCCCACCCCCAAACCTGGGACCAGTACCCAACCTTTCCCAACAGCGGTTCTGAAAGTTGTTTGATCCAATGTAGGAATGCAATATCCAGAGGGTGGGGTCAGGTGGGATTCTATGAGGAATTATAAAATATGCATCAAGCCATTGTGGCCACGATGAGTGCATTGTGTTGACTGGGTTTGATAACATTGACAATAATTTCTGATCAAATCCCACAAGCCTCTGCATCTCTGGCCATTTCCTCTACTGTTTCATTTCTCTTTCTTGACCAGTCCCATACACCGCCAGTTGCTTCGCCAGGCAGGCATCCTGGGTCATCAAAGACAGTGGGCAGTTTCGTTGATGTAGCTTTTCTGATAGGTTAATCCCAGGCTGTTAATCTTAGGGCCAGCAAACAGGTTTCACATGAAGGTGATAATGATCGCTATCTTCCTGGCCATCCTTCTTATCATGTATATTGCTTGTTTATCACCTCCCAGGGTTGCCAAATGCACTCCTTTGTAGTTCTGTTTTATTTACCCCATGCTTAATTAGTTTTGGTAGTTTAACTTTGTCCCCACGTGGGGTTTGTTGAAATGCTCAGAAGAAATCTGAATGGTTCTTACGAACACTCTGTAAAAGTTCTTTTGTGAATAAAACGACCTGGGCCGAGGGGTGGAGAGGGAGGCACAGATTATTATACGCACCCTTCCCAGAGTCTTGCTGGTTCAAGCCTCTGTGTGTATTCTTATTAATCAGAGTTCAATCCTTCCTTTGCTTTGAGAACGCCTCAATCCAAAAGCAAGGAAAGCCCAGCACCTGCTTGCAAAAAAATCAGGAACCTCTCAAGACCACCCTGTTTGAATAAATCCCTCGTGGCAGGGAAGGCCAGATTGCAGAGGGGCCCAACTCAACAGAATGCCGCAGAAGATTTGGTTAGCACGGGTGGCTAACTATGGCTTCTTCCACACCTACACTGCTCATGCAGTGTGTACTTTGCTAAACAAATTCTCTCAGGATGCTTCCCACCTGCTGTAAATTTTATTGAACAAAACATTTGGCTTTCTAAGGGGCTCCTCTGCCTCGTTCGAAGTTAGGCTGTCCACACGCAGACCAGTCTCAGAAACAGCCGAGAGACATGTCTGTTTTCTTCCTGCTCAGCCTTGGTCTGGATTGGGCCCGGGCCCAGAGCTATCACTGCATGTCTTCCCAGTTTAGAAGACCCGGAGACTACATACTGGGCGGCTTGTTCCCTTTCACGGTGCTCACCTCCAACCTGACGGAACGGACCCTGCCTGACATTTACAACTGTGACAGGTAAGGCAGCAAAAATGGCAAGGACATAGCAATGGTTGGGGAGGTGGCGATGCAGAAACCCCTGCCTTGTGTGTGGCTGGACTTAACTGAATGAAGAGTTACTTCCATTGCTCCACTCCCTTTTGCCTCTGGCCACCCCCAGCCCGTGGCAAGTGGCCCCTACGCACCATCAGGGCTCAAAGAATGTCAGATTAATTGTCAACGGGAAACTATGGAGTAGATTTGAATGCTGTCCCCAATTAACTAGGCAGCTTTTTAAAGTAAAATGATTCAAAATGCAAGTGTCAACAAGACCTTCCTGAAGACTTTCCCTTTTTTTCAATGAGCCTTTTAAGTTGATTTCTTTCCCTGTATCAGAATCATTTTTAAGATGGCCTTCAATGTCATAATAAAAGCAAAGATTGGGAATGGGAGTCACTTTCCTAAGCTGGGAATTCCCCCCCCCCTTCTCACACGTTTATACATTTAGGGTTTTGCTGTTCTCTGAAACGTTATTTGCATGTCTTTTAAGGGTCTTGTAAGCTGCCTTGGGGGGGGGCCTGAAAGGTTAAAAACAAAAACAAAAGTTGGCAAGGTCATTCGCATCATGGATTGTAATGCAGCACAAATTTTACAGCAGCAACAGTTCAGTCTAGGAACCAACAGCGGAATAGATTCCTGCATTGAAGGAGGTTGGACTAAACAGGTCCCTGCCAACTCTACTGCTCTATGATAATAATAATAATAATAATAATAATAATAATAATAATAATAATAATAATAATTTATTTATATCCAGCCCTCCCCAGCCAAAGCCAGGCTCAGAGCGGCTAACAACAATAAAAGTAACACAATTTACATAAAATCACAATCAATTAAAATGCATTCTAAAATCAACTCATTCTAAAATCAATTCAAAATCAAATTAATGGCAACCATTGGGCTAGAGTTCTGTGAGGGTTACAGAAGGAGGGGGTCAGACTGTGCCTTGGCCAAAGGCCTGGTGGAACAGCTCTGTCTTGCAGGCCCTGCAGAAAGATGTCAAGTCCCGCAGGGCCCTAGTCTCTTGTGACAGAGCGTTCCACCAGATCGGGGCCACGGCCAAAAAAGCCCTGGCTCTGGTTGAGGCCAGCCTAACCTCCCTGTGGCCCGGGATCTGCAAGATGTTTTTATTTGAAGACCGTAAGGTCCTCCATGGGACATACCAGGAGAGGTGGTCCCGTAGGTACGAGGGTCCTATGCCGTATAAGGTTTTAAAGGTTAAAATCAGCACCTTGAACCTGATCCTGTACTCAACCAGGAGCCAGTGCAGCTGGTATAGCACTGGGTGAATGAGATCCCACGGCGAAGACCCCGTAAGGAGTCTCGCCGCGGCATTCTGCACCCGCTGGAGTTTCGGGGTCAGTCTCAAGGGCAACCCCATGTAGAGTGAGTTACAATAATCAAGTCTGGAGGTGACTGTTGCGTGGATCACAGTGGCTAGGTCAGGGCAAGAGAGGTAAGGCGCCAACTGCTTAGCTTGGGGGGGATGAAAAAATGCCGCCCTTGTTATAGCTGCGATCTGCACCTCCATGGAAAGGGAGGTGTCAAAGATTACACCCAAACTCTTAACGGATGGTGCTGGCACTAATTGTGCCCCCACAAGAGATGGGAGTTGCCCCCCCAATCCCATATCGTCCCGACCCAGGCAAAGGACCTCTGTCTTCGAAGGATTTAACTTCAGCCGGCTCCCATGTAACCATCCAGCCTATGTAATACAGGACAGGAAGAAAAGGAGCAGCAATTCAGTTATGCTTAAGAGCTCTGACCAGCCTCAAACAGACTGATTAAAAGTGGATGTAAACCGAAAAGCCTTCAGAGACAGCCAGTGTGCTGCAGAGATTAGAGTGCTGGACTAGGACGTGGGAGTCGAGAGTTCAAGTCCCAGCTCAGGCATGAAACTCGCTGGGTGTGTCCCTGGGGCAGTTGCTGCCTCTTGGCCTGACCTGCTTCCCTGGGTTGGTGTGAGGATTAATTGGGAAAGGGAGAGGTGAACCATGGACTCCGCCTTGAGCTCTTTAGAAAGAAAGGTGAGGTATAAATTCAGTAAATAAATATACAGTGCCCATTTAAAAACAATCAACCCCTTCCGCCTACCCATATCCGTGCCCCCAACCCACATCGTTAAATAAATAAATATTTTTTATTATTATTTATACCCCGCCGTTCCCGGTCCAGAAAACCGGGCTCAGGGCGGCTAACAACAAATTTAAAACAATTGACGCAAGAAAAAAACAGCATAAAATACAGTATAAAACGTGAATAATAATAAATTCAGAATTCAAAAATCAATTTAGGGGGGAAATCCATCCAATAAACATTAGGTGATCACCAGGGCTAGCTGGCTAAATTAGTCCTATTTGGGCCAGCGGGGAGACCAGGGGAGAATTAGCTGTGGGATCCCAGAGCGGGTAATCTTCATAAAAAGGGGAGGGGGAGGGAAGGAAGGGGGATAAAAGATCAGGCTAAGTTCAAATTGAAAGCCAGGCGGAATAGTTCTGTCTTACAGGCCCTGCAGAAGGAAGTTAAATCCTGCAGGGCCCTGGTCTCATGGGACAGAGAATTCTACCAGGTCGGAGCCATCACTGAGAAGGCCCTGGATGGGTCCCTAGTCACTCTGGAGAGAGGCATTTTAGGGGGTCACAGGTAGTGGTGGGAGGATAGAATCTTAGAGTTGGAAGGGAACCCAAGGCTCATCTAGTCCAACCCCCGGCAGTGCAGGAATCTCAGCTAAAGCATCCCTAGACAGATGGCCACCCGTCCTCTGCTTGAAAACCTCCAAGGGAGGAGAGTCCACAACCTCCTGAGAGAGACTCTTCCACTGCCGAACGGGGAAAAGAGGGGACCAGTAACTTGCCATCCATCAGTTATCTCAAGCTAACATCCCTATTCGCCTCCTCGGCCAAAAGAAAGAAGGGCACAAATTGTGCAGGGGCAGGGCCACCTCTGAAGCTCCCGGGCATGTCTTTGTGCACCTTCCTGCAATCAGGAGCCCACTCAGGGGAGCTTCTAAAGGCAAGCCAGTGTGCTCCTGATCTGGGTTCCAGCCAGCCACCTAGGCTGTCTTCCAGGACGCTCTGTTCCACGCACTTCCCCCAGTTTTATTAAACCCTCGACAGTTTGACAGTGTTCCCTGCTCACTTGGTTGTTGCACATGTGTTGGGGGAGTGGGGATGGTGCCTCCTTAGGGGTCTCCCCCTCTCCAATGAGCACTTCTGCAAACTTTGGGGTTTACCCCAAAGCCTCTTACACCTCGTTGCATGGGGGTGGTGCAGATTTGGCAATGTGAGAGATTGGCACTCAACCCTGCATGTTGCCAATAGAGGGAGAGAGACCGCCATCTCCCCTGTTCTGTCCTCTGTCCCCCAGGCTTTATGCTGCCGGTCTGGTCTGGGCCCTTGGGATGAAGATTGCCATTGAGGAGATCAACAACTCCACCACGCTGCTGCCAGGGATCCGCCTTGGCTATGATATCTACGACACCTGCATGGAACCGGTGGTCACCCTCCAGCCCAGCCTGCTCTTCCTGTCCAGAGCAGGCACAAACAGCATTGGGATCCTTTGCAACTACACGGACTACCAGACCCGGGTGACGGCTGTCATCGGGCCTCACGACTCACTGCTCTCTTCGGTGACAGCCAAGCTGTTCGGCTTCTTCCTGATCCCGCAGGTAGAAAAACTGTAAGATCAAATGACACCCTCGTGAGAATAATAATACCGTATTTTTTGCTCTATAAGACTCACTTTTTCCCTCCTAAAAAGTAATGGGAAATGTGTGTGCATCTTATGGAATGAATGCAAGCTGCGCAGCTATCCCAGAAGCCAGAACAGCAAGAGGGATTGCTGCTTTCACTGCACAGCGATCCCTCTTGCTGTTCTGGCTTCTGAGATTCAGAATATTTTTTTTCTTGTTTTCCTCCTCCAAAAACTAGGTGCGTCTTACGGTCTGGTGCATCTTATAGAGCGAAAAATACAGTAATAATAATTTATTATTTATACCCCGCCCATCTGACTGAGTTTCCCCAGCCACTCTGGGCGGCTTCCAATCAAGTGTTAAAAGCAATACAGCACTAAATATTAAAAACTTCCCTAAACAGGGCTGCCTTCAGATGTCTTTTAAAGATAGGATAGCTGCTTATTTCCTTCACATCTGAAGGGAGGGCATTCCACAGGGCAGGTGCCACTACCGAGAAGGCGCCAGTGAGGCCCACCACAAAATGTTGCAGCGTAAAATGCACCTATTCCGTGTTTTAGGGTTGTCTCCAAATAAGCCCTACTCATTCATTCAATAGGTTTCTTGTTCTAGCTAAAGGACATGACCATTAGGTCAAAGAAGCGTTTCTCAAACTTGGGTGCCCAGCTGTTGTTGGACTACAACTCCCATAATCCCTAGCTAGCAGGACCATTGGTCAGGGATGATGGGCATTATAGTCCAACCCAAATTTGAGAAACACTGCATTAAAGTTCACCCAGATACCAACGTAGCAATAATATAGCGAACATCAGTAATAGAAAACAATAAAAATCAGAAGTACCATCAGCTATCCCAACTTCAGATTAAACCTCAGAGTCCCCAGAACAATTTACAGCAATGTTCTCTAGCTCTCTGTGTCCAATCTTTCCTGCAGCCAGTGCAAAAAGAGCCACTTTACGTGTCACAAAGTTTTTAAGGTAAAGGGACCCCTGACCATTAGGTCCAGTCATGACCGACTCTGGGGTTGCAGCACTCATCTTGCTTTATTGGCCGAGGGAGCCTGCGTACAGCTTCCGGGTCATGTGGCCAGTATGACTAAGCCGCTTCTGGCGAACCAGAGCAGCACACAGAAACGCCGTTTACCTTCCCGCCGGAGTGGTACCTATTTATCTACTTGCACTTTGACGTGCTTTCGAACTGCTAGATTGGCAGGAGCAGGGACCGAGCAACGGGAGCTCACACTGTCGTGGGGATTCGAACCGCCGACCTTCTGATCGGCAAGTCCTAGGCTCTGTGGTTTAACCCAAGCACCACCCGCGTCCCTTACCAACTTAACAAAACTTAACTAAACAAAGTTAACTAAACTTAACAAAGTTGTTAGTGGCCTGCAAAACAAACTGCACTGTTTCATCCATGGTATTCCCACTTCCATACATCGACAAAGGTTTCAAAATCTTGGATCCAGGTAGACCCATTAGAATTAATGGACCTAAGTTAGCCATGTGCATTCATTGCAGTGGGTCTAACTTTGAGTAGGTCTGGCATCGGCACAAACTCCCAGGCTGAACTTTTATACCCACTTATCTTGGAATTGGGCTGGGAGGGAAATGCGATCCAGCTCATAGGGAATTCGCAGTTTTCAAAACAATGCTCAGAATGAAACACAGCCACCTTTTGCAATACACACTTGGAACAAATGTTGCAATCAAGTTCTCCAGTCAAGCAATAAGTGCAAAAGTGCATGTGCTAGGATCAAGTGTACATAAGAATGCATAAATTAGTGAAAATAGCATTCTGTTAGGGGAACGGGCTTTGCAAAAATTTGTGTACGAGGCAAAACTGCATCCAAAGATACCTTCGTTCCGAAAAATGCAAACTAAAATGCTTATGAATTTTCATGAGGATTTGTAAAAAAAATCAGATGGATGTGGAAATGTGGAAAACTGAAATTAAGCTTGGGTGTGGGGAAGAGAAACGGAAAGAAATTGAAATTAACATGATTCACTTGTTCCTATCTTGGGGTGAGACATTGTGAACACAGTAGGTTCTTTTGGCAGTCAACTCAATTGTGCCTCCCCCCTCCTTCCTTCCTTCCTTCCTTCCTTCCTTTGGGAGTCCCACAACATTGGGGGGGGGGGGACAGGTTCCTAACCCTGGGCGCACACAAATCCAAACCAGCAAGAGTGCTAACGCCTTGTCAGGGGCCCTATTTATTCATACATCTGCTTAGCCCTCTCCTTCATATGGTTTCAGCAGGCTGTAGAAGGCATAGGGGCCTTTATTTTTGTTGGCATGGCCAGCTGGTGCAACTGGATTAGAACCCCAGGCCCTCCAGACATTTTGGACTGCAACTCCCATGATGTAATTATTTTATTGATAAAAAGAGTTATAAGCTTTGCCACTATTCTGTGTACAAAAGCACATGGTTTCAGTTATGCACTTTCTAAGACATTACTTAGACATGGACTTTGGTCCATATAAACACTCTATCCTTCTAAATATACCCAAGCTAAACCCTCCCTCGCCATTTATCCCAAAACAATAACAACATTGATCCTACTTTATCTCACTAAGCCTGACACAAACCTTCCGAACACTCCCACCCCAACTGATGGGAACTGCAGCCCCAAATATATTGAGGGCACCAACTTAGCTGAGTCCAGATTACATGACGGGAAATGCGTTAATGTGTTGTACCCAACCAACTTCTGCTTTAGAGCAGACCCACTGGAATTAATGGATCTCAGTTTGTCATGTCCATTAACTTCAATGGGTCTCCTCCATGTAGTATGATTGGACACAGCTCATTACTAGGGTATTGCTTGACATTCAATGTGGTTTTTAATTGCTGTAAGCCAGTGGTGGCCAAACTTGGCCCTCCAGCTGTTTTGGGACTACAACTCCCATCATCCCTATCTAACAGGACCAGTGGTCAGGGATGACGGGAATTGTAGTCCCAAAACTTGGAGGTCCATGTTTGGCCATCACTGCTGTAAGCAGTCATGGGGAGTTGGTCTCTTTGGAATGGCAGCCTGCAAAGTCACCAAATAAATTAAACATTGGTACAATTGTGGCCTTCAGATCAGTTATGGAGCCACCATGGAGCCCCTGAACAACGAGGAGCTGTATCCCTCTTTCTTGCGGACTGTGCCCAGCGACAAGAGACAGCTGGAAGCCATGGTCCAGCTCCTGCAGGCTTTCAAGTGGAATTGGATCGCGGTCATTGGCAGCAACGATGACTATGGCCGTGGAGGCCTCAGCCTTTTGTCGTCCATGGTGGCCAGCAAACAGATCTGCATCGCCTTCGAGGGGCTGATCCCAGCCGAACTGTCCAACCCGAGCCTCCAAGTGAAGATGAGGCAGACAATCCAGTCGATCAACGAGTCCAAAGTCAACGTCATCGTCCTCTTCGCCAGCGACCGGCCTGTCCGGGCTTTCTTCAAGCTGTGCTTGGAGCTGAAGCTGAGCCAGAAGGTGTGGTTGGCCACCGAAGCCTGGGTGATGTCAGACGTGGTCACCTCTGTGGACAAGATCCAAGCCATTGGGACAGTCATCGGCTTCGTCATAAAGGGGGGGACAGTCCCTGGCTTCGAGGAGTACATCTACAGACTTTTAGAGCTGACCCAAGAGGACAGCTTCTGCAACACATCCCAGGAGGAAGTGAACAAGATGGACTCCGATGTCCTGGGACCACAATGCTGGCAATGCAACTACATCTCTCGCCGAAACATCACCGCGGTGCTCAAGCACCGGCAGACGTACGCTGTCTACACCGCAGTGTACAGTGTGGCTCACGCACTCCACAACTTGTTGTGCTCCCAGAGAGGGACGTGTCATAAGGGTAACATCAAATCTTGGGAGGTAGGCAAGAGGCAGTCAGCTGCCCATCGACTGATAATACAATGAGGCCTGGTGACCTGTTTTCGCCTGCGTGGTATATTTATTATACTTTTTAGCAACACAAAACAACTTAACAACAATAAGTAGCACATGCATTAACACCAGCTTATAACCAAACAATCTCAAACAGACTCATATTTTCAAAAGCCAGTATTAAAACATCCCACCCTCTGAAGGAGGCCACAGATCGTTAAAAGTCAAAGGCCTGGAAGAAAACACATGTTTTTGCCTGGTGCCTAAAGATAGGAGATGATGGTGGCAGGCAAGCCTCCCTGGGGGGAGCATTCCACAAGCGGGGAGCCACCACTGAAAAGGCCTATTTTCATGCTGTCACCCTTCAGACCTCCTGTGCACATGGGGGCACATGGAGAAGGGCGTCATACGGTGATCACAGAGTCAGATTGGTTCATATGGGGAGATGCGGTCCTTGAGGTATTGAAGTCCTGAGCCTTTCAAGACTTTATAGGTCAAAACCAGCACCTTGAATTGGCAGCCGGAAACTGTTGGCAGCCGGTGTAGTTGGGCCATGATTGGCGTTATATGCTTAAACTGTCTTGCTCCGGTGAGCAACCTGGCTGCCAAATTCTGCACCGGCTGCTGTCCATTACAGTGGTACCTTGGGTTAAGAACTTAATTCGTTCTGGAGGTTTGTTCTTAACCTGAAACTGTTCTTAACTTGAAGCACCACTTTAGCTAATGGGGCCTCCTGCTGCTGCCGCGCCACCGGAGCACAATTTCTGTTCTCATCCTGAAGCAAAGTTCTTAACCCAAGGTAATATTTCTGGGTTAGCAGAGTCTGTAACCTGAAGCGTCTGTAACCCGAGGTACCACCGTACATGACTTGGCCAAAACTACCTTTGGACCAAACAGGGAATGGGTTTGCTTAATTAGGCCCAAAGGCCAGAGGTCCCCCAACCTGCACTAAAATCATCCTGGCAATGGGATAATGCCCTCAAGCACACCTGAGAACAGCAGGGCAGTTTAAGAGCCACAGGGCAGGCTGAGTGGCACATACAGCTTTGTCCTGCCACGCTTTGCCACCTGATATGGCTGCCCTGCTCTGGCTAACAGTAGGGCCAGCCTTGCAGAGAAGTGGTTAGTGCAGGCAAGGGGACATGGGATTAGGGGTCCAAGGGTGGGGGGACATGGGAGTTAGCACAGAATCCACCCACAACCACCTTTTCCTTCCATCCAGCTGCTGGACAAACTGAAAGACGTCCATTTCAACATCTCCAACCAGCTGCACCATTTCGAAGACTACGGCAGCATCAACCTCGGCTATGAGGTCATTGGCTGGAGGTGGCAGGACAGTGGGATTGAGCACATCACCCTCGGGAACTTCAACACAAAACTGAACATCAATACATCCTTGGTCCAGTTTCACACAGAGGATGGAAAGGTAAAGAGAGAGGGGGAGGAATGCAACAAAGGAGTACAGTAAAGTGAGTGATCTCTTTGCTTGCTTCCCACCCACAAATGTCCCCACACTAATTATCTGCCTGACCTCTTCTCTTGGTTTCTCAGAGTTATATCCTGCCATTCCTCCAAGGCAACAAGCTAGATATGCTCAGGCAGTGTGCCCAACATGTATTTAAAACACGATCCCCACTCCCCCAATAATTCTGGAAATGGTAGCTTACCCCTCAGCACCCATAACAAACTCAGCTACAATTCTCAGCACCCATAACTAATGACAGTTCCCAGGATTCTTATTTGGGGTGTGTGTGTGATTTAAATTTGTGGTGTGCATGCAGGCCAGATACAATTAATTTGTCCAGATGCAGGAACACAGGAAGCTGTCCTATACTGAGCCAGAAAAGTTCAGTATTTGTCTGCACTGACTGGCAGTGACAGACCTTAAGGTCTTAAGGTTGTGGGTTCGAACCCCACATTGGATGAAAGATTCATGTGTTGTGGAGAGTTGGACCAGATGATTCTTGGGATCCCGTCCAACTCTGTGATTCTTTGATCCAGGATTTCAGACCCGAGTTGTTCTGAACCTGTGGCCTTTTTGTATGCAAAGCAGATGGCTCTATTACCGAGCTATGACCTTTCCCCCAGGAAGGGGGAGCAGGAAGATGGAGGGGAGAAGGAACAGTATAAGGAGCTTGCAGAGAACAAGGGCGAAAGATGAGCAAAGGGAACAGCAAGAGAGAAGGAAAAGAAGATAGCTTTGCAGGAGGTAGACATTTCATTGGTCGCTCTCCCTTTTGCTTAGGCTCCCATCTCTGAGTGCCTTACGACATGTCAGGCTGGGCAGATCCGTCGGATGAAGGGGTTCCACCTCTGCTGCTACGACTGCATTGACTGTGAGATGGGCACTTATCGCAGTTCTCCAGGTGAGAAGGTTTGGGGCCTTGGGGTGACTTCCCTGCATCACATTCAGAGGTCGTAGAGAATTCTGACAGATATATGAGCAGCAATTGCTGGTGTTCATTTATCCATCCCGTATCCAGAACAGAAATCAATCCAGCAGATTCTATTGGTATTTGCTTGTTGTTTTCGGTCTGCAAACGGTACATAATTGGCAATGCTTTGTTTGCATTGAAATGAATGATATGGAACAACATAATTCATTATGTAATCAATTATGACATCCATTGGTTAAGTAAAATTCTGCCACAGCAGACAGGGATATGAGACACAATCATTTGTGTTGCAAGCAGAACTGCAGCAGAACAGAAACAGCCTTGCATGTGATGTAAATGGGTTGGAAGAGAAATTGATTCCTTCTTTACATCCCTAGCTACAGTCACTGTATACAGGGACAGCAGCTCTTGGTGAGAGGAGATGAGGGTGGACAGTTCAGTTTATTCCTGATCTGTGTCAGTTCCACGTTTGTTCATTCCTGAGTCGGCTCCACCCCACTTCTGCATTAATCTGCTCAAGTTTTTGATAAAAAATAAGGTTGTATTACTTATCTTTCTCACAAAAACCACTGCTACTGGTCAAAATAGGTGCTTTTCATGAAACCAAAAAATTGAGTCCAGTTAAAATTTCACTCCCCACCTGGATAAAATGGTTTCACCACCATAGGAAGCTGCCACGTACAGAGCCGGACCATTGGCTCCATCTGATGCTGTACTATCTACACTGACTGGCAGCAGCTGCCCAGGGTTTTAGACAAGGGACCTTTCCCAGGGCTATGTGGAGATGCCAAGGCTTGAACCTGGGACCTTCTGCATGCAAAGCCGGTGCTCTACCACTGAGTTACAACCCTCCTCTTAAAATTTAGATACAGAGAAAGCTGTATGATACAGTGTCAGACCATTGGCTCTTTTAGCTCAGTCTACCCTGACTGGAGTGGGACGCGGGTGGTGCTGTGGGTTAAACCACAGAGCCTAGGAATTGCCAATCAGAAAGTCGGCGGTTCAAATCCCTGCAATAGGGTGAGCTCCTGTTGCTCGGTCCCTGCTCCTGCTAACCTAGCAGTTGGAAAGTACATCAAAGTGCAAGTAGATAAATAGGTACCGCTCTGGCGGGAAGGTAAACAGCATTTCTGTGTGCTGCTCTGGTTCGCCAGAAGCGGCTTAGTCATGCTGGCCACATGACCCAGAAGCTGTACGCCGGCTCCCTCGGCCAATAAAGCAAGATGAGCGCCACAACTTCAGAGCTGGCCACGACTGGACCTAATGGTCAAGGGTCCCTTTACCTTTACTCTGACTGGATCAGCGCTCCAGGGTTTCAAGCAGGAGTCTCACCCGGTTCTACCTAGAGAGAATGCAAATGCAACCTGGGAGCTGTTGCATTAAAGCCAGATGCTCTGGCCCTTCCCCAGGAGGACACCCCCTTGCTTGCAAAATGTACAGCTGCCTCCCTGCTCTTTTACAGAGGACACAACCTGCACCGCCTGCCCCACAGAACAGTGGTCCCCTGGACGCAGCACACGGTGTTACGACCGCAGCGAAAAGTATCTGTTCTGGTCCGAGCCTCTGGCCATCATCTTGGTAGCCTTGCTGATATTCGCGGTGACTCTCACCTGCCTCTCAGGGTCCCTGTTTCTGAGGAACCTCCACACCCCCGTGGTGCAGGCCGCCGGGGGAGCCATGTGCCTCGTGGGCCTCCTCTGCCTGGCCCTGATGTGCCTCAGCTGCGGCCTCTACATCGGCAAGCCCAGCCCGACCGTCTGCCTGATGCAACAGCCCTCCTTCGCCTTGTGCCTCAACCCTTGCTTCTCCACCATCACGGCCAAGGCCCTCCAGATCATGCTGGTGAACGACTTTGCAAGCAGCCGCCGCGGTTTCCTGCACAACCTGATCCAGAGGCGGCCGTGGGCCATCGTGGCCTTGTGCTTTCTGGGTGAAAGCGCCCTCTGCCTTGGGTACATCTATGTCAACCCGTCCACTCCGGGCAAGAACTACAAGCTCTTGCCCACCCAAGTCCTCATCCAGTGCAGGATAAAGTCCTGGGCTGCCTTCGCCATCATGCACGGGAACAACAGCCTCCTGGCCTTCACCTCGTTCCTCTGCACCTTCATGGTGCAGACGTCTCCCAAGAAGTACAACATCGCCCGCAGCATCACCTTCGCCATGCTCGCTTACTTCATCGCCTTGATCTTCTTCATCCCCACCTACGCCACTGTGGGGCTAGAGTACCAGCCCGCCGTGCAGGTGAATGCCATGCTCATGTGTGCTACAGGGCTGCTCGCGGCTTATTACCTCCCCAAGTGCTACATCCTGCGTTTCAAGCCGGACTGGAACACGGTGGACTATTTCCAAGATTATGCCAAAGAGGCGACGCAGGAAAGCGACCCCAAAAATTAGGGGTCGTAGCCGATGCTAGTCCTACCCACACAGGAAACCCGCTGAAGTTAAAGGGCATGGCTAACTTAGGCCTGGTCGGTTCAACGGGTCTACTTTGAGGAGGACTTGGTCAGAGGCAACCCAAGCAGAAGTCTCTGAAGCAGGAAGGGGAGTGTCTCCTTTGATGGGGTTAACAGCGCAACTTGTATCGCTGCCCTAGTATAGAAGCTTTTATTGGTGCGTGTTTTTATTTCATTGGGTTGGACGTAGATACAGATTTGTCTTGATGGGATAGACTTGTTAGAGAGGCCTTGCATTCTAGTCCTCCTGCTCAGGTTTGGCAAGCCAGAGTTAGAGATGGGAAAAGCATCCACAAACGACAAAAATGTCTCCTCTCCACTTTCTTCTTAGCCCTAGGGGATCATTGCAGAACACTCATGCAATGTTGGACTGGAACCTATATATGTCTCACAGAGATGGCTTACTCACAGCTGTCTCCAACCCTGTCCTATTCTGCTCAGCGAATGGGAAGCTGCCTTAGCATCTATGCATGGCATTTCGTTAGATTTGAAACAAGACTGCTTCAAAGTCAACGAAAACTATGTTTAAGGTATACCTTTAAACTAGCGCCTTTACAGAAAGGAGTTGCCTGCTTCAGATAGATGCTGGCAATGAAATCTTCTTTCGAAGTATATAATTTGGGCCTTGCTTAGTGGTGTCTTATGTCTAGTTAGAAATTGTGGTCCATGTTGCAGGAAAAAGCCTCTTGAATTATATCCCTGTAACGTGGAGACTAATGGATTGACAGCAGAGGTGAAGATCTCATGGTGGCCAACAGATTAAGGGTTGACTTACTCAGAGGGGACCCACTGAAATCAATGGGCACGGCAAACCTAGTGCATTAATTTCAATGGGTCTACTCTGAGTAGGACATCATTGGAGGTTGTTTTTTTTTTTAAGACTGCAAGGACAACCATTCCTGCATCCACTGCTCTGTGCTGAGGTCTCCCTGCACACAGCTTACATTCGTCAAATCTAGTTTAAGATGTTTATTTGGACATGTGTACTGTCTTATTGATTTATACATTTAAACTGGGCTTGATGGAATAGTCTTTCTGTTAATGTCTGCTGGCAGTGTTTTTTACCTCTTTCTGTTACATTTGCAAATAAAAAACATATTTTAAAAAGAAGTTGTCTTTATACCTAATCAGGGATGTGTCAAGTAGCTACACACCCCATCACTGCACATGCTGCCTTGACACAGTTAGCTACACTGGTTAGTGAGCTCTGATCCACAAGTATTACATGTACCTGTATGGATATTCTATCTAAAACTATTTGCTGACGAAGATTCATCTTCGAAACTGTTGATTCAATCCGGATATACTGTCTTGGACATCATCCACTGAAAGGCGTCATGGTGTTCCCCGCCAGCAATTCATTTCGTTGACTACTTCTTGGTTATGGACTGATATATATATATATATATATTATTTTGAAGTTGAGGAGTTGTAAATTTTGGATGACATTCTACTACTATAATAACACAGCTACTATATTCATTAGTCACGTGTTGCAGCTATATTTTAGCAGGATGACACCCCCCCCCGGCATCTGCTCATGTGGGATGGGAGCCTTTGCATCTACAGTTGTATGTGTGAAATAGTGTGCATCTGATGGCTCAGTTCATACGTCATACAAGGCTACTAAAGAGTGAGACTAGTCAACAGGTGTGACATTGGAGGTGTGGCCATTATGCATTGGGACACACAGATGGGAACCTCTGCATAGGGGTGCAAAAGAGTTAAAATTCCCATTCATCAGTGCCAGGGGCTGGACTAAGGAGGCTGACCCTTCCCAAGAAAAGGACAGTATAGATTTAGATCAATGGTTTGCAGAAGGGCATAGTTCAGAGGGCAGAAGCTGGGAAATACTGGAAGAGGAACAGAAGGAAGAATAAGAAGAAGCACCGGGGAGAGACAGCTGACAGACTCAGTGTCCTTGGAGAGCATTCCTGACCCCCCCCTCCCACAACTAGATGGGCATTGAGAGTAGAAGAACAGAGAGCTCAGTGGCAAAAGGCTCAGATTAGCCAATGCAGGACTGGCGTAGATTAGGGGAAGGACTTTACTTGGAGCAACGCCATCATTGCATAGAGACTACCTCCCTTTGTCTCACTCTGTGAATACTGAATAAATTACGTAGTAAGGACTTTTCGTGTTATCTGCTTTTGGGGGGGCTGCCACCGGGGGAGGGATAGTAATCCCTAAGCCTTTACCATCAGTGATGTTCATTTGGGCCTCTCTTGTGCCAGACCTATCATGCAAGATTGTTGGAAACATAAAACAGAATAACTCTATACACACTATCTTGGGTGCTCTGAGTGAGCCAGTGGTGTAACAGTTTGAGTGTCAGATCAGTACCTGGGGGATCAGGGTTCAAATCTTCATTTGGCCAGCTAGTCGCTGTCTCTAAGCCTAACCTATCTCACAGGGCTGCTGTGAGAATAAAGTGGAAGACAGGGAGAGCCTTGGAGGAGAGGCAGGATTACATATGTAGTAACTAAAACACATTTTAATAAAATAAGGGGGATGAAATGTTGAAAGAAGATATGGAAAATAGCAATTATATTTTGAAATATGTATTTTGAGGAGGAAGAATCCTAGACATCCTACCCATTATGTTGCGCACATTTGCCACAAACCAGATGAAACCAGATATGTTTACGGCTTAAAGGCAGCACAAGGGGGCTATTTTCTCACAGAGATTTGAATGCACTGGTTGAATCTCTTTGCAAAGAACATGAAAATGAGATGGGATGGTGAAAATGATGCGAGAAAAACCTCAGGACACCCTCCCCACCATGCAAATAGTTTTGTTTCCAAGTTAAAGCCAATTCAGGCTCAAAGCCTCAATGGATATGCAAAAAAGAGATCAGGAAAGGGGACCAGCAATATCACTGCAAATGACAAATGTCATGACAAATCACAGAGTGTTAAGACCACTGAGGACCAACTAAAACACCCCACAGTAGAAGCAAACATCAAGTTTTAACAAGGTATCTTTAAAAGAACAAAATACCAAACCTATTACCTCCAAGCTGGGGTTAGGGGGCTTGCTTGTTTTATACAGATGTTATTATTATTATTTTATTATTACATTTATTACCTGTCCTTACCAGCAGATCCCAGGGTGGGTTACAACTATTTAAAACTCAGAATTGAAAACGGTTAAAACATATTTCAGGACTCGGGAATAGGATGGGTCCTGAAAACACAACATCTCAGGTGTCAAAGAGGCCAGAGTAAATATATCATGGATGCAGTAACAGTGCATTAGTGGTAAATTTATACGGAACTGTCTACACATCTTTCCACTTTATTAGTTGTTCTGCGATGCTTCCCCAATGCTGCCATATTACGGCCATCTGGAGGGGCAACTCTCGTACCATAGTGCAACTTACGTGAAGTGAGTCCTGATATACACATTTGGGCTTGTGCTCTGCCTAATCCATGCATTACTGCTATTTCCCAAAATACAACTCATTTTAATGTTATTTTGGCTTATAAAATGCACATTTTTAAATATACTTTTCATACATAATGTGCACACATTCGGAGAAGTGCTAATTTTGATAGACAGCTGTGTTTGGGCTCGGGCACCGTTTCAAAAAGTGTGAATGAAGTAGATGGGCATCAAAACACAAAAGCAAATTTATCTTCTCCCTCCCAATTCCCTACCCACCAACACCCAGCCGCTGCACAGCTTACTGGGACTGGGCAGGTGCAGGATTAACTGACCACAGGTTACCAACAGTTTAGCACTGTAGCATTCGTGCTTGCGTGTTTGCACGGCGAGGGCAGATAATATTGTTTCGCTAGCTGGATTTGGCCCATGGGCTGCCAGATGGCCACCCACTGTTTCCAGAACATCATGCAAATGATTCATTTTGCTTATGATTTGATTTAATGGCCTCCACCTGCCCTTTCACGGGGCAGAGTCGCCCAGGTACCATTTGTCATTGCGTTCCACCAACTACTATTCAAATGCAACATAATCCCAGGCTTTAAAGCCTTTGCCTAGTGGCCATCGCCTCCAAGATTGCCACCCTAGTCAAGCAGGCAAACAGGATCAAACACAAATGGCCAGAGACAGAAGGGCAGAATGCAGCTTCATGGGCTGAAAATGAGAGCGACCACAGGTATGGATATGAAGCAGAGCAAATAAAGGAAGGTAAGTCTAGTCCTCCTTTCTTATGAACTGACTCCATAGGTAAAGGGACCCCTGACCATTAGGTCCAGTCGTGGCCGACTCTGGGGTTGCGGTGCTCATCTCGCTTTATTGGCCGAGGGAGCCTGCGTACAGCTTCCGGGCCATGTGGCCAGCATGACTAAGCCGCTTCTGGCGAACCAGAGCAGCGCACGGAAATGCCGTTCACCTTCCCACCAGAGTGGTACCTATTTATCTATTTGCACTTTGACATGCTTTTGAACTGCTAGGTTGGCAGGAGCAGGGACCGAGCAATGGGAGCTCACCCTGTCGCGGGGATTTGAACCGCTGACCTTCTGATTGGGAAGTCCTAGGCTCTGTGGTTTAACCAACAGCGCCACCCGCGTCCGAACTGACTCCATAGCCACTTTCAAATAGCTAAAGGGCTGTCACGTGGAAGATGGAAGCACGCTTGTTCTTTCCTGCTCTGGAGGCCCCAAATCAATGGCTTCGAGTTACAAGAAAGGAGATTCTGACTAAACACCAGGAAGAACTTTCTGACAGTATGAGCTGTTTGACAATGGAACAGACCTCCCACGAGAGGTGATGGACTCCTCTTCCTCAGAGGTTTGTAAGCTGAGGTTGGGTGGCCACCAGTCATGTATGATCTAGTTGAGATTCCTGCATTGCAGGGGGGTTGCACTGGGTGACCCCCAAGGTCCTTTCCAACTCTACAGTTCTACGAGAAGAACTACAACAAAACATTTTCTTAATACGAAGTGCACTAACCCTCTCTTTTGCAAGGAAAGCTTGTTTGCTTTATCACGTTTATTAGTATTAAATTGCTCCATTGTCTCTGCTGTGACAGGCCAGTCCCATCAGGCCTCCTGTCCCTCAACCTGGGGGCAAACCATTCCACCAGGCTGCCTCAGTGGGAGAGTCAGGAAGCAGAAAGCTCATTCCATCAAGCACTTCCAGCCCCTGAACTGTGCAGACTGGTCATTATAAGAACAATGGCCCGAGTTCGATTCCCCCCTCTTTCTTCCATGTCTTTCCCCTCCTTGTGCCATGTTTTTTTTAGATTGTAAGTCTGCAGGCAGGGATGGTCTTGTTTTCATTGATTGTATATAAGTCACGCTTAGCAGGGCAAAAATGTTCTGAATAACAACAACAGTTACCCACCATTCACCCGAAGGTCCTACAAATTTAAAATAGAACATTAAACACAGTTTAAAACAGCTTACAATCACAGAAGGGGGGGATCTGAAAAATATACACCTCAAAGGCCAGAGTAAAAAGCATTGAAGCCGGATCTTTAGCTCAGGAGTCTTATCACTGGTTTTGCCCACCCTGTGGAATGCCCTCCTGTCAGATGTCAAGGAAAATAACAACAACAACAACAACAACAACATGATTATTTAATTATTTATACCTTGCCCATTTGGGAGGCTTCCAACACCTATAACAACATAAAAAACTGTCAAACATTAAAAACTTCCTGATACAGTGCTGCCTTCAGATGTCTTCTAAAAGTTGTGTAGTTCTTTATCTCCTTGACACCTGATGGTGTCACTACTGAGATGGCCCTCTGCCTGGTTCCCTGTAACTTTACTTCTTGCAGTGAAGGAACCACCAGATAAACAACCACCTGACTTTTAGAAGACATCTGAAGGCAGCCCTGTATAGGGAAGTTTTTAAAGTTTGATGTTTTACTGTGCTCGATGTTTTAATTTGTTGGAAGCTGCCCAGAGTGGCTGGTGCAACCCAGTCAGGCGGGCGGCATTTAAATAAATTTATTATTATTATTATTATTATTATTATTATTATTATTATTTATTACCTCTCCATACCCTGCAGCCAAGCATGGCATGGACAGGTGGGCTGAATCACCTGTCAATCATCTGATGCCACCATGATATCAGAAGATTGAGAAGTGGGTGGTCCCACCCACCTATCAAAGTTGGCCTGTGAGGGTAAAGGGAGATAGTGACCAAGCTGGAATGAACTGCCCATGTGCTACCTGATGGACAGGGAGTTCAAGCCTGCTTTCCACAGGGTTCAGGTGCACACAAAAATTCATTCACGCCCGGCAGGATAAGGCAACACATCACAAAGCCGCTGGTTGGTATCCTGCTTCTCTACCAGGTGGCCTTCAGACAAGACTTTCCACCCTTCAGCCTCCCATCTGCAATATGGGAAAGTACTGCCTTGCAGAGTTTGTTGTGAATCTCACATGACAAACAGCATGTAAACACTAGGCATAAAACAGGGATCTAACTTCCATTTTCCCCATCACAGGCTAAAATGGCTCTCAGTGCACTGCTTGGGCTCCTGGTTTCCATACAACTGAACGAAGCAAAGGCCAAGTCCCTGTTGACCCAGTTTAGTGCTCCGGGAGACTTTGTCCTTGGTGGGATGTTTGCCTTTCACTCCAAAGTACAGTACCTAAGCCAGGATGTGGAGCTGAAGACTCCCAAGTGTTCCGGGTGAGTAGGACCAAAAGAACCTCAGCAAAATGCACAGTACACCAAGACTAGAGATGTAAAATTTCCAGGCATCTGAAGTTATGGAAAAGCACTTTCTCCAACATTTCTTTCAACATTGTAAAAGGAAATATTTCAATATCAATTTCCCCAATTTCTTGACACCTCCCCACAATAATACCTAGGTTGGGAAAACCAGACCACCCCCACCCCCGAAATCACCCCCATGGCAGACTTATTATGAGTATCTCATTCTGGGCTTCCAAACAAGGCAAGGGAGCTGTCCAGCATCAGTTGGTGCTGAATGGAAGAGGAGCTGTCCAGAGGGCACCTAGGCTAGGAACGAGCCTACGGAAGTTGTTGCACCAGCAACTTCCAGGCATCCAACTGGGGTTTAAGCATTCCACCTGTCTGCTTCTATCCTTGCCCCCCCCCAATTATGACTTTTTAAGCCCTAGTCCCTCCTCCCAAGTAGGACACTGACCAGGCTGCCTCATGTGACAAAGTGAGAGCTGTGCTAAGCAGAAAGTGCTTAAGTTTGGACTCCATACCAAACTAGCAATGATTGTGTGGGGTGAGCCGAACTGGGGACATAGAGAAGCTCCCAATTCTTCTGATTTTCTGGCTGAGACATTGTCTTGTGGAGGTGATTTCAGAGGTTCCCTGATCCCAGTTTATGCTGGGAGGGGGCCATGCTGACATCATTTTCTGACAGTAAGGACTCGTTTTATTCCAGCAAGGCAATGTCCTGTCACTGCATAGAGACATTATAGCACCTCTGAGTCAGGCATGCAAAAAGCTTGTCATGTCCAGACTGAAAAGGATAGCTAACTGAGGCTGCTAACTGGAGAATCCAATCTCCAATTAGGGATGAAGAATCTAGACTTCCAGATATTCCTGGGCTCCAACTCCAGTCAGGCCTGTGTGATCAATTTATTCCAACACATCTCATCTCCAACTCAACCTTCTATTCGTTTTTGTCATTCCAAGGTGCTTCAATGAAATGGTACAGTCCTAATGGGAAAGGTTGTTCCACCTCAGTAAAATTAGGAGTATGCAGAGTGTTGAGTGTGGCTTCTGAGTCTGATTAGAGATCAGATTTCATCTGCAGCAATCACACACATAAGAGATATTTGTAGAGTAAGAAAATAACAAAGCCACTTATTATAGGAAGTGCATAGCTTGGATAGAGAGGTTTCTAGTTCTAAGCTAACTAATCTAGAGAAGACAAAGGCAGTCATGCATGCTCCTTTGTTCTCAGAGGATAGATCCAAAATGACCTTGAGGTCTGAGAGAGAAGTGTAAGAGGAGGAAGTTGTAAACAGGATGCAATCTAAGGTGTCTAAACTCCTATCTGCTAAACTGAGTTGCACCCAGACTCCCAACAAATTAAGCACCTTTGACACCACCCCCAATTCTTGACTTGAAGTCCGGCAAAGGAATCTTTGTCATTCACCGTCCTTGAAATGATTAACTCTTTTTTAACCGCCTCCCTAAGCTTCGACATTACTGGATACAAGCGGCACCTGAGCATGCGCTTTGCCATCGACGAAATCAACAACTCGACTTCTCTGCTCCCCGGTGTCAAGCTCGGCTATGAAATCCACAACACTTGCAACAACCCAGCCGTGGCCAACAAGCCCACAATGTCCTTCCTCTCCAAGTACCCCAACCGCTATGGCGTGGAGGTGCAATGCGATTATACCAACTATAAGCCTCGAGTTGTCGCCGTCGTTGGCCCCGGCAATTCGGAGCTGAGCGTGCTGGTGGCTCGGTTCCTGAAGTTCCTTTTGATCCCAGAGGTAAGATGGGAAGCGCATTGCACTGGCTCTTACGAAGATCTCTTCCTCCCTTCAAGGAAGAGTCTCCACTGGTGTGTTTTGAGTAGAATCCAGGGCGCTACATTGAGGCAGAAGGTTGATAGCCATCTGGGTGGTCGAGTAGCAGAATCAAGAATTATGATTGTGATAAATTACCTGCCCTTCATACTAAGGTCCCAGGGCAGGTTACAGCAACTGAAACACAACACTAATATTAAAAGCACAATATCACACAGTATTTTTTTTTTAAAAAAAACCAACAGGTTTAAAACAACTTAAAATCACAGAAATAAGGTGGGTCTCAAAAATATATATCTCCATTGTCAAAAGCCAGGATAAAGAGCATTCGCCAAATGCTGTATAATGAAAGTGCTGGATACACCTCTGCCAGGGTCCATCAGTGGAATGTCAGTGGAATGCTCTCCCCAATAAGGTGCATCTAACCGCACCATTGTTTTATTTTTCTCACAGACTTTTGGATGTGGTTATTGGGGACTGAAATAATTCATATATAATTTTCTGCTGCTTAATGTGAATTGCATTTATATAGCTGTTTTAATCATTTAATTATCCTGTATTGCAAAGACTGGAGTAAATGTCCATTCCAACGATGCATTTCTGTGATTCTATGCATGTTATAGGCATTAAGTATGTCTGTTCATTATGCCCCTATGCCTTGTGTCCAATGCTAGCCCTACTCAGAACAGACCTCTTTAAAATAAGGGACAGGACTAACTTAGGTTTACAAATTTCAGCAAGCCAACTCTGAATATAACTTAGCTGGGTTCTAGCCATAGATGCCCAGACACCCAAATCACTGTTGCTTGCCTGACTGAATTGCATCAATTCAACGGTTATTTGAATATCCCAATTTTCATAGTCTCCATCTAAGAAGATAATAACAGCCTGCTAGATGGGGCTAGTGGCCCATCTAGCCCATCATTCTGTTCTCACAGTAGCCAACCAGATGCCTGTGGGAAGCCCACCAGCAAGACCCGAGCACAAGAGCCCTCTCCCCTCCTGTGGTTTCCAGCAGTGCATATTCAGAAGCATTGCTGCCTCAAACCATGGAGGCAGAGCATAGCCACCAGGGCTACTAACCACTGATAGCCTTTATCTTCCTCCATGAATTTATCTGCTCCTCTTTTAAAGCTGGTGGCCAAGTTGGTGGCCATCATTGCCTCCTGGGGAAGTGAGTTCCATAGTTTAACCATGCACCACGTGAATCTGCCGTGAATCTTCCATATCCCCCCTATCTTCCATCTCTCCCCAGATCAGCTACGCCAGTTCCAGCGATAAGCTAAGTGACAGGCAACTTTATCCATCGTTCTTCCGGACCGTCCCCAGCGACCGAATCCAAGTCGACGCCATGGTTCAGCTCCTGAGCAAGTTCAACTGGAACTGGGTGGCCACTTTGGTCACTGACGATGAATACGGCCGCCGGGCCCTGCAGATCTTCGTCCAGCTGGCTCTCTCTAAGGATATGTGTGTGGCCTACGAAGCCATCCTCCCGAGCGACCTGGAGGAAAGCAAGAGGAAAGAGGAGCTGTCCAAAATAGCCGACCAGCTCCAGAGGTCCAACATCAATGCCACGGTGATCTTCGCGCAACCGAGCAGTGCGGAGGCGCTGCTGAGGGTGGTGCTGAGCAGGGGCATCACTGGCAAAGTGTGGATCGCCAGCGAGTGCTGGGCAACCTCGCCCATCGTTGCTCATATTCCGAACCTGGCGAGAATAGGAACCATCATCGGGGTAGCGATAAAAAGCGGGGAGATGCCTGGGTTCGGAGAATATGTGCAGAATGTCGTGGCAGATCCTGGCAGGGACCAGAACAGCTCTGACACCAGTGATGGGGATGAGCAGTGCTCTGATTGCAGCTCTCTGACTCTTGCCGACTTCTCCGCAGACACCGATCACGCTAGGTTCTACAGCACATTCAACACCTACAAAGCGGTCTACGTCATCGCCCATGCTCTCCACCAGCTGCTTCAGTGCAATGCCACAAGCAAGTGGTGCAACATGAGCAGAGAGGTCTACCCATGGCAGGTGAGTGAGGAGGAAGCAGTACAGGGTTACCTGCAAGGGCTGTGAGTTTTATTGGCTTTGGTCATTGTGAAAGGACTCTACGCTCTCTCGCTCTCTCTCCTCCTACCTGAGTTATTGAAACCAAGGCTGAGGAACGATTTTTTTATTATTTTTTTTAGCTTGAGACTTGTGTTCTTTTCTGGGCAACCACCTCAGGGTCACATGGCAGTGGAAGGTGGAGCCATAAGCAAAAAGTGGGTGGGGCAACTAAATAAAATGTTACCTTTGCACAGTAGGCTAGTTTTTATGTATGTCCACAAACCCCTGTCCACCCACCATCCAGACAAGCATGAGTTCAAGGGCACATTCCACTTAGGCATAAACACTAAGTCCTCCTGAACCTTCCCGAGAAGAGGAGGGCAGTATAGATTTACAACAGCGGTTTGCAGAAGGTCATAGTTGCAGAGACTGAAGAGAGGAGAAGATGGGAAGTATTGGGAGAGGGCTAGGAGGAGGAAGGAGCAGCAGAGGAGAGACAGCTGACAGACTCAGTGACTTTAGAAAGCATTAATGACCCCCCCCCCAGGACCCGGCAAGTATTGAGAGTAGTAGAGCAGAGAGCTCAGAGGCAGAAAGCACAGATGAGCCGGCGCAGAGATGACTTATAATAGGAGAGACGGAGGGGGTGGGACTTTATTCGAAGCAACATCATTATCTATCTATCTCTGAGACTATTGAATAAAAGACTTGGTAAGGACTCTTATTATTTATCTGCTTCTTGGCTGACACTGTGGGAGGGATCGGATTCCCTGAAGCCTGACAGAAAGCAGCCACTGTAAGGGTTTCAATCCTCCAAACTTTGGAAGGGCTGCATTTACTCCAGTCATCTCAGAAATCCCATTAGACTCCCTGTTCTCATGTAAGCACACCTGCCCATTGGTGGGTCAGGGGTACAGCCAGCTTTATAAACCTGCTCCAGATTCACCCCTGACCTCCCATCCCTTACGGCAGCAAGGGAAAAATGCACTTAAATTCGTTAGTTTTTATACCACCAGTTATCTGGTCAATCGAGGGCCCCTAAGTCATAAGCGCATCGTTGCCCAGCCGAGGGTGGTAATACCAGCATCCTCACCAAAGGGAAATTGCCCACACACTTGCCTAGTTTGGCTTTGCAAATCTTTCGTATTTGGAGCACAAGAGTGCAAGAACAGCCTCGCTGGATCAGGCCGAAAGCGCATCTCCTCTGACATCCTGTTCTCACACTAACCAGATGCCCATGGAAAGCATCCTTAAATCATGTGTTGCATCAGCGGTGAGGAGGCAGTATAGAGGAGCTTATGCTTTTAATAAAAAAAATACTAGAGGCTTCGATGTGCCTCCAACCCTCTGCTGACACCCCCCTCACTTAGGGTTTTAAATAACTACAGTTCTTCGGGTTCTTCTCCTTGTTTTGCAGCTCCTGGAAGAAGTAGCTCGGGTCAACTTTACCATCAATTCTCATCTGGTTCATTTCAGCAAGTCGGGAAATCCTCCAACAGGTTACGACCTGATTTACTGGGATGCGACCACACATGGAAACCACGAGTTTGTCAGTTTCGGTAGCTATCATCCCCTGCAGCCTCAGCTTAACATCAGCAAATCAAAAATCCGCTGGAACACAAAGGAAGGGAAGGTTCGCACTAAGTTGTTTATTCACTACTTACATACATCTTGGCTTCTAAACAAATCCTCCTTTCTGCAAATGGTGGTGGCAGTTTTCATATTTTGTCCCTATTAAGTCCAAGCTCTGTTTAAACAGAACTAGGTTCTCTAGGCCTACTAAAGACATTTTCTCATCCTCCTCCAGTGCCCCTCATCTTTATCCTTAAAGGTCCACATCCTTCTCTTCCTACTGCTCCTCACAAGTCAGCTGGCTTTCTTCCAGCAAGATTTTTCAGGCATAAGGACTAGAAACTTAAGGGGGAAAATTTTAGAAAGAAAGAAAATAGATCATCTCAGGCTGCTTACTTTTACTGCCCAGTATTCAGTCCTCAGTTTGGACCATCCACTAATAGAAGCTTCCCTTTCCCAGGATGGTATCAGTGTTGGGCGCTAGCATATTCAGGAAGCTGTCGAGGCCCCAGAGCTCTCAAAAGGTTGCTGTCTGCTGGTTCCAACTTCTGCTCCTTGCTGCAACTTGCAGTGGTGCTCCTCCATCTTGTCACTACCTATTTGCTTCCTCATCTACTGGCTTGCAGGGACAGACGGACTGCTAGAGGAGGGGTTGCCAACACAGCGCTCCTGGGCACAATGACACCCCTTTGGTCTTCCTCTGGCATCTTTGAGGCCCTCACTCACTGCTCCCTGTAGAGGAGCTGAGGGTGGCTACCATTTTGTCCCTTGAAAAGTACACAGAGATGGAGGAAGTTGGAAGAGTGGCAATCCTTCCCACTTCCTCTATCACTTTTAGGTATGCTTCAATGCTTAAATTCATTCTACTAGATATACCTTGGGATAAATGGAGTGTGCTTGCTTTCTCCCTGCCACTTGTGTGGTAGCTGGGTGCAGGAATGATTCAGGGGAGCAGAGAAAGAAGAGATCAGAGTGGGTGGCATCTATGGCATTTCCTTTAAAAAAAAGTCCAAGTGTATTATGGGGCCTAAAAGGGCTGGCAACCCCAGATGTAGAGGAAAGGGGGGGGCTAGCTTGTTTTGACAGGGTTTCCAAAGTGGTGGTGGGGACAGCACGGTCCACTGGAGTCGGTAAATACCTTTTGTTTGTTTCTTTCATTTCCTAAAGCCCCCCATATCAAGATGTACACAGGAGTGCAAACCAGGGCAGAAGAGATGGCTGAGAGGAGAACACAATTGCTGCTTTCTGTGTGAAGACTGTCCTGCAAATTACTTCCAGAACAAAAACGGTGAGCTGGAGTTTTTCCAGATGTGCCAAGGGGGCCTCCTCATTCAACAACTGTACATTGGCAGCGAAGTTTTGGACCAATGCGTCTTTCTTCTTTTTGCCTTATCAATATTTTTAGCTCCTGTTCATGTTCTCCACCCCATGTTCCATTCTTACATTTTAAGTAAGAATGATCAGATGCATTTTTAGCCAATTAACTACGTTTGCATGATAATGAACAACAGAAAGGATGAGGGAGTAAACTTTGTCTCAGGTGGTGCATGTAAGGTAAGGTGAAAAGGTAAAGGAGCCCTGAATGGTTAAGTCCAGTCAAAGGCAACAAAGAGGTTGCAGCGCTCATCCCGCTTTCAGGCCGAGGGAGCTGGCGTTTGTCCACAGACAACTTTCTGCGTCTTGTGGCCATCATGACTAAACCACTTTTGGCGCAACAGAACACCGTGACAGAAGCCAGAGCGCACAGAAACGCTGTTTATTTTCCTGCCACAGTGGTACCTATTTATCTACTTGCACTGGTGTGATTTCGAACTGCTAGGTTGGCAGAAGCTGGGACAGAGCAACAGGAGCTCACCTCGTTGCACAGATTTGAAAGGCTGACCTTCTGATTGGCAAGCCCAAGAGGCTCAATGGTTTAGACCACAGCGCCACCCACATCCCTTTCGGTAGTGCATGGGAGGCTTTGTCTTAGAAGAGGCATCTTTTAATCTCTCTCTCTCTCTCTCTCTCTCTCTCTCACACACACACACACACAATGGGATGCCTCTTTTGGCACCATCGTAGAAGAGGTATTCCTTCTTTTCCTACACACAATGACTGTCACCTGAAGACTGTTTTCTTAAAAAAAAAAAAAAGGATCAGACTAACCAGGGAAAGGGCAACTTTTCAGCCAAACAAACTGGGTTGCATCCAACATAGTTCTACTCAGCCTCCTCCCCTTCTTGCCTAATCAACTATTCTTTTCATCCAGATCCCCATGAATGCACCCCATGCCCTAGAGAGAAATGGTCTCCTTCGCAGAGCACCACATGCTACGACAGAGCATTTGAATACCTGGAGGTGACCGACACCCTCCCCATCAACATGGTGGCCTTGACGGTCTTGGCCATGGCCCAAATGGCCGTTGTCACCGGCATTTTGGCCAAGCACCGTGGCACCCCGGCCATGCACTTTGTCGGTGGCATCCCCACACTCTCCATTGTCCTCTCCTCAACCTGCTTCTGCAGCAGCTTCTACTTATTCGTCATCAAGCCCACCTCGATGGTCTGCAAGCTCCGGCAGCCCCTCTTCTTCTTCAGCTTCACCATCAGCTTGGCCACACTGCTTGGCAAGACACTCCAAAGCTCAGGGCTCGGCTGGACCTTGAAGAGACCTAAGCTGAGGAAGCACCTGATGGGCCTCTGCATCCTCCTCAACATAGCCATCCAGGGCCTCCTTTGCCTCGTGTGGTATTTCTGGAACCCTCCTTCCTTGGAGGAGAGTACTGAGCTGGAGAAGACCATCCTGGTGCAATGCCGGGACAGCTCCTTCCCAGGATACAGCTCGCTCCTAGCCCATGACTTTGGTCTGGCTGCCGTCTGCTGCCTCTGCACCTTCATGGGGAACAACTCGGACCAGAGGAACGACAAGGCCGCCAAGTCCATTAGCTTTGCAATGATCCTCATCCTCATCATCTGGACACTCTTCGTGCCCACCTACGCCACCTCCCAAGGGAAGTTTGTCTCCCTGTTCCAGGTCTTTGCTGGCCTGGCCAGCATCTTTGCCATCTTCGGTTCCTACTACTACCCAGTGTGTTACATCCTTCTCTTCGCACCCCACATGAACACAGACGCCTACTTCCGCTGCCTGCCCCAGAACCCTCCAGCAGACGGCAAGCCGGATGCTCCAGAAACCAAGTAACGTAGGGAGCAGAGCTGTCAACCATCCCTTATTTGGCGGTAAAGTCCCTTATCCCAGTGCTGTGTCCCGCTGCTGTCCCTTATTGATGATGTCCCTTAAATTTCCTGGGTTTCAAAGGAACCCTTCCTCCCTCCCTGCCGGCCAGGGAGGAGGGAGGCTCCAACTGTGTTGCTTGGCTGCGTTGCTCACCCAATAAGGAGTCTAAGAACGATAGGGGGGTGGAGCTTGCATGCCTTGTGCCAATCAAATCGGCCGCGTTGCCTGGGGACTCGCCTTTGCTCAGCGCTTCCCAGTGGAGAGGTGATGGTGGTTTTCCTTGCTGCATCCCCTTTGCCGGGTTGCTGCACTGTGGGAACCACCGCTTGAGGCTTTGTTTGGCTGCTGGCTGGGCTTTCTGCCTTTGGCTCAGAGGGGCTCAGAGGTTGAACATACCTGTGCTTGGAAAATCCCTTATTTTGGCTGCTGATCCCTTATTTTCGAGGCTGCTGGTCCCTTATTTTCAAATCTGTAAGTTGACAGCTATGGTAGGAAGTGGGAGAAGACTGCTGGCTTCCCACTAGGGCATCCGGTCAGCCACTGTGAGAACAGGATGCTGGACGAGATGGGCCATTGGCCTGATCCATCAGGGCTCTTCTCACATTCTTATGTGCCCTCTAGTGTTTCTCAAACTTGATAAACACTGGAGGGCACCATAAGTCTCCAGCTGTTGTTGGGACTGCAACCCCCATCATCTCTGACCTTGGTCCTGCTAGCTAGAGATGATGGGAGTTGTAGTTCAACAGCAGCTGAAGACCCAAATTTGAGAAACACTGCTCTAGATAGTGCTGGACTCCACTATTTCCACCCTACCCCTGATTATTTACCATGGTGGCTGGGGCCAGCATCCAACCTCTGGAGAACCACAAGTTCGCCATTCCTACTGTAGGAATTAGAGCAGATATCTCTACCCTGATGTTCCCCAGGCATTGTTAGATTACAGCTCCCATCCTCCCTAATTCCCTTGGTCAGGCTGGTTGCGGTTGATGGAATCAGGAGTCCCAACAACATCCAGAGAGCGTTAAGTCACAGACTCATAAGCACATTTGACACAGAACTCTGGCTCAGCGAGGACGTGAAGTGGTTCTTTGGCTACGTTTCAAGGAGGTTCTCACTGCATCTATTAGCAGCCGTTCCAGCAGGCTGCAGAAACGAAGGAGAGGGAAAACAGCACAGTCTACCATCGGCAGTGCCAGAGCGGGGCAAACACAAACACTCTAAACAAGGAGCTTGCCTTAGGGCCATATCCCCTTGTGGGCAAACTTCCGTCAGTGATGGACGGAGCCTAAGGCAAAAATGGGCAGATGAACAGGTGACTTACCTTCATATATTCTCTGTAGTTACATGCAAAGGTCAGTGGCTTCTCCATGTGTGTGTGTGTGTGTGTTAGGGTATTTCCTAACATCCTCCCCCTTTCCGTGTAACCTGTAGTACCTGTGGTTCAACCCAATTGCAACCAACAGGTTATGGAGACCGGGAGACGACGTGGAGGCATGATGACCTTTGTCTCCCTGGCAGTATCCCAACAGTGCACACACACACACCCCTCTCTATCCACACCAGTAAAAGATATGACCACGGTTCACGAATTTGTTCCTGAGAAGGGTGCGGAGCAGAGCCAGAGAGGATTGTTGCTGGGTTGTAACCCAGGAAGCAGAGACATCACCTTGCCAACAAAGGTCCGTATAGTTAAAGCTATGGTTTTCCCAGTAGTGATGTATGGAAGTGAGAGCTGGACCATAAAGAAGGCTGATCACCGAAGAATTGATGCTTTTGAATTATGGAGCTGGAGGAGACTCTTGAGAGTCCCATGGACTGCAAGAAGATCAAACCTATCCATTCTGAAGGAAATCAGCCCTGAGTGCTCACTGGAAGGACAGATCCTGAAGCTGAGGCTCCAATACTTGGGCCACCTCATGAGAAGAGAAGACTCCTTGGAAAAGACCCTGATGTTGGGAAAGATGGAGGGCACAAGGAGAAGGGGACGACAGAGGACGAGATGGTTGGACAGTGTTCTCGAAGCTACCAGCATGAGTTTGACCAAACTGCGGGAGGCAGTGGAAGACAGGAATGCCTGGCGTGCTCTGGTCCATGGGGTCATGAAGGGTCGGACACGACTAAATGACTAAACAATAACAACCCAGGAAGAGCCCTAAGAGCTGGATATTCTTCAACTCCGTTATCTTCTTGGATGCAGTATCTATTCTGTGTTAGGCATTACCCTTTCTCTTGTTCAGTTTTAAGCTGTTAAACTAGGTTGGTTTATTTGCATTGCTTCATACAAACTTGTACATACTGATTCAAACTGTTGTGCTTAATTCTTCATTTGGTACGCTGTGAGCTACTTTGGGCACAGTTCTGAAGGAAAGCGGCACACAAATAAATGCACAATGATCTAGTTGGATGTAATCGAACATTTCCTGTCCCTTTCCTATATGCTTCACGTGGTTTAAAAAGGTGTGCAATGCTGTTAACTTGACCCAAGCCTTTGGGACAGGTTTGGATGACAACGCAGGTGAAGGTGTTGGGACTTCACACACTTACATGTGTAACTTTAAAGGTGCTTCTGCAAGAGACAGAATCAGAGGTGTGGCACACACGTAGCCTAATATGCCCTCTGATTCCCTAATCCATTTGGGCAAATGGGCCACTGCTTCACCAACTTCAGCCTGCCCTAAGCCAGCCCCCACCTGACAACCTGTTGAAGGGGGTGGTCCTGCCTGTCAGCTTCCTCCTCTTTAAGCTTAGTGTTTTCCTCCTAGAACTTAGCAGGGAGTAGGAGGATGAGGACAAAACTAGAATGAGTTGGCTTTCCTTGTCATGGGCTCTGGCGCCACCTACTGTTCGTCTCCCTGACGTCTGCCCTACCAGTCCCAATGGGCACCAGCCACCAATCCCCTGATTACTACAAGAAGAAGAAACCTTGGGCTATGAAGAAGACTCATAACTGCATCAGGACAAAGCAAGATTGGACTGCCAGCTAGGAATAAGTTATGGTGCTTGCAGAATATGAAATATACAGTACACAACACACACACCTCTCAAAATAAGGTATCACCACAAATAAAGGAACGACAGGAAAGTGCATTTGTCACGTAAAAATTAAAAGCTTTTTTTAGTGTTTAAAATAGCATTTACACATAAGCTGCTATATATTAACTATACAGACACTTGAATTTTAATACAATATCTACAAAAAAGAAAGAATTCAATTATGAAATAGACATGTAAAATGGGGAAACAGTACGGTTCACACTGCCCAAAGGTTGACCTTGGGAACTGAACCAGTTCTAGGACAGTTAACGTTTGAGAGTGATAGGGAGTAAAGATTCTCCCCACCTCCAGTCATTACTTAAAATCATTTATTTTAAATTGTTTTCCTCTACTGTACATAAATTCTTTACACATCTTTCTAATCACTGATTAGAAATAAAATCATTATTTTGAAGTTACTCACTACAATCCAGATAAACGAAATTTTAAAAAAGCCAAGGGGTGAGTCCACCTAGTGGATTAACAGCAGATCCACACCATTCAAAGTTCATAGATCCTACAATGCAGGAATAACAGCTAAAGAATTCCTGGCATAGAATCACAGAATTGTAGAGTTGGAAGGGACCCCAAGGGAGTTGAAGGGGTGTGCATTTAAAAGCACATGACTTTTCCCCAAAGGATCCCAGGAACCTCAATCTGTTAAGGGTAGTGGGAATGATAGTTCTGTTGGGAGGGAAACAGCACTTCCCAGGGTTGACTGGGGGAAGCCATGTGCTTTAAACAGATGGTGTGGATCTGCCCGAAAACAGAACAGGAACAAAAGCAAGACTGGCCTAAGGTCAATGACAAGACAGTGGGGCATGTTTGTCCAATTACAGTCAGATTAAACAATCATGGGTGGATCACTCTAAAAGAGTGTAGAAAGAGCACAGAACCACAGGGACACAACAAGTGAACCATTTTAAACATGGGTGAACCATTTTCAAGGTTGAAGACCAATGTACCCCCTTAAAAATGGGTTGGGCCAACTTAAGGCAGCTACCTATGTTACACCTGCCATCAACCTAACAGCTATTTTGGAATTTGGAAGCTTCTAAGAATCCCTAAGAGGTCCACACAACTGTTGCAAGGCTGCCCCGCTACATAGGTGGTATTATTGTATTATCTATGTGTGTCTATGCCTGTATCTATCCACGGGGGTGTTGCAGATCTTACGATTCACGAAGCAAATAGTTGTGCTATTCTAAACGCTTGCTCATGTGAGTTTTGCCGTAAGTACTGGAGATATAAAGTTGTAGCCAATGTTTGTTTTACTCAAGAGAAGACCCTACCCCTATACTTAATGCACAAGACGCAACATAGTTCCATCAATTTCAATGGGTCTACTCTTCAGTAAACCTTGACTGGATGTAACCCCATTTAACTATATATCCACAAGAAGAAACGGCTGGTCTTTGCACTCCTCTTCTCCGAGATTTGCACCCTCAGAGTAAACTGATTTGTGACTCTTAACATCTCTTTTGGGATGTCTGCAAGGAAGCTGAGCTGCCTAGGAAGGAGCCCTTGGCAAGTTCACCGCATCTGATGACAGCATCTCTGCTAGGGGGCACCACAGTTCGGTGGTCAAGCTTTGCACGCAGATGGTCCAAGTTTCAATCCTTGGCGTCTCCAGTTAAAAATGGTCAAGTGCTCGATGGCAAAGACCACAGACCCTGGTGAGAATTGCTGTTGCCAGTCAGAACAGGCAGTGCATCTACTTGTTCTGACTTGGTAGAACATGGGAAGCTGCTTTATCCAGCTTAGCACCGTCTACTACACTGACTGGCAACAGCTCTCCAGGCAGAAGAACTCTCCTAGCCTTAGCTGGTGGATTGAGCCGGCAATCTGCGAATTGAGCCTGCAATCTTCATGCAAAGCAGAAGCTCTGCCACTGAGCTGCTAACCTTCCCCAGAAACCAGCTGTTGAGGAA